TCAGCAACGAAGACCCAACACAGACAGAAAAATAAATAAAATAAAAATTTTTTAAAAAAATCTTCCAACAAACAAAAGCCCAGGACCAGATGGCTTCACAGGTGAATTCTATCAAACATTTAGAGAAGAGCTAACACCTAACCTTCTCAAACTCTTCCAAAATATAGCAGAGGGAGGAACACTCCCAAACTCATTCTACAAGGCCACCATAACCCTGATACCAAAACTAGACAAAGATTTTACAAAAAAAGAAAACTACAGGCCAATATCACTGATAAACATAGATGCAAAAATCCTCAACAAAATACTAGCAAACAGAATCCAACAGCACCTTAAAAGGATCATACACCATGATCAAGTGGGGTTTACCCCAGGAATGCAAGGATTCTTCAATATATGCAAATCAATCAATGTGATAAAACATATTAACAACTTGAAGGAGAAAAACCATATGATTGTCTCAAAAATGCAGAAAAAGCTTTCAACAAAATTCAACACCCATTTATGATAAAAACCCTCCAGAGGGCTTCCCTGGTGGCGCAGTGGTTGAGAGTCCGCCTGCTGATGCAGGGGACACGGGGTTCGTGCCCCGCTCCGGGAAGATCCCACATGCCGCGGAGAGGCTAGGCCCGTGAGCCATGGCCGCTGGGCCTGCGCGTCTGGAGCCTGTGCTCCGCAACAATAGAGGCCACAACAGTGAGAGGCCCGCGTACCACACACACACAAAAAAAACCCTCCAGAAAGGAGGCATAGAGGGAACTTACCTCAACATAATAAAGGCCATATATGACAAACCCACAGCCAACATCATTCTCAATAGTGAAAAACTGAAACCATTTCCTCCAAGATCAGGAACAAGACAAGGATGTCCACTCTCACCATTATTATTCAACATAGTTTTGGAAGTTTTAGCCACAGCAATCAGAGAAGAAAAAGAAATAAAAGGAAGCCAAATTGGGAAAGAAGAAGTAAAGCTGTCACTGTTTGCAGATAACATGATACTATACATAGAGAATCCTAAAGATGCTACTAGAAATCTACTAGAGCTGATCAATGAATTTGGTAAAGTAGCAGGATACAAAATTAATGCATAGAAACCTCTTCCATTCCTATACACTAATGATGAAAAATCTGAAAGAGAAATTAAAGAAACACTCCCATTTACCATTGCAACAAAAAGGATAAAATACCAAGGAATATAGGGGCAAGACAGGAATAAAGATGCAGACCTGCTGGAGAGGGTGTGGAGAAAAGGGAACACTCTTGCACTGCTGGTGGGAATGTGAATTGGTACAGCCACTATGGAGAACAGTATGGAGGTTCCTTAAAAAACTACAAATAGAACTACCATATGACCCAGCAATCCCACTACTGGGCATATACCCTGAGAAAACCATAATTCAAAAAGAGTCATGTACCAAAATGTTCATTGCAGCTCTATTTACAATAGCCAGGACATGGAAGCAACCTAAGTGTCCATCATCGGATGAATGGATAAAAAAGATGTGGCACATATATACAATGGAATATTACTCAGCCATAAAAAGAAACGAAATTGAGTTATTTGTGGTGAGGTGGATGGACCTAGAGTCTGTCATACAGAGTGAAGTAAGTCAGAAAGAGAAAGACAAATACCGTATGCTAACACATATATATGGAATCTAAGAAAAAAAAAATGTCATGAAGAACCTAGGGGTAAGACAGGAATAAAGACACAGACCTACTAGAGAATGGACTTGAGGATATGGGGAGGGCAAAGTGTAAGCTGTGACAAAGTGAGAGAGTGGCATGGACATATATACACTACCAAACGTAAAATAGATAGCTAGTGGGAAGCAGCAGCATAGCACAGGGAGATCAGCTCGGTGCTTTGTGACCACCTAGAGGGGTGGGATAGGGAGGGTGGGAGGGAGGGATATGCAAGAGGGAAGAGATATGGGAACATATGTATATGTATAACTGATTCACTTTGTTATAAAGCAGAAACTAACACACCATTGTAAAGCAATTATACTCCATAAAGATGTTAAAAAAAAAAAAAAGATGCAGACCTACTAGAGAATGAACTTGAGGATTGGGGGAGGGGAAAGGGTAAGCTAGGACAAAGTGAGAGAGTGGCATGGACGTATATACACTACCAAACATAAAATAGATAGTTAATGGGAAGCAGCTGCATAGCACAGGGAGATCAGCTCGGTGCTTTGTAACCACCTAGAGGGATGGGATAGGGAGGGTGGGAGGGATGGAGATGCAAGAGGGAAGAGATATGGGGACATATGTATATGTATAACTGATTCACTTTGTTATAAAGCAGAAACTGACGCACCACTGTAAAGCAATTATACTCTAATAAAGATGTTTAAAAAAATACCAAGGAAAAAACCTACCTAAGGAGATAAAAGACCTATAATGCAGAAAACTTTAAGACACTGATGAAAGAAATTAAAGATGACACAAACAGATGGAGAGATATACCATGTTCTTGGATGGGAAGAATCAACATTGTGAAAATGACTATACTACCCAAAGCAATCTACATATTCAGTGCAATACCTATCAAACTACCAATGGCATTTTTCTCAGAACTAGAACAAAAAAATTCAAAATTTGTAAGGAAACACAAAAGATATGAATAGCCAAAGCAATCTTGAGACAGAAAAACGGAGCTGGAGGAATCAGGTTTCTGGACTTCAGACTATACTACAAAGTTACAGTAATCAAGATAGTATGGTACTAGCACAAAAACAGAAATATAGATCAATGCAACAGGATAGAAAGCCCAGAAATAAACCCACTCACATATGGTCATCTTGTTTTTGATAATGGAGGTAAGAATATACAATGGAGAAAAGACAGCCTCTTCAATAAGTGGTGCTGGGAAAACTGGACAGCTACATGTAAAAGTATGAGATTAGATCACTCCCTAACACCATACACAAAAATAAGCTCAAAATGGATTAAAGACCTAAATGTAACGCCAGACACTAACAAATTCTTAGAGGAAAACATAGGCAGAACACTCTAGGACATAAATCACAGCAAGATCCTTGTTGACCCACCTCCTAGAGAAATGGAAATAAAAACAAAAATAAACAAAAGGGACCTAATAAAACTTAAAAGCTTTTGCACAGCAAAGGAAACCATAAACAAGACAAAAAGACAACCCTCAGAATGGGAGAAAATATTTGCAAATGAAGCAACTGACAAAGGATTAATCTCCAAAATTTACAAGCAGCTCTTGCAGCTGAATATCAAAAAAACAAACAACCCAATCCCAAAATGGGCAGAAGACCTAAATAGACATTTCTCCAAAGAAGATATACAGATTGCCAACAAACACATGAAAGGATGCTCAACATCACTAATCATTAGAGAAATGCAAATCAAAACTACAATGAGGTATCACCTCACACCAGTCAGAATGGACATCACCACAAAATCTACAAACAATGAATCCTGGAGAGGGTGTGGAGCAAAGGGAACCCTCTTGCACTGTTAGTGGGAATGTAAATTGATACAGCCACTATGGAGAACAGCATGGTGGTTCCTTAAAAAACTAAAAATAGAACTACCATACGACCCAGCAATCCCACTACTGGTCATATACCCTGAGAAAACCATAATTCAAAAAGAGTCATGTACCACAATGTTCATTGCAGCTCTATTTACAATAGCCAGGACATGGAAGCAACCTATGTGTCCATAAACAGATGAATGGAGAAAGAAGATGTGGCACATATATACAATGGATTATTACTCAGCCATAAAAAGAATGAAATTGAGTTATTTGTAGTGCAGTGGATGGACCTAAAGACTGTCATACAGAGTGAAGTAAGTCAGAAAGAGAAAAATACCGTATGCTAACACATATATATGGAATCTGAAAAAAAAAGAAAAAAAAGGTTCTGAAGAACGTAGGGACAGGACAGGAATAAAGATGCAGATGTAGGGAATAGACTCGAGGACATGGGGAGGGGGAAGAGTTAGCTGGGACGAAGTGAGAGAGTGGCATGGACATATATATACTACCAAATGTAAAATAGCTAGTGGGAAGCAGTTGCATAGCACAGGGAGATCAGCTCGATGCTTTGTGACCACCTAGAGGGGTGGGATAGGGAGGGTGGAGGGAGGGAGATGCAAGAAGGAGGAGATATGGGGATATATGTATACATATAGCTGATTCACTTTGTTATAAAGCAGAAACTAATACACCATTGTAAAGCAATTATACTCCAATAAAGACATTAAAAAAGAAAAAAAGCTTACAGTTTCAAACTTTGAGTTTGATTAGTGGCTCTCAAAGTGAACCCTGAAGTACTCAAGATTCTTTCAGAGTATCCATGAGTCAAAGCTTTTTCCTTAATTATCCTAGGAAGTTTTTTGCCTTTTTTTTTTTTTTTTTACTGTGATGACATTTGCACTTTTGATGCAAAAACAATGGTAGATAAAGTTGCTGAGGTGTTCGCACAGTTCAAGGCAGTGGCACCAAACTGTACTACTAGTTATAATATTCACCACCATCCACTTACAATTCAAAAAAAAAAGTCAATTTCACCTAAGATATCTCAACCCTTAGATATATGAAATATTGCTGCTGCATACCGAAAGAGTGATTGTCACAAGAAAAATCTTTGTGTGATTGTTTTGAGTTGCAAGCTGAACAAGCCACTTCTTTTTGAAAGAATGACTGAGAGACAAAGTTATTCAGACTCAGGTGGTGGTGAACATTTTGTGGAAAATGAACACAGTGAGGCTGTCACTTCAAGGAAAACAACTGACTGCATTTTATCATCAACGATAAAATTCTAGCTTTCAAGAGAAAATGAGAATTTTGTGAAAGTTGTATGGACCACTGTGGTAGTTAATTTTATGTATCAAGTTGACTTGCCTAAAGGATGCCCAGGTAGCTGGTAAAACATTTTTTCTTGGTGTGTCTGTGAAGATGTTTCTAGAAGATCTTAGCATTTGATTCAGTAGACTGAGTAGATTTCCACACTCACCAATATGGGCAGACATCATCCAATCTGTTTGGGGCCATATGGAACAAAAGAGGAAAAGATGGCAGAATTCTCTCTCTCTTCTTGAGCTGGGATGTCCATCTTTTCCTGCCCTCGACCATCAGAGCTCCTAGTTCTCAGGCCTTCAGACTTGGACTGCATTATACTGCTGTCTTTCCTCGTTCTCCAGCTTGCAGAGGCAGACTGTGGGACTGCTCAGCTTCCAGAACTGCATGCAACAGTTCCTATAATAAATAGATAGATAGGGACTTCCCTGGTGGTCCAGTGTTAAGACTCTGTGCTCCCAATGCAGGGGGCCCGGGTTCGACCCCTGGTCAGGGAACTAGGTCCCACATGCTGCAACTAAAGATCCTACACATGGCAACTGAGACCCAGCACAGCCAAATAAATAAATGAATAAATATTTTAAAAATTAGCTAGCTAGCTATCTAGCTTGATGATAGATGATGATAGATAGATAGATAGATAGATAGATGATAGATATAGATCCCTGGTCAGGGAACTAGATCCCGCATGCCACAATTAAGAATCTGCATGCTGCAAGTAAGACCTGGCGCAGCCAAATAAATAAATAAATAGTCTGGCGGGGTATAGACTGGAAGAGTGATCAGAAAGGAAGTTATGGCTGAAAAAGGTTTGAAAGACAGAGTAGTTTTGCTAAGTAGCAAGAGTGGAAAGGACATTCCAGACAGAGTAGCATGTGCAAGATATACAGAATAAAGTCAGTGAGACAAAATGGACTGTTTGGGGAAATCAAAGCAGTTTGGTTTATCAGGAGAATAAAATGAAAAAAGGCAAGTGTCCAGAAATTAGACAGGAGAAGCAGGCAGCCGGCAGGTACCATCATAAAGGACCTCATTGCCAATAGTTTCCTCTCTTAGCTTTCTTTTCTGATGTTTATTCCCCAAGTCTTTTTTTCTGTGTGGGTGTGGTGGCTAGGTTCCAAGATGCCCCTAGTGATCCCTGCCTTCTGATCTCTGTGTAATCCCCTCTTGCACTGCGGTAAGGTTGGTCTGGTCTGTGAGTCTAATTGTATGCTACAAAAGTGATGGTATGTCACTTCCAGATTAGGTTATGAGACCCTGCTTTCATATTGGGTGCCTTTCTCTCCCTCTCATCTCTCACTCTGGGAGAAGCAAATACATGAAAAAAAAGAATGTAACAAATCCACAAATGCCCATGTACCCACCATCCAGCTTCAATTTTTGCTAATACTTTGCTAATCTTGTTTTATCTATTCCTTCCCACTCTCACTTCTCCCACCATCACTGGAGTATTTTAAAGCAAATCCCAGGCACCATGTTATTTCACTCACACTTGAATATTTAATTTTTACATATAAGGTCTACTTATAATAACACTATCACATCTGATAAAATTAACAATTCCTTAACATCACCTAATACCCAGTCCATATTAAAATTTCCCTAATTATCATTTTTTTTATGTTTACAATTATACCTTGGAGTTTGCTTTTTTCCTGTCCTTCCATTTACTCATTTGGTTAAATTGCTTTTTTGTTCCTTTGCTCAATCATTTTTGGAAATTCTTCTCTAGTCTCTGTAGTCTCTATTCTATGTATATGTGTATATCACCCCATTGTAAAAGAAGCAGTCAAACTTACATTTCTCTATAAAGATATTCAAATTAAATAATATTTAGAAATACTTCTTAAGGACATATGTAATACCTGGACAGCCCATTATGTCCCTTGTATCATTGTTGTCATACATTTCACTTATATATAGACATATATAAATACATGTTTATATGTATATATTACGTAATATATTTATATATAAACACATACTTATGTATATTATATATAAGCATACATAATCAAATATTGTATTATTTTGAACTGTCATGTTATATCAATTAAGAATAAGAAAAATAAAACTTTTTACTTTACCTTCACTTATTCCTTCTTTGATGTTCTTCATTACTTCATACAGATCCAAGTTTCTGACATATATTATTTTCCTTCTCTCTGAAGAACTTCTTTTAACATTTCTTGCAAGGAAGTTCTACTGATGACAAATTCCAACTTTCACTTGTCCAGGAAAATATTTGTGTTTCCTTCACTTTTGAAAGATAATTTCACAGAATTCTAGGTTGCTGGGTTTTTTTTTTAACACTCCACAGTCTTCTTGCTTGCACAGTTTCTGAGGAGAAGTCAGATGTAATTCTTATCTTTGTTACTCTATAGGTAAGGTGTTTTCTTCCCTCTAGCTTCTTTCAGGATTTTTTCCTTATCTTTGACTTTCTGTAGATTGAATATTATATGCCTCAATACAGTTTTTTGGGGTTTTTTTTGTTTGTTTTTTTTATCCTGCTTGGAGTTCTCTAAGCTCCCTTGATCTGTGGTTTGGTGTCTGGCATTAATTTGAAGAAATTCTCAGTCATTATTGTTTCCAATACTTCTTCTGTTACTTTCTCTCTCCTGGTATTCTCATTGTGTGTTAACAGTTGAATCTTGAACACAGGTTAGGGGCACCAACCCTCCACACAGTCGAAAATCCATATATAATTATAGTTGGCCCTCCATACACACAATTCCTCCATATCCATGGTTCCTCTGTATCTGCAGTTCCACATCTACAGATTCAACCAAACTTGGATCACATAGTACTATAGTATTTACTATTGAAAGAAATCTGTGTATAAGTGAACCAGCATAGTTCAAACCCATGTTGTTCAGAGTCAACTGTATGTTATACCTTTTGCAGTTGTCCCACAGACCTTGGCTATTGGTTTGTTTGGGTTTCTTTCTTCAATCTTTGCTCTCTTTGCTTTTCAAGGATTCTATTGATATATTTTCTAGCTCAGAGATTCTTTCCTCAGCTGTGTCATCTACTAATAAGCCCACCAAAGGCATTCTTTTTTTTTTTCTTTTTGGCTACGTTGGGTCTTTGTTGCTGCGCACAGGTTTTCTCTAGTTGCAGCAAGCAGGGGCTACTCTTCTTTGCCGTGCGTGGGCTTCTCATTGCGGTGGCTTCTCTTATTGCAGAGCACGGGCTCTAGGGCGCGCAGGCTCAGTAGTTGTGGCGCATGGGCTTAGTTGCTCTGCAGCATGTAGGATCTTCCTGGACCAGGGATCAAACCTGTGTCCCCTGCATTGGGAGGCGGATTCTTAACCACTGAGCCACCAGGATGTCCCCAGAGGCATTCTTCATTACTGTTACAGTATTTTTTATCTTTAGCATTTCTTTTTGGTTCTTTCTTAGGATTTCCATTTCTCTGCTTACACTGCCCATCTGTTCTTGCATGGAAATACTTTATCCATTGGATCCCTTAACATATTAATCATAGTTGTTTTAAATTCCCAGTTTGATAATCCTAACATCTGCCATGTCTTGCTCTGATGCTTGCTTGATGTGTTCCTTCAAATTGGTTTTTTGGGGTTTTTTTTTGCCTTCTGATATGCCTTGTAATTTTTTTCTTGATAGCCAGACATGATGAACCAGGTAAAAAAAACTGCTGTAAATAGGCTTTTAGTAAGGGGGTAGTGAGGTATGGGGAGAAGAGAAGGGCTCTGTAGTCCTATGATTAGGTCTCAGGCTTTTAGTGAGCCTATGCCTATGGACTGTGAACTTCACAAGAGTTTCTCAGTTTTTTCTCCCCACTTAGGTGGACAGAATAGCTAGAGCAGGCTAGTGTTAGATATTTCCCTTTCCCCAGGTCAGTTAGGCTCTGCATAACTAATCTCCCCTAAGGGCAGACTTCGTTAAGAAAAACCAACTGCTCTGGTATATTTCAAAATTGTTCTTTTTCCCTCCCCTCTACCAGAAGCATGAGAATTTTTCTCTGATATTTACTGTAGGAACCTGGTTGAGCTCCTGGAGGTAAATCTCACAATAATGTGAGGGCTCCCCTATGACCAGGTTCCCCTGGAGTTCTTAATTCTCAGGTTTATCCACACTGAGCCTCCAGCAATTCATCAATTGTAATTCATGTTTTCCAACCCTGGCACTGGTTCCTGCAGTGGTTTCTGCTCATGAGCCACTGCTCCTGTAAGCCATGATTCCCCATATTGGCCTGTTTGTCTCTCCAATCATGGAGGCAGCAGTTTGTTCTGTGTCCTCCCCTTTCTTACAGACCCAAGAATAGTTGATTTTTCTATCTGTTGATCTCTTTACCTGTTAGGACAGAGTGGCGACTTCCAAGCTCCTTATGTGCAGAAGCCAGAAGTGAAAGGTGTGGCTTTAAGTAAAAAAAAAAAAAAAACATGAATCATCCCAATAGATACAGAAAAATAATTTAAGAAGATCCAACATCTATTCATAATAAAAAACTTCAGGAGAGTTCCCTGGCGGTCCAGTGGTTAGGACTCAACACTTTCACTGCCAGGGCCTGGGTTCAACCCCTGCTCAGGGAACTAAGAATCCACAAGCTGTGCGGCGAAAAAAGAAAAGAAAAACAAAACCAAAAAAAACCTTCAACTGGGCTTCCCTGGTGGCGCAGTGGTTGAGAGTCCACCTGCTGGTGCAGGGGATGTGGATCTGTGCCCTGGTCCGGGAGGATCCCACATGCCGCGGAGCGGCTGGGCCCGTGAGCCATGGCCACTGAGCCTGCGCATCCGGAGCCTGTGCTCCACAATGGGAGAGGCCACAACAGTGAGAAGCCCGCATACCGCAAAAAAAAAAAAAAACCTTCAACAAATTAGGAATAGAAAAGAACATCTTTAACCTTATAAAGGACATCTATGAAAATCCTACAGCTAACAGCATATTTAATGGTGAAATATACTTTCCCACTAAGATCAAGTGCAAGATAAGACTGTACATTCTCACTACCTCTACCAGCCATTGAACTGGCAATTCTAGCCATGGCAATTTGGCAAGAAAAAGAACTAAAAGGCATCCAGATTGAAATTAAGAAGTAAAACTGTCTTTTTTCAATGGCATGAATCTTATATATAGAATATCTGACAGCATTCACTGAAAAAGCTACTAGAATAAACAAGTTCAGCAAGATCATAGGATACGAGAGCAATATACAAAATCAATTATATTTCTATACACTAGCAACAAACAATCCAAAAATGAAATTAAGGAAACAATTCCATTCTCAATAGCATAAAAAACAATTCAGAAATAAACTTAACAAAAGAAAGTGCAAAACTTGGACACTGAAAACAATAAAACATTGTTGAAGAAAATTTTGAAAGATTTAAATAAATGGAAAGATATCACACATTCATAGATTGGAAGACTTAATATCATTATGAGGGCAATACTCTCTAAATTGATCTACAGATTCAAGGCAATCACTATCAAAATCCCAGCTTTTTTACAAAGATTGACCAACTGATCCTAAAATTCTTATGAAAATGCAAAAAATCAAGAAGAGTCAAAACAATCTTGAAAAAAGGACAAAGCTGAAAGACTCACCTTCCTGATTTCAAAACACAGTACAAAGCTACAGTAAGCAAGACAGTGTGGTACTGGTGTAAGGACTGACATTTAGAGCAATGAAATAGAATTGAGTCCAGAAATAAACCCAAACATCTATGGCCACTGATTTTTAAGAACGGTAACAGACAATTCAATGGGAAAAAGACAGCCTTTTCAGTAAATGATGCTGGAACAAATGAATATCTGTATGCAAAATGATGAATCTGAATGCTTACCTCACACCATACATAAAAATTAACTCAAAATGGATTACAGATCTAAATTTAAGAGCTAAAATTATAAAATGCTTAGAAGAAAACACAGGAGTAAATCTTCAGGACCTTGAACTAAGCAATGATTTCTTAGATACAACACCCAAAGTACAAGAAACAAAAGGAAAAATTTGACAGATTGGGCTTCATCAAAATTAAAATTTGCATTTCAAAAATAAATGAGTTCATTCCGATATTTCCAATTCAAAGTTAATATTACAGAGTTTCTACTTAACTTACTTGATTTTATAATTGTATTTTTCTCTTACAATGTTAGAAATCTTGGTTTCTAACATTGTTATAGTCACATATATTTTATCCTGTTATGAAAAGTGGTAAAATAACAATACCAATATTATTAAAAATAAGATAACTTAATGCAATTTAAGATTCCTTTGCTGCTCTTCTTTTCCTAGGATATAGCCCACTGATGATATACAGTCAAAATACAAGGATTTAGAGATACTAAAAACGATTCTTTGTGTGATTATGGTCTGAACATAATATAGTTAGGTTCATTTGTTTTCAGTTTTTAAGGATTGCTTTTTCTTTTTGATCTAATTTTGTTTCATAATTACATAAAACACTTATATGGTTCCAAACTATAAACAAGGAACATTCAGGTGAGTCCTAACTTTCATTCCTGTCCCCTCTACACAGTTGGTTCCCATCATTCCATTAGCAATCACTTTTACTAGTTTTTGGTTTATCCTTCCATTGTTTTTGTAGGGAAATATACACACATACTCATATTCCACCCCCATTCCTTCCATAAAAGATAGCATACTATACACTCTATCCTCATCTTGCTCTTTCACATAACAATATATCCTAGAGAGAACTCCATGGCAATATTATATATCTTCCTCAAACCCTTTTATAATTACACAGTAGTAGTTCACTGTGCAGCTATACCATAATTTATTCAACCAATCCCTCTCTGATGAGCATTTGGATTGTTTTTAGTCTTGCTATTACAAATACTGTTGGAATAAATAGCCTCGTTTCTGCTTCACTTTATATTTTTGCTAGTGAATTTTGGGGATAGAATCCCAGAAGTGGGATTACTAGTCAAAGGGTAAATCACACATAATTTTGTTAGATATTGCTAACTTCTCCATGAGGTTGTACCATTTCTAACAACATTTTACCTGTTTTCCCTTTTCCACTCTTGTCCATCTACAACTCATTCTCCATCATATCTTATAAAATCTTGTAAGATACAAATTGGATCATATAACTCTTCTGCATAAAACTTCAGTGGTTCCCCATTGCATTTAGAATAAAATCCAGTCTCTTCATAGTACCTGTAAAAACTTAGATGATGTGGATTCTTCCTCTCTGTATCAGTTAGCATTAGGTTTGACTATGAGCAAGAGAACCAAAGTAACAATAGCTTAAACAAGATAGAAGTTTACATCTCTGATACATAAGTCTGGAGGAAGAACATCCCGGTTGGCACTGGAGTTCAGCTTCAAGAAGTCCTCAGGGCACAAACTCCTTCCAGGCCATGCTCTGCTGTCCCTAGGACCTGACCCTTATCCCAGTGACCTAAAAGAGCAACTAGAGTACCAGTCATTTTATGTGTTCCAAACAGCAAAATTGGAAGAAGAATAAGGGCAAGGGGTAAAGGCCTACTGTTTATTAACAAGATTTCTAGAAGCTCTACATGACACTGGCATTTTTATGCCATTGGGTCAGAACTTAGTCATATGACTATACCTACCTATGAGAAATGCTAGAAAATGTCATCTTTATTCTGGGCAACCACACGCCCAGCCAGAAATTGGGAGACTTATCACGATGGAAGAAGTCTCTGCTGCACAGTCTTTTTTTTTAATTTAATTTTATTTATTTACTTACTATTATTTTGGCCACATGGCATGTGGGATCTTCGTTCCCTCACCAGGGATCGAACCCACGACCCTGCAATGGAAGCACAGAGTCTCAGCCACTGGACCATGAGGGAAGTCCCTGCACAATCTCTTTAGTTTCATCTCATACTACTCCACCCTTACCATGCTCCAGCCACACAGACTTCCTTTACTCTTCAAATAAGAGCTTGCTCTTGCCTATCTCAAGGCCTTTGCTCTTGCAGTTTCACCTGCCTAGCACATGCTTCCTCAGATCTTCAAACAGCTGGTTCCCTCTCATCATTCAGGACTCAGCTCAAATGTCACTTCCTCAAAGAGACCTTCTTTGACAACTGTATATAAAGTAGGCACTATCCCAGTCACCCTTTTTCATACTGCACTGCCTTATTTATAGCATTTATCTCCATCTGAAATTATTTATCTTTTGCCTTCCTCTACTAGAATATAATTTCCACAAGACAAGGATCTTTTTTATCTTCACTACTATATCTCTTTTTACCCAATACAATTCTGAGTAGACAGTGGGAGCTTAATTTTAGTTGAATGAATGAATGTCTGATTCCAAAGGACAATGAATGTCCATTCCAATGGCTGATTCCAAAGCCCATGCTTTTTTCACTACTTCTGCTGTGCCTAGTATATGTGAAATAATACCCCATTCCAGAAGTTAGTCCTTGTTTTTGAATCACAGCCTATTATAGTTATTTTCTTTCAAAGAAGATTTTAAAAAACATTGTTTCTAAAGTAAAACAAAATCTTCCTCTGCTCGGTGAGTAAAAAGAAGAGTTTTAGATATAACATCTTGTGCACATCTAAGTTGTGCAATTTTGTAGTTTTCACCTGCAAAAATGTAAGAGTTGGTTAAAATTAATTCACTTAATCTACAGATATTTAGCAAGCACTGTGCTAAAACAAAATTAGGGACATGAAAATTACATAATATAATTCCTGCCCTCAAAAAAGATTCACAGCTGCCTTTCAACTCTATGATTTGTATGATTCCATACAGTTGTTGAGTAACCTTTGTGCTAGAGAAAAAGCCTATGACTTCCCATTCCTGAGATATTTATTAAAGATCTGTCACCAAAACACTGATAAACACAAGGCTTCCTTTTAAAAGTGAATATTTAATTCAATACTGCAATAAGAATTAAACAGCATTAAAAACAGAAGCATATTAGTGGCTTAAAAAATGTATAGTAACTTTAGTTTCCTTTGGGGAGGATTTTGATTGCTGGTTCTCTACAGCAAAATGATGCTAGGAAAATGTCTATAGAACATAGAAATTCTCTCTGACTACAAGTCTAAAATGCTTAAAATTAGGGATTAAAGGTTTTAAAGATGCAAATCAGAAATATTCAATATTAGAGGTATCTCATTTGAATCCTAAAAATTTTCACATAATAAAACATTATATATATTTTTAGAAAGATGGCCAACAAATTAATAACTCGGCATATTCTACAGACTGGCATCCCAGATGACCAGGACTATATTACACGAGCACCTGGCTGTGGTTCATCCACTACCACCTTCTTTGTTCTTCTAGATCCTTCTTGGCTTTCATCTGGGTAACTCCAAGGCACTGTGAGGAAAACAGATGTACAGATGCCCATTTCTCCTGCAGTCCCCCTCAGCATAGCAATTAGGCAGATAGTCAATGAGAAAAAGGTATATAATCCATAACTTATAGTCCCCACAAGGCCTCACTCAATTTGAAAAATTGCCAGTTCTGTCAAATATGCCAACACTCCAATAAGGTATTTATGACACAAAATCTGAAAAAAAAAAAAAAAGACATTTAAAATTAAAATACAATTACTTATAGCAAAGCAGTTTGATATTTGATAAATATTCCAGGCTTATTTTAAATTCCATATCTACAAGCTAAGCTATGAATATAAACCCAAACCATTGCTGTTCTAAGTCAAATAGACTTTACTTAATAAAGATGACTGACTTTAATAAATTTACAACTATTAGTCAATGGTGCTTAGATGGAATTAGACTAGGGTTCTTATTTATCCTGGCTTCCATGGGTAAGATATCTGCCTAAAGAGAAGGAGGAAGGAGTATCTACGAACCCCTTAGACTTATATGCAAATTGAGTATCTACATTTTCTAGAAAGAGTTCCATACCTTCCTTCTTCTCAAAGGGATATATGATGCCAAAGTGTCTTGTAGAAACTAAGCAGAGGCAGAAACCTGGTTAATACATTAATTTCAAACTTTTGAGAGGCAGTACAGTGTTGCAGTTAAAAGCATAAGCTTTTGAGTCAGATGACTGGGTTTAAATTCCAACTCCACTTATTAGCTGTGTGATCTTGAAGGAGCCTACTTATCCTCTGTGCCACAATTTCCTCTTTACAACCTATGCAAATAGGTTGTTGTGAAAACTAAATGGGACAATATGTGTAAATGGTTAATAATGCTTGGCACAGTTAGTGCTTGATAAATGTTAGCTTCATCATGGCATTATTTAAACCTAGGAGCCACAGTTACTGTCTTAGATCCTTACGAGAGGCCCTTAGAATAGGCCAGATAAAACAGGGCCACCCTTACATTCATAGATGGATAAGAACAATTATATAAAATAGTTTTAAAATGTAGTTTATTAATAGAATGTGAGAATATGGAAATAAAATTTTAAAATATAAGGACTTCATGAAATTGAATTGAGGTGCTAAAATGTAAATTTATTTCTTTATAATGTCAAAGTAAGATGGAATAGTATATAATATTTCAAATTTATTACTGTGAACCATAGTAAGAAATAAATTTAACATCATGACCCAGTACAAGCAAATGTATACCCTTAGTATATGTTATATATTCTCATTTTTATATTTTCCACTCTATTTTTCTTTTGTTTTTTAAAGCTGGTTTCTTCTCATCAAATTACTTCCTAACCTACTGCTGCATTGTGACCTCCAGTCTGAAAAGCATTAAAGTAGTGCTTATAAGATAGAGTATGAACTTCTTGGAACCTAAGAGATTAAGTGTTTAAATCTTGACTCTTCCTCTTACTAAGCTATCTTGCATGTGTCACTTAAACCTATCTTGGCTTCAGCTTCCTTGTTTTAAAAATAAAATAAATGTAGATAGAAACACCTAACTATAGGGTTGCTCTAAAGATTAGAGTTAAAGTATGTTAAACTCCTAGCACAGTGACAAGACCAATATTCACGAGTGTTTATTGTGGCTGTATTTTAATATATTTTAAATATATTAATATAATACACTTAAATATATTTAGGTGCCTACTCTCAGTTTTTTTCTTTTTTTTTTTCTCAGTTTATTTCTGATACGTTCTCTAATAAGGCCTTCATATACACTAAAACAATGTCTCTATTATTTCTTTCCCAGTAGGGATAGAAAAGCCTAAAATATAAAGATGATATTTTAGTTCTGTGTTTCTACTATAAGTTTCTTATCTAACACACAAAATCCTGTTACTCTGATAATTATTTCAAAATTGACAAGAAAATTCTGAAAATTTCAAAGTTACTACAGAATAAGTCATATTATTACCAAAGTCTATGGGCACACAGTGTATAGTATCCTTCCACTATAAAGCTGCATATAGAAGGCTTAAGACTTTTTAGTAAACCATTTATAAAGCATAAAATAAAATCTCTCTACTGTCATCAATTGGCAGACATCCCAAAGTGTTTCGTCAATGTGGAAAATACAATTGCCATACATTTTGAAAACTATGCAACAATAAGGAAAAATTACTTAACTAGATTTGCTCCAACTAACCTTTATTTTTCCATCAGTATGTGCTGAAGCTACAGATGTTGAAACACGAACCAATCTTGTGGCTGATAAATGAATTTTGAAATGTCTATGGAAATGTGAATACAGGCAGTCCATGAATAAGTCAACTTCCTCCTGGGTAACTTCCCCAGGTGTTTTGTGAACACTGTCCCACAAAGCTTTTGCATCTTCTGGATGTATGGCATAAGAAATATCCAGACTTTGAGGGCTACAGGGTACAGACCAAAGAAATTCAGTAGTAGCCATATAATGGTCCATTTTGCATGCAGTCCACATAGCAGCCATCCAAGAAAGATTAAACGCATTGATTGCTAAGGGACGGAAATAACAGTCAAAAGTTTTCTGAAACCAGGTTCCAATTATGGCTGTATTAGTCTCTGCACCATTTGCAAGGAATAAGGGTAGACAGGTGAAATCTTCTGAAACAGTCTCCAGAAGACTGTCTCCAAATATACAGCAGAACCAACCAGTCCACAACACTTTACCTTCTCTGTGCTCAGATGGCAATTGAGATTTTGACAGAATCTATGAAGAAAAATCAAACGGGTTCATTAAATTCGAAAGTACATCTACTCCTAAAGTGCATCTTCTCAGCATTAATTAGTACATTTAAAAATAAGAAGATATGTAGTATTACCTGCCAAAAACCACAGAGGTAATAGTCTCCCTGATCATTATTAGGGTGTATCAAGTTAACTGACCTTTCTCCTAATACTCTTTATTAGGACAGACATGGTATATGGCAAGACCTTGGTGCAACCAAAATGCAAAAAGGGGTGCCAATATGGTATAACCAGGTACAGTACCCTGAAAAAACAAAGTCTGAAAATCTCAACTTTAACTTCGTCTTCCAATGCAGGGGGTGCAGGTTTGATCCCTGGTCAGGGAGCTAAGATCCCACATGCCTCCTGGCCAAAAAACCCAAAACATAAAACAAATTCAACAAAGACTTTAAAAAACTGGAAAACAAAAATCTCAACTTTAGAAGGGGACTTCCCTGGTGGCGCAGTGGTTAAGAATCTGCCTGCCAATGCAGGGAACATGGGTTCGAGCGCTGATCCGGGAAGATCCCACATGCTATGGAACAACTAAGCCCATGCGCCAAAACTACTGAGCCTGCACTCTAGAGCCCACAAGCCACAACTACTGAAGCCCGTGCGCCTAGAGCCAGAGCTCTGCAACAAGAGAAGCCACTGCAATGCGAAGCCTGTGCACCGCGACGAAGGGTAGCCCCCGCTCACCAAAACTAGAGAAAGCCCACGCGCAGCAACAAAGACCCAACGCAGCCAAAAATAAATAAATAATTTTTTAAAAAAAACTTTAGAAGGGACTGTAAAAGGTCGCCGAATCCAACGTGCTTGAATTATTCCACTGAGGAAGACGTCACTATTTCCTAAGGGAGCTCTGTCTATCCACTTAAAATGTTCTTTCATATGTTAGGCCCTACAGTTTCCAACCACTGGTCCTACTTTCTTCCTTACGTGCATGTAGATGAAATCTAATCTAATCTCTCTTCTACATAAAAAGCCCTTCAAATATTTGATTATCCTTATCATATATACTGCTACGGTCAACATCTCCAGTTTCTTCAACCATTCCTTCTATGACATACATTCAAGTGCTCACACTATCTGGACACTCTTCTCTGAAATTCTTTGGCAAAGGAGTCATTCATAAGTGAACATAATTACTTCAAAAAGGTCTGATTACAGGACTGTCACCACCTTTAACCTAGATTATACTCCTACTAATATAATCTTAACAGTAGTTTTCTGGTTTAGTTGACAGCTTTACATAAATTAACCCTACATACTCATTTTTGCTATTAATAGGTAAATCCCCCCCCAACTTACAATGAGGCAGTAAACTTATTCCTATTAAAATATTAATCTCTTTCAATTTGGCCCACTGTGTCAATCCATTCAGATCTTTTAGAATCTTGATTATATTTTCTAGCAGATTGACTTAACCCCTCAAACTTTAAATTTGTAAATTATATAACAAACATACCTTCCAGATATTAATAGAAGTTTTAATTAAAGTTTGACCAGGACAAGGTGAAGATCACAGCCCTATATTATATCCCTTTAGAGATGATCATTTGAACAATTATTTTTGCCATTTTTCTCCTTGTTCAAGAAGTTATGAGACTTTCAAATACCTTAAAGCCAGAGGTATTATGTCTATCACGTTTTTATAACCTATAAGTCCTGTAACCCTGGCAAGAAATGAGATTTAATTAGAAAACTATTAGGACACTATACTAGGAATTCAAGAGGTTATTTCTATTCCTCACAAGAATATTTGCTTGCCTGATGACATGCAAACCATGTAACTTCTTTGGGCATCAACTGCTTCAACTTGACAGAGACTGCTAATTATCTACCCAGTATCTATTTTTCCTTCCACAGTAAAACAGTGCTTTCACTTGAGGTGGCAAAGTACCCACTAAAACTTTTTTCTAGTCTTCCTTCCATCTGGGATATAAAGAGAAGTATCTGTTGGGTGTCAGCAAGTCTCGTTAAAGGTTTACTCAGCGGCAGGCATCCTGTCTGACTTTCCCATCTTCCTCCTACTACTTGCCTTGAACTTACATATAGTATTTAGAGCTCCAGGAGCCAATTTAGATTATAGTGTGACCATAGGAGGGAAGCCATGCACCAAGGATGATAGAGAGGACAGAAGGAGCTTAGATTATTAATAATTTCATGAAGCATTTACCAGCCTGGAAAAGCTTACCTCTGGACACTTTTTTGGAAGACAAGTAAACCTCTATTGTCACTGTTATTTAGACTTTCTGTTATATGCAGCTGAACCTAATCCCAGTAATCCTGAGATCCTTGCCAATACTATGATCTATACCAGGGGTCAGCAAACCTTTTCTGCAGAAGGCCAGATAGTAAATATTTTAGGCTTTGCAAGCCATGTAGTCTCTGTAGCAACTACAACTCTGCTGTTGTAATACAAAAACAGCCATAGACGATATGTAAACAAATGAAAGGGGCTCTATTCCAAAAAAACGTTGTTTACAAAGCCAAGCAGCAGGCCATAGTTTGCTAACCCCTGATCTATACAACTAAACAAAATTTCAACTGTTTCAGCATTTAACTTATCAATGACTAAAATGAGTTAATTTAGCAGAAACAGAAGGAACAGGCATAAATAATAAAATAAATCTGGTTTCTTAATAGAAGGACAGTCATATTACTTTTATATACTACATATAGTAAGGAATGTAAAATGTTACATTTCTGAGAGTAACTTGGTATGATATATCACAATATGTAACAATGTTACTTCTTTGCTAAAATTCTACTTCTAGGATTTTAATCCCACTAAAAACCATAGAATTATACAGATAAATTTACAAAAACGTAAAATTTACATTTACATTTAGTTACTCAAAATGACATGAGTAACTATCTACAGCACTGATTATTAGTAAAAAAAAAAAAAAAAGCCATAATGCACAAGTATGGGCAATATGATCACAATTTTAACAGATACAGACAGCCAAATAGATATATCTAGATTCATGATGGAGTCTGTAATTTTCTTATAATGTCTTTGTCTAGTTTTGGTATTAGGGTAATACTGGGCTCATAGGATGAATTAGGAAGTATTCCCTCTGCTTCTATCTCTGAAAGAAATTGTAGAGAATTGGTGTAATTTCCTCCCTAAACGTTTGGTGGAATTCACTAGTGAACCCATCTGGATCTGTTGCTTTCTGTTTTGGAAGGTTATTAATTATTGATTCAATTTCTCTAATAGGACTAGGCCTATTCAGATTGTCTACTGACAAATAGATGTATACCAAAATGTTAAACTGTGGTTTTTAACTTTCTTTGTTTTTTTGTTTGTTTTTTTTAACCTTTAAAATATTTATTTATTGGAAAGGTAGTAGTCTCATATAGTACAAAATTCAAATAGAAATGTACACTCTGAAAAGTTAGTCTATCAGCTACCTCTGTCTACCCGCCTCCCCCAACTCAGTTCTTGCCCCCAGAGCCCAGTTACCATTGTTTCGTGTATCTTTCTGGAGCTGCTCAATGCATATGCACAATGCATAGCTTTTTATTTGTTTTTAAGAAAATGTACAACAAAATCTTCTGTTACATGCAGAGTTTAAGTGTTTTTGCAAATACATGTATTATTTTTTCTTCTTTTATGGCCCCTGGCTAAAACGTCTTGTTCAGGAAAGCCGTTCATATTCCAAGATTGAAAACAATTTTCCTATATTTACTTCTAATACTTTTCTATTTGGGTTTTAAATTGACATCTTTAAACCAACTGGGTTTTTATATTTGAACAGAGTCTGATACAGGTGGGGATCGAATTTTATTTTCTTTGAAGTATGGCTAATGAATTGCTTCAATACCATTTAATCCAGCCTTTCCAATGGATCCATATCATTTAATATCCAGGTCCCAAATCTCCAGCATCAGTAACAACCACCGAGGATAGTTTCATCCCACAAGTCCCACTCCTGGGTGCTATGTTTGCCAGGATGCTTCTTCTCTCTACTGGACCTTCTTCCCTCCTTCATGGTGTCCCAATCATGGGTACTCTTTCTGTACTTGGACTTCTCTGTGCTTCCTGGCGCCACTTTGGCCTTCCTCCTGTTCTCTTTGTGGGAATCTTCATCCTCTTCATCCCTGTGGTGCGTCCTCTTCCACGATACCTGCTTCTCATTGCCATGTCCTCCTCCTCCCTGGACCTTCCCGTCCAGCCTCCGTCTTGATCTCCTGCCTGATGGACACTGGTGTGGTCCTCTGAGAAGCAGCTGGCCTCTTCTCTGTGTTGTGCTGTGTGGGGGCCAGTGGCCATTCCTTGCACAGGTGGGCTTGGAAACCACCGGTTATTGAAGAAATGGTCATGTTTTTTCTGACAGTGATTTACAGGTTCCAGTCTTTGTCGGAAGTGATGAATATTGGACAGTGTGGGTTAAGTGGCTTTCCACTGTTTTCGGCCTTTCGTAGGAACTGGGGGACTTGTGGGGCCTCCTGAAGGGGAATCTCTGCTCCAGCATTGGAGGTCTGGGTGCAGTGTGGTCCTTTTCTCTGTACACAGAGTCTTCTGTCCCCTTTCTAAAGCAAACCTCTGGTTGTAATCCTCTGGCTCTTTGCTTTCTAATATAATCCTGAAGTTCATGTTGAAAAGAGTCATAAGTCTTAGAATTTTCCATTATATTGACTATGGATGAAACTCTGGAGTCATCACCATGCACTAGTTTACTGAGAGAAATTTCCACAAACAGATGGAGCCTCACTTCCTCAAGCCTACAAGTCTTTGGGGTTGTGTAAGTAGAAGATCTGTGGGCCCACAAAGAGCAGAGGTTCGCCTGCCAAGAACCTCAAAAGGAAAGAAGGAAGGAAGAAAGGAAGGAAGGGAGGAAAGAAGGAAGGAAGGAAAGAAGGAGGGAAGGAAAGAAGGAAGGAGCCCTAGATAGGGGTAGGTTTTACTCAGCTCCAGGAGAAGAATCCCAACTTCTTTGCAGCTCAAACTTCTCCCTTTCTTTGTACTTTTATGTATTTTCTAAGTTTTCTAAAATAAACATAATTATATTGTAAAAGGAAAAAAACTTTTTTTTAAGTTGGTCATATCTAATTACTATAATTTGGTCAAACAAGACATAAAATAGGTTATAAATCACAAGCTTAAGAATTTTAAAAACAGTAAGAAAACATCACAATTTCTAAACCAAGACAACGCACATTCTTTTCTCCTAGGAAGCAAGTACTGCTTATATGATATACCTGGACAAGAAATGCTTCAGGGTCTCTCTGTGTTCCTTTCATTCCCAGGAGAGTAGAGAAAATCACTTTGATGTTGAAGTCGTCTCCCACTTCCACAGCAAGTCCTTTTTGCTTTTCAGCAGCAATAAATGCATTCAGAAGTTTAGAATACTCTTTGAAATTAGTATAGGAGAATTTATATAAGGGAGTTAAACTATATAAAGTCCATTGTTTATGCAGAAGGAATGCAAACTTTTGAGGATCAACATCTTCCTAAAAAAAATCAAGACAAAGGAAGTTTAAGAATTAGGAAACATGAGTAACTAAGAACTTAATCACAGTATCTTAAATATTTAAAACAAAGCCATTACTGGGTACCTGATCTTTGCATCTGCTGTAATTTCCCTTTGGAATGTTCTTCCCAGGGTGTTCACATGGCATGTTCCTTTCCTTCATTCAGGTCTCTGCCCAAATGTCACTCAAGAGGCCACCCTATCTAAAGTAGCACCTGCACCCATTCCAGCTTTGTCACTCTATATCTCCTTAACATGCTTTATTTTTTTCACAGCACTTATTACTACCTGACATTAGGTACTTGCCTGATTTTTACTGTCTTCACTACTAGAGTATGAGTTTGATGAGAACAGGAATTCTGCCTATTTTATTCACTACTGTATCTCTAGCACCTAGAACAATGTCATCTAGAACAGCTGTTTAATAAATATTTATTGGATGAACAGTTACATACTTTTAGAAACTTCAAATTATAGAGTTTAAAAATAGTCACCACTGGAGCATCTAATTTCATTGGTTTTAATTAAGTAATTTCTAAAATTGTTTGGCAGTAAATTCACTCCATCACTCTAATTCAGTAGATTAAATAAAAAGATACATGGGAGTATTGTGGCTAGGCTCTATTGGAATCACAGGGACCACTAAAAACAAAACACTTCATTTGTATTGGCACTATGGCAGTACTGAGGGTCTTCACATACACCCCCACATAAGCTCCTAGTTTTATCCTGAATTGAACTTTTCTACAGAATCCATACTTCCACAGTCCCAAATATCTTTTGGAACTTTCACCACAGTTGTCCACTTGACAAAAATATTTGTTCTGACTAGAGTACTCATGGAAAAGTTGTAAACTTTTTTTATTACTATCAAAAGATTTGGGGGGAAAAAAAGGGGGGGCCAATGGTTAGGACTTGGCGCTTTCACTGCCAGTGCCCAGGTTCAGTCCCTGGTTGGGAACTAAGATCCCTTAGGACGTGTGGTACGGCCAAGAAAAAAAAGATCTGGCAAAATTATTTGTATCATAGAGAAAAGGAAACACTGAACTGGACATTTCAGTCTTTTTTTTTTTTTTTTTACTGTTGCAATGTTTGTTTTTTTATTTTTCCAGTCTTTAATTTATATACAATCTCTGTTTTCTGGTTAAGAACCATAACTTTCATTACCAGGACTAGTAATTTTTCTTTTTTTTTTTTAAATTATTTATTTTATTTACATTTTATTTTCAGCTGTGTTGGGTCTTTGTTGCTGCACGCGGGCTTTCTCTAGTTGGGGTGAGTGGGGGCTACTCTTCGTTGTGGTGTGCGGGCTTCCCATTGCAGTGGCTTCTCTTGTTGCTGAGCGCAGGCTCTAGGCGTATGGGCTTCAGTAGTTGTGGCTCGCAGGCTCTTGAGCTCAGGCTCCATAGTTGTGGCGCACGGGCTTAGTTGCTCCGCGGCATGTGGGATCTTCCCGGACCAGGGCTTGAACCCGTGTCCCCTGCATTGGCAGGCGGATTCTTAACCACTGCACCACCAGGGAAGCCCTAGTAATTTTTCTTTAAAGAAGTTTTCACAAAAAAGCAAAACTTTTCTCATACGCCAAAAGATACTAGACCCACAACACAGACAAGAAAAAGTTAAAAGGAAGGTGTAGGTGACTGATCAGCCAGGTTCCTTGCTAAGTGACTCAAAAGCATCCATCAAACTTGTATTGACGGCACTTCCCTAGTGGTGCAATGGTTAAGAATCCACCTGCCAATGCAGGGGACACAGGTTCAAGCCCTGGTCTGGGAAGATCCCACTTGCCGTGAAGCAACTAATCCCGTGCACCACAACTACTGAGCCTGTGCTCTAGAGCCCTCGAGCCACAACTACTGAAGCCCGAGTGCCTAGAGCCCTGGAGCCACAACTACTGAAGCCCATGCGCCTAGAGCCCGTGCTCCGCAAAAGGAAGAGTAGTCCCCACTCTCTGCAACTAGAGAAAGCCCTCGCACAACAACAAAGACCCAACGCTGCCATAAATAAATAATTAAATAAATTTATAAAACAACAAAAAAACTTGTATTAACTGGGGCTTTATTTCATAGTTCAGTAAAATTACAAATTACTAATGTTAATACACAGGGTTTTTTTATGAATGATCAAAACAGAGCATGTTGCCACCAGACAAATCCAGAACAATATAAACATGAAAATAATTTAGTAAGTAATTAGAAAAATTTTTAAAACAGGAATTCATGAATCTGTACTGATAAATAGATAAATAAATGGAATAGAAATGAGAAGGGCCTAAAATAGAATGCCAAAGGCTGGTTGGTAAATATGGAGCAAATAGAGATGGAAAATTATTATTTTTCGACCATCACCATAAAGATGGGATTAGGCAAAAAGTATCAATGGATGAAGGATGTTAAGTGTGAGGCAAAATTTTGATGAGGCACAGGACATTTGCATTATCTTAAAGTGTCTCCCCACAGACCGCTTATTAGTTGCAGGGGGGAATAAAGCAGTAATTATTGGGCAACACGTTGACAAGATGATCAAAATTAACATCACCTATGTGCTACCAGATGTTATTTCCCAAAAGGATACAACACGACCTATACAGTATTCCAGCCAGCAATACATAATTTCAATCTAATCTTGAGAAAACATCAGACAAATACAAAATGAGGAATATTCTATTTAAAAAGGGAAGAGGAGGAAACATATTCTTCAAAAATGTCAATGTTATAAAAGACAAAGAAATATTGTGGAAACGTCCCAAATTAAAGGAGGTTAAGGACGGAACTAGAGGATGTCATACTAAATGAAGTCAGAGAAAGAGAAATACGATATCCCTTATATGCGGAATCTAAAAAGAAATGATACAAATGAACTTATTTACAAAACAGAAACAGACTCACAGACTTAAGAGAAGGAACTTATGGTTACCAGGGAGGAAGGGATAGTTAGGGAGTTTGGGATCGACATGTACACACTGCTATATTTAAAATGGATAACCAACAAGGACCTACTGTATAGCACAGGGAACTCTGCTCAATGTTATGTGGCAGCCTGAAACAATCACAACATTGTTAATCGGCTATACTCCAATATAAAATAAAAAGTTAAAAAAAAATCAACCAAAAAAACAAAAACTTTGTCACCATTGGAGAATGCTAAGAAAGCAACCCCTAGCATTATTTTGAAAACTAGGAAATAAAGAGAAAGAATTAAAAAAAAAAAGAGGTTAAAAAACATATGGTACTGATAGTGTGAATAATTGTTATAGCTGTTTCTCATTTATTTTATTACCACAGGGAGTAAGAATATACTAAAAATACTATAAATAGTAACAACAATTGAAATGTTTCATTCACAGGCATTCTCAATTATTAGTAACACAAAGGAACACAAAGAGCATACCTGAAGTTGTGAACACTGGGGAATTTTCCTTCGAGGTGGAGTCGGGATAAATGAAGTCTGCTTCCTGACTGATTCTAATCGTTTTTGCAGAGGGGTGGCACCTATAAAGTAATCTTTAAGCCTTGAGGATGCACACTGTCTAGGAGTCGATTCTGGTGCATCATAAGAATCCATGGTCTACATGAAAAGAAATAAAACCAGAATTCTAAATAGTAAAAAGTTAATTCATGCTCATAGTTTCACTGATTCCTCTATCTACTATAAAGGAATTCTTTCTCTCTCCCTCCTACTCCCTGCCCCATTTTGACTTTTTAATCAAATCCTATATTTCTCATTGGCTATAGGCTATTTTTATGAACATCTTACAGATAGCTCAAACACAGTTATGTTCAAAACTAAATTCAACTCCTTCTGTCCTCCTTCCAAAAGCTAGCTGGTCCATTTTCAAATTCCTGTCAATTTTCTAAGTTAATTTAAACGTATTTAAGTAGTCTCCCACTTTCATTTTTTAACATACAATCATTAAGCACATTCTTTTGAATTTTTCCTTCCTCAGTCTCTCCATCCATTCCCAAAGCTACTTCCTTAGCCAGGTCTTATTACCACAACTAAACGTTCCGTATCTGAGGGTAATCCATTTTTCAGAAATGGTACTTTATTATTAGTCACCTGTGCAAAAAACTTTTCAGTGATGAGATAAATTCTACTCTTCTACTGGGCATTCACAACTCATAATTCAGCTTGTCCTTATCCTACTTATCCTAGACATAAACACATCCTTGTCTTCATGTGTTTGCTTATCATATTCCCTACCTCAAGTGTTCTTTTTCCATTCCACCTCCATTAAAACCATGTGTGAATTTGATCCCTTTTCAAATAGTAGGGTTTTGTTAACCTTTTTCCCCCCAGAATACCCATGTTACACACTTCTGTCTGTATCAGTGGCTCATTCTGGGAAGGGGTGTGTGTGTGTGTGTGTGTGTGTGTGTGTGTGTGTGTGTGTGTGTGTACAGAATGAGATCCTCAGGGGTAAATATTCTGAAAAAGCCCAAAAGCCCTCTAAATGAGTCTAACAAAATCCCTCGAGAATATTCTACAAAATCTTTGGAGATTAATAATACACCAGCCCACACAGCTCTCTTCAATCACTCATTTTGGCCCGAATTCATCTACTTGTACTATTTTTTTGGTGTGCACTTCTTCTCTTCCCAGAAAAACTACTTTGACTGAAATCATGCTCTTTGTATTTCTCTTGTATAATTACCCTAGTATAATACTGAATGCTGTTTAATTGTTAAGCAAGTATTGGTTTAATTGAACAGAAGTATTTCATGGAACTCCAAAATTGAAAGGAATTATGATTTAAAAGTTATAAAAATTACTCCCAAGAAGTGGCACAGTTACCCTTTCAAAAATTTTTTTCAGGGCTTCCCTGGTGGCGCAGTGGTTGAGAATCTGCCTGCCAATGCACGGGACACGGGTTCTAACCCTGGTCTGGGAAGATCCCACATGCCACGGAGCAACTGGGCCCGTGAGCCACAACTACTGAGCCTGCGCGTCTGGAGCCCGTGCTGAGCAACAAGAGAGGCCGCGACAGTGAGAGGCCCGCGCACCGCGATGAAGAGTGGCCTCCGCTTGCCACAACTGGAGAAAGTCCTCGCACAGAAACGGAGACCCAACACAGCCATAATAAATTAATTAAAAAAAATTTTTTTCACAAGTGAAGAGCTTTATTTATCATTATATTTAAATTTATATATATATATATATATATATATATATATTTATTTATTTATTTAGTGAGAGGCCTCTCACTATCGCGCCCTCTCTTGTTGCTCAGCACGGGCTCCAGACGCGCAGGCTCAGTAGTTGTGGCTCACGGGCCCAGTTGCTCCGCGGCACGTGGGATCTTCCCAGACCAGGGCTCGAACCCGTGTCCCGTGCATTGGCAGGCAGATTCTCAACCACTGCGCCACCAGGGAAGCCCTATATTTAAATTTCATCATGTCAAAGTATGACACACTCTATACCTTGCACAAAACTCCATAAATTAAATATATAGTTCTCAAAACTCAGATAATGCCCAGAGAAAGATCATATACCATACAACTTAAATAGCAGCTACTCTAAAGCAGTCTGCCTTTAAATGCATACAGAATTGTGTATTCAAAATGGAATTTTAATCAGTCCCATCTACATTGAATGTTTCTTTCAAATCTGTTATTTGGAATAATTGCTAACATTTATTGAGTATTCATCATGTGCCAGGTAACTTTCTAAGCCCTTTAACAAATATTGTCTCATTTAATCCTCAAACAACTGTATGAGGTCGGTTATTATATTCCCAGTTGACAGATAGGAAGATAAAGAAATTAAATAACTTGCCAAAGTCATACAGCTAAAAATGCCAGAGCCAGAATTTGAACCGAGACAGTCTAACACCAAAGTGGGTGCTCTTACCTCCTTCTTGCACACTGCCTTTCAATAGGGATCAATTTCAAGGCAAAATAAGCCCTACTAAGTTTGACTACTTAAAAGAGAAATTCTATGAATTCCAAAAGGATTTTAAAGTCTATCTAGGTGAGAGAAAGACTACTAGCTCTGAAAGGACTGGTATTGAGAAAACATTTCCCTTGAGTAATTTAATACTGCAGTAATGTGAAATAGCCCAATCCATGCATTAAAGATTAGAAAATGGTTTATACCTATTTTACTTTCTCACTCCATACTCAATAATGTACAATTTTGCCCTGCCAGATAATTAAGAGGTTAAAAATATAGCCTGACTTAATATTTTACTGCCCCAATATTCTTCCTTCCAACTGTAAGGAAAAAAGGTCCTCTTACTTGCTTTCTAAAGCCAATCCATCAACCAATATTCTTGATCTCCATGTCCCTTTACATTTCCCTTGGGCACCATCTCCCATGTTTATTTCAAACCTCTATCATCTCTAATCTCTACTGCACAGGATACTTTTCTTCCACTGCCATGCATATTCTTGTATTCCTAACACTAAAAACGTTTTGTTTAAATCCTACTCGTCTCATTCGTTTTGAGACCAATTTCCTGGAAATATGGTATACAACTATTGCCTTCACTTACTAATAAATATTTTTTTGGAAATCTTCAGCAACCTCTCTTATGAATCCATCACTATAAAGACATGGCACTTTTGAAGATTACCAATAATATTTTTGTGAAAACCATGGCCAAATACTTGATTCATCAAGTTTGCTCATCCTTAGTCCTCTAAACTTTGTTACCTTGCTTTTTTTCAGACACTCAATTATTTCTCCTCCTTGTTTCTTATGGTTCTTTCTGATTCATTTGCTGATTCCTATCCTTCCTCCAGTCCCAACAGTGCGTGTCTCCCCAGACTCTGAAATCACTCATTCTCCATATAACATTCATTCTACATATGACTCCTAAATCTCTATTTTCAGACCTTTGCACCTGCATTTCCAATTTCCTGTAAAACATTAAACTTTTTTGTACTCAAACTCATTAAGTTCAAAGCTAAACATTATTTTACAATCAATCTTTCCTTTCCAACTACCCTGTTTCTCAATAATAATTCCACTCTTCCTTCTCATTTTCCTTCCTGCCCCTTAAAATACTCCTTAGTCATCTTTTACTCTTCCCTCAACTTCACGTTTACATCCGAATTAGCATCAAATTCTGACATATTTCTTAAAAGCATACATACTAGCCCTCTCAGATTTGGCCTTCACTTGCATTCTTAATTATAGCCACTTCTCTTATTCCAGTCTTAACCCCTTTCCCCAAATCCATGACTAGTTTCTCCACAGACACCACTTTTATCTTGTCATTACCTTGCTTGAGATCCCATAACAATTCCCACACATCTTCTAAATAAATGAAGCCAAAACTTCTCTGCCTGGGTTTCAAGGCACGAGATCATATTATCTGATCCTATCCAGGTTCATTTTCTACTACTTCAGTTCTTACCCCACGATCCATGGACAAAGGGTCTTTCCTAAATCTAAAAGCCCTCTAAGGTTGGATGCAAAATGGTGTATGCGTGTGTATTTGGTGGGAGAAGGGGGTGAAGAAAGGTCCAGGAGATGATTCTTTAAACGGTTAAGAGCCACTGCCCTACACCCAAACATGCCCCCTTGCCCTAGGCTGCTCATCACCCTCCTGCTCTTCATGCCTGTCATGTTTGCCTCTGCTCCCGGACTTCTTTATTCAACCTATTGCCAATTAAGACTACTTCTCTACACCCATTTGTCTGGCCAAATCCAATCTACCCTTCAAGTTTCATCTCCTCAGGAGAAACTTCCAAGTATCCACAGAGCTAGCTCTCCGGCCAAATCCTCTTGCACTTGCAGTTCAGAACACACAATTACAACTCAGTTGTTTTTCTTGTGCTAAGTCCGTGAAGGAAGGGACCCTGACTTAAATCACTTTTGTACATCGTCACCTAACGCCAATGCTAAGCAGGTCGTGTGAAACACATCTGAACCCCCAAGTATTGTAAAGATAACGACCACACAGCAGGGCAAAACACAAAGTTTACTGCCACGCCTGGACCAATAACAAAGAATCTTACCAATAAAATGCCGTGATGACGCTGTCAACCATTCCCTTCACGAATCATTCTTCAAGTCTGGATCCAAAACTACGTCGAAACTGAAATCCCCTGAAGTAAAACAGCCGCCAAAATGACAGCGAAGGGTTAAGTCCGGAGGAAACCCTGGCGCTCCCAAATTCCCTCTCGCTCCACCACAGCTGGGTTCACGACGGACGCAAACGGGCCCAGTAAGGAGACCTCCGCTCCCGCAGGCGCCAGCCGAGCCCGACACTTCACGCCGGGAAGGACATTTCCGCTGACTCAGCCACCCAGCTCCGCGACCCTCGCTCCTGCGGAGTCTGCTTCAGCCCACGGAGGGAAAGGGCAAGGGACAGTGTGTCCCAACGCGCCCCTCTCCACCTGAGGCCTCAGGGGCCAACGCCGGTTCCAAAAATCCCGCCGTTGAGAAGCAGCAACTTTGCGTTCAGCCGCCTCCTCAGTTTAAAATCGTTTCCCGACTCGCTCTGCGGCAGGACGCTGGACGCCTCCATGGCGCTGATTCCAAGTCAGTGAAGCAACTAAGGTTGCCATTTTAACTGAGGGCACGGGAGCGCTCTAACCATTAAAGTCTACTTTCCTAATCGCGGGGTGTTCATCTTCCGCGCTTTTCTACCGGTGCTCAGCGGTCCTTCAAACTTCCGCCCGTAGTAAAGATGGCGGCACTCCCTCTGTTCTGATTGGTTGACTCCCTCCACCGTAATCTTGGTTGTTCGTGGGGTGGGTAAAGGACAGCTTGGCTCCCAGCGGCGATCTGTGTGTGGTTTCGGGCCCTAGAAACATTTTGGATTTGCTTTCATTCCTCCTTCTGAAGACCCAAGGTCGGCCACCAGGTTTGGGAGATTTGAAACGCGGGGCTGATTTTCCTCCCTGTTTTCCGGTTCTGCCCGCGGGAACCTTCGAGGAAGCGTGGAAGGATGGGAAGGGCGTGCGCCTGCTGACCGGCCCCGTGTTGCCTCTGCGTGGCCGCGGTGTCCCGCCTTGGCTGCTCTATGGAATCGTACGCTTGTCACTTCAGGCCGAAGCTTTGTTTGTTAATAGAAGTGAAACGGATGCGTTGAGAGGGGACAAAGATTTTAAAAGGCCCTTCCCCTACCCAACTTCCCCAAAGGCCCCAAAGACTGCAGATTTATCTAGTTTGCCGACACGAGCTCTTGAATGTTCAGCGGACAAGGGCTTAAATATAAGAGAGTGGGAACTCCTAACATTTTAAGGGATTTGTGTGTATTTCCAAAACTGACTTTTGACCGCCATCCAACACCTGCTGCCTGAGATTCCTGAGCGTCTCGCCATCCTGCGGCTCTAACATGTTCTGTTGGTTAAGTCGGCTGTACAGGGGTTTATCCAGACCCACTAGAAGGACCACACAGCTGATCTGGGGTTCTTTCTCCCGAAGTCTGGTACTGAGTTCACAGAGGAGAATTCCAGGTGAATGTAGTGAAGAGGTTTGTCCTCTGAACAGCCCAGCCCTTCCTCCTTTTCTCTGCAGCAAGAGTGCTTATTCCATTTTTCCCCTAGTCTCGACTGCATAGCTTTATGTGTAGAAGCACATCATTCACCCTCTCCATTTCTTATAATGTAGTTTTCTCCCTGGAATTTAAAAAGAGCAGAAAAGTAACCACATGAATAGGCTATTCATTAAGCTCATGCTGTGAATAAGAAGCCTAAAAAATTCTTTCATACTTGAGAATACCTTAAATAGAGTTTTCAAATGTACAAGTGACTATTTCACTCTAGATTCATACTACAACCAGTTACTGCACCGTCAGATTTATGAAATTCCCAAGATCCTATTTCATTTGGGGAAGAAATGTGCACTATTAAGAACAGTGCGTTTTAGGTTAATGCAGATGCTGGGTGATCAAAAATATTTATATTCTTAACACAAGGCAAAAATTTACATTAAGATAGTTATTCACATGACTTTTGACACATTTGCAGGTAAATTTAATAGTGATTGATTACATTCTTCAACTTTATAAATTTCATCCATTGATATGAAAAAAGATGGTATGATTTGAGAGTCTATCCTCAAACAATGTGCAAATGATATATTTTTAATCTTACTTTTTTTCGTTTCTTTAAGAACTCAGTAGTTTTGTTGCCCGGACCAACACGTGTGGAGAGTTGCGTTCTTCTCACTTAGGCCAAGAAGTCACCTTGTGTGGATGGATTCAGTACCGAAGGTAGATAGAGGCAGGTGTTTTACGTATGCATGATGGTGGTTTTCCTAAGGCAATTTTAAACTGCTATTAATTTTTAACCAGTCAGAAGCATAAAAGCTTTGCAACTCCTGTAGGAGTCTCAGAAGTCATTGAATTTTCAGTTTTATTTTTGTTTTGAAAGACTCAAATAGTGTCACTCCCAGTAAGTACCAGTAACATCTGTTGAACGGTATAATAAGTGTGATCCACCAAGGGACAGAAATGTCCCTAGGTTTACTAAGATTGAAGAGTGCCTAGGACCAGTAATTGGGTAAGCTGGTAAGCTTCCATAGCATAAAAAAGCATAGTTTTTGCTAAATTTAGGTAGAGAAAAAGTCTAAAAACATGAACAATGATTCCTTAATGTTAGAGGACATGTTGTTGTTGTTGTTCATCTCTATATTCCAGAACATACCTGAATGGAACATTAATTCACAATGAAGAGATCCAAAATACATAGATTGAGTGATTTTCCTAAAGAATATGTCCCAAATGGGTGGATATTTGACCCATACATTTGGTGAATTTTATCTCCTGAAGGAAAATCTGAGGAGGCTTTCTGTACCTCTTCTTGGTACTAAGAACTGTATGAGAAATGTTGGTTGAATGCTAAAATATTGGGATTTGGGGGACCTTTTGATGGCTTATAGAGGTATTAAGTTAGTACTGGACCTCTTCTAGAAAATTTTAGATTACATCTTATTTTTAGGAAAATAAGAGATTTTATATTGCCGTATTTTAAAAAATGACCAATCAGATGTCTCTAATATGCTAAAATCTTACCTTTGGATTTTAATATATGGAAAGTTTCCAATTTTAATTCAAATTTCTTATAAAGACTTAAGCCAATAAAATTTTTTAAGTTTTAAAATCTGCCTTTTCATTAATAAGCCATCTGGATAGCATTAGTAAGCTGTACATATAGCTACTAAAAGTAGAAATTGTAAACAAAAAAGTTTTTTCATTAATAAGCTACAAGATAATTACACAAATATAACTATGAATGCATATTATTATAAAAAAGCAACATGTGAAATTGCATGGGTTTTTTATTTGTTTTGCCTGCTTAAATTTTGGTCTCAAAGATTTTATCCTAATATGTTCACTTTCTTCATTAATCAGGCAAAACATCTTCCTGGTCCTAAGAGATTTCCATGGGCTTGTTCAAGTTATCATTCCTCAGGATGAGGTAATAGAAGTTTCCTCCTGTTATCTCCAAGCCTCTTTGATGCTGTGGTTAGAATAAATGAAGCATGTTGGATAAGTATGTTTGAGGTTTCAAATTAAGAAGTTTATTGTTATGGGCTTCCCTGGTGGCGCAGTGGTTGAGAGTCCGCCTGCCGATGCAGGGGACACGGGTTTGTGCCCCGATCCGGGAAGATCCCACATGCCGTGGAGGGGCTGGGCCTGTGAGCCATGGCTGCTGAGCCTGCGCGTCCGAAGCCTGTGATCCGCAACGGGAGAGGCCACAACAGTGAGAGGCCCTAGTATCGCGAAAAAAAAAAAAAAAAAAAAAGTTTATTGTTAATGAAAATTAAAACTACCATAAGCCACATTAAGACAGATGACAAACTGCGAAAAACTATGTGCAATTCATGTCACAGACAAAGGGCTAATTTCTCTAATATCTAAAAGGCTACTACAAATCAATTAAAATTTTTTAAAAAAATACCAGTGCTGAATATGAACATAAAATTTATAGAAAAAAAATATAAATGGCTATTTTTCTATATGTCTGTAGACATATGAAAATATGCCCAACTTCACTCATAGGCAGAGAAATATGAATTAAAGCTACACAGAATTGTTATTTTTTATGCACTGGATTGAGAACACACTGTGTTTGGGGAAACAAGTGCTCATACATTCCTGGAGGGAGTATAACTTGGCACTAGCTCTATGGATGGCAATATCAAAATTATAAATGCATATATCCTTTGAACCATTCATTCCACTTGTAGTCAATGATCTTAAAGCTATCTTACACGTAGACTTACATAGATGCAAAATGACACAAATAGAAGGTTATTCACTGCTGAAATATTTTTAATCGAAAGAACAATCTAGGGCTTCTCCAGTGGCGCAGTAGTTGAGAATCTGCCTGCCAATGCAAGGGACACGGGTTCGATCCCTGGTCCGGGAAAATCCCACATGCTGCGGAGCAACTAAGCTCGTGTGCCACAACTACTGAGCCTGTGCTCTAGAGCCCATGAGCCACAACTACTGAGAGCCCGTGTGCCGCAACTACTGAAGCCCGCGCACCTGGAGCCCGTACTCCACAATGAGAGAAGCCACTGCAATGAGAAGCCCGTGCATTGCAACGAAGAGTAGCCCCCGCTCGCCGCAACTAGAGAAAGCCCGCGTGCAGCAACAAAGACCCAACACAGCCAAAAATAAATAAATAAATAAATAAATAATTTTTTTGAAAAAGAAAGAACAATCTAGATGTTCCCCAATAAGAGACTGGTGTAAAAAATAATGTACACCCTTACAGCTATGGAAAAGACTGAAGAAGCTTATTATGTACTAATATGGGAAAAAATCCAAGGTATATTGTTAGATATAAAAACAGGATACAGAAGAGCATGTAGAGTGATATTATCTGTACTAAAAAGGGCATGTGTATGTGTGTGTATGTTATGAACTGTCCCTGGAAGGACACATAACATTGGGTATCTCTGGGGAGGGGAATTAAGGAGCTGGAGAGAGACTTTTCACTGTAGATCTGTTTATACTCTTTGAATTTGAGCCATGTGAAGGTACTACCTGCTCAAAAAATAATTACCATTAAATTCAGATAAAATAAAGTACTCTCATCATGTTGCTGAACATCACTGGTTTCTATTTTGGTAATATTTACAAATGTTTGTACACCTGAGAAAAATAAGATTTACTCTGCTTTTAATGTTTGAAGTAAGTAAAGAGCCATGGGTTATCTTTCAGGGATCAGGATGCAGAGATGAGCATAGCTAACCCAGGAGAACTCCTTCACTTTGGACTCCATTATTGCTCTTGGATTTAACTGCCCCTAAGGCTAATCCTGGAGACAGTTGCCTTTAAAGTATGTGGGAATTGTTTGCATTAATCATTCTTCTCCTTATTTTCCTTTAAGGAAAAAAAATTTTAATTCTTAACTAATAGTTTTACTTGCTGTATTATACGGAGTCAAAATGGGGATGCAGTTTACCAAATTCTTTAATAAAGTCATTAAGAGAAGCCCCAGTATTTATTGCAATTAAGCTATGAGTATTAACATTTTTCTAAGCCATAATCTACAGTTGCTGCAGAGTCCTTTAAGTTCATTTATTTGTTGGAACTATTTTCCCCTCTTATTCTGTAGTCGGCTGCTTCTGTGAAGAAGATTTTATGTGAAGCCCCCATGGAATCTGTGGTGCAAGTGTCTGGCACAGTAATTTCTCGACCTCCAGGACAAGAGAATCCAGTTAGTAATTTAGAAACTGTCTATTTAAATTTTACCTGTGTACATGGGCACTGTCTGTCAACACATTCAGGCAACAGCGACTGAGTATCTATTAGATATCCAGCACTAAAGCTCTGCAGGTTCTACAAATGAACCTACAGATTTTAAAATCTTCACTGCAAACGTAAACACCTATGTAAATATGCATGTTAAGACATTTGGTAATGAGCTCATCAACCACAGATATACATAAGAATGTCAAAGTCGTACACAGACATTTATGTTTTAGACTATACACTATAAGCACCCCGTGTTTTACATATGTAAATAAATGCTTGTGTTTTATAAATATTCACTGCGTACATGTCCTGATGAGTGATTTTTAAAATAGGTCTTTTCTCTCTTTCTCTCTTTAAGAAAATGCCAACAGGTGAGATTGAAATCAAAGTTAAAACAGCTAAACTTCTGAATTCCTGCAAGAAGCTGCCCTTTGAAATTAAGGACTTCGTGAAGGTGCCGTCCTCTGTTACTAATAAAATAGAGTATCTAGAAAATGTTGATAACCAGTAAAGTGTTTTCAGAGTTTTTTAAAGAAAAAGTTTAACTTCTACAAAATTAAGCGTGTTATAGCTATATCATGAATTATTCTGTTAGTCTTACAATTTCCTGGTGAACTGTTCTTAAATATCAACAGTTCTTTAAGCTGTTGCAGCTCCTGAACACCTAGAATGTTTTTTCAGACAGCTGGAAACAAGGTTGTCTTTGAGACTTAGGTGTTATTTTGTTCCATTTTGTTGCTATGGTTTTACATTTTGAGAGGAAATTTATGTTTACCTTAGAAATGGCCACATGGCATAGGAGATCCTGCATATATTAAGTTTAAGCCTCTAACAGTGATAAAATGTTTATAAGGCATATAAATATGATTACTGTAATTTAGGATGTTCTTTGAGGAAGCTAGACAACACTGGATATGTAAGCCCAGCTAATTTTCAGCTTTGTCACAACTGTCTACAGTTGTAGACTTATATATACCTAATTTATAAACTAATCTATAAAGGATTTTTTTAATTGCATGGCCACTTAGTCTTACAATTGAGTTCCCAGTACTTAATATTTTAATTAGAAAAAGCAGTATAATTACAGAGTTGACCTTGTTGTGGGGAAAAAAAGGAAATATGCAGTTTTCCACCAGCTCTAAGCTTTTAGAAAGAGAAATGACAGGTAGTTCTTCTATTTCTATTTCTAGTATCAAAGAAATAAACTATTCCAGGGGAAAAGGTTGTCAGCACAGGAGGGATACAGAGAATTCCAGCCTTGAAAATAAGCAGACCTTATCACTGTGTTCCTACTAGTACAGCTGTAGAGATTCGTCTGCTGTTCGCTTGCATTTCTTAAACTTGTCGTCCCATCCAGGTCATAAAGTCGTGGCTGTTTTTGGCCCTGGTATATATTTTCTAATGATCTTTGAAATCTTTACATTTTTTTTTTTCAGGATTAAACTCCAGGCTTAAAAATGAATGGGTAGGGAGTTCCCTGGTGGCCTAATGGCCTAGTGGTTAGGATTCCAGGCTTTCATGGCCATGGCCCGGGTTCAATCCCTGGCCGGGGAACTGAGACCCCGCAAGCCACGTGGTCAAAAAGAAAAAAGGCGGAAAAAAAAGAATGAATAAATGTTTAGTAAGGTAGGCAAATTTCAGTCAATGAAGTGTGGTTCACTGAAAAATGTAAAATCTATGCTAGTAACAAGCCTAGAAGTCATAGGAATTAAGAATGGTGGTGTGTGTGCACAAATGGTGGAAGCTAAAGATAGAGCTAAAGTTCTTAAAAATTCACAATCTGTATCTAAAGTTAATATCTTTTTAATATTTGAAAAATATTTAAACATAAAAATCTTTAAATTTGTTTAGAAAACAGAGGCTCTTCGTTTGCGGTATCGCTACTTAGATTTGCGTGGTGTCCAAATGCAGTATAACCTGCGACTGAGGTCCCAGATGGTCATGAAAATGCGGGAATATCTCTGTAATCTACATGGTAAGGGAAGAAACAGTAATTTCCATGTGTTTTATCCTAGAACATAATTTAGTAACATAAAACATAATTTAGTTCCCTACTGGGTCATAAATACAGCCTTTTAAAGGTGATAGTGCCTGTTAATGTTGTCTAAGTATTTACCATCACTGTTGAAGGTGGACCAGCCCTTTGGTTGTTATCTGTAAGTTTTCTTAATTCTTTATCATGCTTGTACATCATTTGTTGGGAGCTCAAAAATGTCATGTGAATGAAACTAGACTCTTCAGTCAGTCCTGGGTTTTTTTCTACTATATTTGTGTTATTTTTGCTACACTAGCAGAACACAAGGAAAACCATAACAGTTCAGTACACAGAATCTATCAAACAGAATTATTTCATTACAAAATTACCAGCTTTATGAACAGAATAGGATTTTATGAAAATCTTCAGCTTCCCTCTTGGGTTTGTAGAAACCAGAATCAATATGCTTCATAGCTTATTTCAGTCAAAATTCCTAATTAAAGGGTAGCCTCAGATTTGTTGGACTGTATTGTAGACATCATATTTGGTAAATTCCCATCTATTAAATTCCGATATTTCTCTCTTTTTAGGGTTTGTGGATATAGAAACACCAACATTATTTAAAAGGACTCCAGGGGTATGTATATTCCTTAAATCAGCCTACTAATAATGTCCTGTTAGTTATGAAACTGGACCACTTGCTTTTATATTCCCTTAGTTCTATTTCTTTTATTTATTTTACTGCCTTAGGATGTTCACACTAACTAGGTATTTTAAGAGTTGAGCAAATTATATGGGTCAGTACTTTTAGTCAGAATCCTTTAATCCTACATCATTTTCTTTCTATTGAGGTTTATAGCTACAAATCAATAATGAATTGGTTCATTAAAAATAAATCCATTGAAAAATAAATAAATAAAAATAAATCCATTGTTCATTAAGAACTGACATTTTCAAACACTGATATTTATACAGTCTCTGGACTTATAAAATTATAGTTTAAATTTAGAAAAGCAGTTAGGAATTACTTGAATAGGAATTGACGCACAAAATCCTTTTTAGCTAGTAACAGGATTGGGCATTCATTTCAACAAGCATACATTTAATACTTGCTGTATACAAATATTTAAAGCCTACTATGTGCAAGCCTTTTGGGGACTAAAGGATGAGCAAGAAATGATCTGTCATTGTGGGAACCTTGCTCTTTAGTTGATTTCATTGATGAACTGAAGTATTGACTTCTGCCAGTTCTTGAATTTGCTTTTTAATAATATCTCTGCTCTCCCTCTCTCTCATTCAAAGGGTGCAAAAGAGTTTGTAATACCATCCAGGGAACCTGGAAAGTTTTATTCTCTCCCTCAGAGTCCTCAGCAGTTTAAGCAGCTTCTGATGGTTGGTGGTTTAGACAGGTGAGCTTTCTTTATGATAGTACTGGTCAGAAAAGGAAAAGAGGGGGAAGAAAGGGGAAAAGGAAACACAAAATTGTCTAATCTCTTAAAAGAAGGTTTGAAAATGTATGAGAGTTTGGAAAATACTTGTAAAATACCCTAAAAATGTGTAGTCATTATGTAAAGATTTATTGGGTGACCATCGTGTACAAAGCTCTATGCTAGTAGATGGGGTAGGGGGTTAAAAACAAAAAAGAATAGGTTTTGCTCTCAAGGAGCTAATGAATCTAGTAAGACAAAATAGGATATTAAAATCAACTGTGATGTAAACCAAAAATAAGTATGTTGAGTGTTGCAAATTAGTTGTATTAAGAAGTTTGAAATTATATTGTTTTGGGAAATATCATTAAAAACTTTGGGAACTAGGCCTTCTGGGACAGAGCTGCATTTCAGCAGATGAAGATGAGAGTTGGAATGGCATAGCACAGGAAAGCTCAAGTGTATTCATGGAGCAGTGAGTATTTCAGTTTGGCTGAAGCAAAAAAGTGTGTATAAAGAAGCATGGACTGCCTTGCATGTCAGTCTAATATATGAATATCCAAAGGTGCCATTGTATATTTGTAAGACAATATATTGAGCAGTTAACTTCTCATGGGTCAACTATGTATCTGACTAGATTAGAGCATCATAAAGAATTTTAAAATCTCTTATGCCCGTTTAGTATCATTATTATTTTGTACCCTGCATTGCCAGGAACTTTTGGGGGAAAGTGTGTGTGTGTTTCTAGAATCCTGACTCAATTAACACTATTTTCCATTTGTAGATATTTTCAGGTTGCCCGATGTTATCGAGATGAAGGATCAAGACCAGACAGACAGCCCGAATTTACTCAGGTACTAAGTTATATTCACTCATCTCTTACTGATTCAGCCTTGCTACAGCCAAGAATGTCAAAACCAGGATAGAAATTATATATATTTCTCATTACATTTTATCTATCAGATATTTAATTAAACTAACCTACAGTTGAGGCATTAGTTATTTAATTTTTGATCCATTTATAAAGAATATGGTCATAAACTAAGGAATGACAGATTCCTACAGTGTTTTAATGGTCATGATATGACAAAGTTCTTTAAAAAAATCTCTTGTGGGCTTCCCTGGTGGCGCAGTGGTTGAGAGTCCGCCTGCTGATGCAGGGGACACGGGTTTGTGCCCCGGTCCGGGAAGATCCCACATGCCGCGGAGCAGCTGGGCCCGTGAGCCATGGCCGCTGAACCTGTGCGTCCGGAGCCTGTGCTCTGCAACGGGAGAGGCCACAGCAGTGAGAGGCCCGCGTACCGCAAAAAAAAAAAAAAATCTCTTGTGCACTAAGACAATTCTGTATGTTGATATTTAATCTATTTATCTGGTTAGCGTCATCAAAACTATTATGATTTAGTTTCTGTATGATATCATATTAATTTGTATGGTACAGAAATCAGTAATCAGCACAAAAACCATAAGATTTGGAGTTGGACAAACCTAAGATCAAATGTAATGTAACTGTACATCATCAGGCAAGTCACTTAGCCTCTCTGAGCCTTAAGCCATGAGATAGTTGTGGGAACTAACAGTTTGATGTATGTAAAGCATTAGATGTACAGTAATATTTAACCTGCTTCCCCATGTATTAAGAACAGAATCCAATGGTAATTTGAAACAAGAGAAATATATAAATATGTATGTATATACTAATATTGTGGCTCTTCAAATTAGTTTCCATATGTTGTTTTGGTTTCAGATTGACATAGAGATGTCCTTTGTAGAACAGACTGGCATCCAGAGTCTAATTGAGGGTTTGCTCCAGTATTCATGGCCCAGTGACAGAGATCCTGTGGTGGTTCCTTTTCCTTCTATGACTTTTGCTGAGGCGTTGGCCAGCTATGGAACTGATAAACCTGACACTCGCTTTGGGATGAAGGTACTTTTCTTCACTTTTCCAAGACTCTGCCCTCGAATAGTCCTATAGTCTTTTGAACTACTTTGATGTTTACAACCAGTCACACACACTGTTATATCGTATTTTTTGTTGTTACCTTAGCTTGTTACTTTTGTTGTTACCCAGCTACAGCAGGAGAGAATAGTAGCATGTTAGCATTACAGTACCTTTTCTCTATCTACTGTGTTCCAAGATTCACTTCCAAGAGCAACGTTCTTGCTATAACGTTTTTATTACTGACAAGTTATTAGTTACATGGATATGAATGGTAACTTGAAAGGAAAAAAACAAAAAACCTGTTCTTTCCTCTTGAATTTTTCTTAAGCTAAAATGGCACTTGGAAGGCAAATGATTAAGAGTTATTTATTCTTTTTCCCTGGTCTATAAAGAGCTCAAACATATGGAAACGTTTATTCACATTGTTAAGATCTACACATATTTAACTAAGGGTACAGTAGAACTTACACAGAGCAGCTTTCCTTAGCAGGCCTCTTATTATTTGCTCTTAGACAGCAACAGCCCTTCATCACTGTAAGCTGGTGACATTTCTATATCTCAGTTCTCAGTGCAGATTCCTTAGAAACTGAGTTCTGCTTGGTCCACGAATAGGTAGTGCTCAATTCTCAGAATGAAAAAAACATAGCACACAAAAAAGCCTATTTACAGCAGCCAGCTTGACTACTCCATGTTTCTTCTCTTGTAATATGAAATGGTGGTTCTTAAGTCAGACTACTTAAGTTAAATTCTGGCTCTGCCACTTACTAGCTGTGTTATCTTGGGCAAGTCATTTCTTTCTCTGTGCCTTGGTTTTCTCATCTATTAAATGGGGATAATAAGAGGGCCTGCCTCATACTCTTGTTGTGCAGATGAAATGAATTATTACTAATGAATAATTAGTACATTAACACTTGTCATGGTGCCCAGCCCATGGTAAACACTCTATGAATGCGCTCTATAAACATTAACAAGATCTACTTTCCTCTTTAAAATATTGTTTGTAAAAGGTTTTGAGGGACTTCCCTGGTGGCGCAGTGGTTGGGAATCCACCTGCCAATGCAGGGGACACGGGTTCGATCCCTGGTCTGGGAAGATCCCACATGACGCGGAGCAACTAAGCCTGTGCACCACAGCTGAGCCTGCACTCAAGAGCCCGCAAGCCACAACTACTGAACCAGCGCTCTAGAGCCCGCGAGCCACAAGAGAAGCCACCGCAATGAGAAGCCCATGCACCACAATGAAGAGTAGCCCCTGCTCGCCGCAACTAGAGAAAGCCCGCGTGCAGCGACGAAGAGCCAAATGCGGCTAAAAATAAATAAATAAATTTAGTTTTTTAAAAAAGGTTTTGAAAAAAAAATAAAAATAAAAAAGGTTTTGAGATAAACATTACTTCACGTTTAATTACCTTTTTCTGTTATCCACTTTCCAGATTGTAGATATCAGTGATATGTTCAGAAACACAGAGGTTGGATTTCTTCAAGATGCGCTTAGTAAACCCCAAGGAACCATCAAAGCCATATGTATCCCTGAAGGAGAAGTAAGTGGAGCACAATTCTATATTTTCTTTAAAATGTATATTTGGGAAGTAAATATGTTCAAAATTGGTACATTTAAACTTTAGAAAGAAAAATTCTCTTTAAATAAAAATGCATTTTTCATATAAAGTCTAATAGTGTCTCTAAAACTATAAGTAGAAAATGATAAAACTTTATGAATATGAGTTTACACTTTCGAGATCTAGAGCTTCTATTTTTCCTTTTAAATAATGCTGTAAAGTTCTCCTGTACTTCATTTGGGTTTATTTCCACCAGTGATGAGTATAAAATAGTATTCCTATTCTGTCTCCAGCCTCAGTTTGTCCAACAGCTCCCAGCCCCATATCAGCTCCAGCATAGCCCTTGCGTGTTGGTTCTTGGTCTTCTGACGCTCTGGGGCCTATTGCATTAATAATGGGAAGAGAAAGGAGGTGGAGCTATGAAAAGCAAAAGGAAGGGAAATGAGGGTAGGAGACAGAAAGAATGGTTGGGTTGGGTTGGGTAAGCATGGACTCTTAAGTAATGGGGCATGTCTATTTTCTGTAGTTAGTAAACCTGCTTTGAAAATAATTTAAGAAGAGTTCTAAAAGTATTTTGAATAAGATTACTGTTTTGAAAGGCGATTCAGTTGGATACATAGCATATTAGTATATTTAAAATGGGGAGAAGAATTCAGTCTCATTACTTTTTTTTTCACTTCATATGTTCAGTGGAAAGTAATTTGGTGTCTGTATTCTAGTCCAGAAATATTGAATGTGTTTGGGTAAGCTCGGTATAACATATATTGCTTGTTATTATTATTTACCCCAATTGGAGTATGTCCAATTCTTTCCCAAGTAGATTATAAGGACTGCAGGGTCATGAACCATGTTTTCACCTTTTTTATATCTCCCATAGCTAATTAAGTGCTCCATGAATATTAGTGATGATGATAGCCATAATGTCTCACTTAGAAACACATTGAGATAATTTAGAAAAGTAAGATATAAAGAATTTTAAGAGACTTGAAATAATCAAATTCTGAATCCTCTTATTGATTTTACTGATCCTTCACAATTCAGTTGCAAAGATTCATTTTGAACATATTATAGATACACAGTCTTCTGTGGAATACATTCACAGCTATTTCCAATAAGACCTGCATAATTAGAAAAAAAAAATACACCCTGTAAGAAGCCTTAAAATTTTGTCATTTGAGGGCTTCCCTGGTGGCGCAGTGGTTGAGAGTCTGCCTGCCGATGCAGGGGACACGGGTTTGTGCCCCGGTCCGGGAAGATCCCACATGCCGCGGAGCGGCCAGACCCGTGAGCCATGGCCGCTGAGCCTGCATGGGCTGGAGCCTGTGCTCTGCAATGGGAGAGGTCACAACAGTGAAAGGCCCGCGTACCGCAAAAAAAAAAAAAAAAAAAAAAAATTTGTCATTTGACAACAGAAATTAAATCTTTATTGAATCTTATTATTGTGATGGAAAAACACAAAATACTTGTTTCCCATTTCATTTCATAAACATGTTTGTGAAGCTAAGTGTCATACTGATGAGTTTACTTTTTCTTTCATCAGAAATACTTAAAAAGGAAAGACATTGAGTCCATTAGAAAATTTGCAGCTGACCATTTTAATCAGGTAAGGAGCAGGTTTTTTCCTTTCTTTTAGGGATTCTATATTTTTAACTGTTAATTGCTTGAGCTCTCATGCTATCATTAGTTTTGAGGGGCTTGTTATTTCAGATCATTCTACTTTTCTTCTTTTTATTTTTAAAGTTAATCTTTCCCCTGGGTATAACTCCAAAACTTAAACTTAGTTGAATTCACCATTAATCAGAATGTGAAAGTCCAACCACAGCCTTTTAAAATAAACACTGGTACTTTAATGCAGTTGGGAAAATTAAATAGAGCCCCTTGTGCCCAAGGTTTAAATGAAAGCATGGCAGGTATGAAAGAAAGACAGTATTCATTGTTCTTCCCATACCCTTTTTAGAATTATGAGTATACCTTTCCTTTGACAGATACACTTTGTGTTCTTGGCTTGGTGAACAGTAGCACCAAAATATGGAGGAGGAGCAGGGAATGGGCATTCTTACACTGTCACTGGAAGTATAAATTACCTCAGCCATTTTGGAATCACTAACTTTAAAAATAGTCATATTTTCATTTCCTTCCTGTGCTGAAGCTGCTCCATTGTTCTCTAGGCCAGAGCTTCCTGCATCTTGCTGCTTTGGTCATTCCTATTCCACTCGCCTGCAACCTGCCAAAAATTTTCAGAAATCTCTTCGCTCTGATATCCCTTCTCACCCTTCATTCCTTTTTTTTTTTTTTTCATTTTGGTGAGATTAATTTTTAGATTCCTTTAGTATCGTTTTGAAGGGCTTTAGGGAGGGAATAGAGATAATCTCATGTACGTTCATTTTCTTTTGGAAACCAGAAATCTTTGTACTCCAGGAAAAATAAATCAACCCTGCTTTTTGAAAAATGTATAAGTCTTTTTCTTTGTCACAGGAAGTCTTACCTATATTCTTGAAAACCAATAACAACTGGAATTCTCCAGTTGCTAAGTTCATAATGGAGGAGCAAGGCTTGGGACTAATCAGACTGTTGGAGACCCAAGAGGAGGATGTGGTCCTGCTAACTGCCGGAGAGCATAAGAAAGCAGTAAGCAACATTACCTCCTGGCATCTGTGCTGTTGATGCTGAATGATGCCTCTCTTCTCCTGTGTGTATAGTACATATTTGAAATTGACTGTTAATTTCATAAATTGGAGCTGCTCTGCATGAGTTTTTATGTCTTTTGGCACTGTAATAAAATGCACTGTATAAAAACTAGAGTTTTTTTCATCAGCTAACAGCCTACATTGGCATTGCTCACAGCGATTAGATCTGGCTCTAGGAAAGCCACTTAGGTAAAGAGCTATTGGTATTTGTTGTAGAGCTGTGAAAAAATATTTTCATTTTTGAAGTTTTACAGATTAAGAAAAGTTGGTTGTCCCAAACTTTTGTACATAATGCATTCCTGAAAATGTGGAGGGACAGATCAGACTGCTGGAGGGCTACTGGGCTGGCAGACACCCCTGGCCCTACTTGGTTGAGGCAGTACCCTTTTTCCTCAGGAGCAGCAGCTGGGAGGTGGTGCAGGCTGCCATGCACTGGCTAAATCACCATTCTTCAGGAGACTTATGGAACAATGGATTTAACTTTAGAGATCATTATAAAATATACAAAGTGTGGTATAAAACTCAAACATGAATATTGAAAATATACTGTAAAGATCAAACATGATAAAAATTCATCCTTGGGAATTCCCTGGCAGTCCAGTGGTTAGGACTCGGCACTTTCACTGCCGGGGCCCAGGTTCAGTTCCTGGTTGGGGAACTAAGATCCTGCAAGCCATGGGGCGCAGCCAAAAATAAATAAATAAATAAATATTCATCCTTACACTACAGTATAATATGATATCCTTATAGTGTCTGATTAGTACTTTATCAAGTTCATTCTTCTAATTTATATTTGCACTGTGCCTATTTATCATTATATCTTCCGAAGGAAAAGTTTCAGAGTTCGGCTACAAAGCTAAATATAATCCACTGTCCTTACCTTTCCCTGCAATAGTAGAGTGAGGAAAGCTATGTAATTACAACTTTTCTTGATATTACACCCTTCTTTTTTTTTTTTGGCCACACCACGCAGCTTGTGGGATTTTAGTTCCCCGACCAGGGATTGAACCTGGGCCCTCGGAAGTGAAGCATGGAGTCCTAACCACTGGACTACCAGGGAATTCCCTACAGTCTTTTTTTTTTAATTAATTCATTTATCAACATTAGTTTTTAATACCAGCCATAAGCCAGTACTGTTAAATTTGCTGGGGGATGCACCAGTTAATTACAAATTTTATTGTCAATGCATTTCTTAAAAAAGAATTTGGGATTTTGTATTAAAAATCCTGCTGCAAATTCATTTGGCTATTAAACTTTCCCCTGGCATGAACTAAAACTGCTCCTGTTCTCTTCCCAGAAAGGCATCACTCTAATTTCTATTGGGACTTCCTTGAGAGAATGCTAGAAAGCAGATTTATGAGGAATAACATTAGCATTCTGAAGATGTCACAGTGAAGGTGCCCTTTGTGGATATCTAAGTGTCAGATAGAATAGGCTACAGAGTGACACCCTGTGCATGTCTGCAGGCATGTCTCCTGTTCTGACTAATTGCCCTTTCTCAGGGATGCCCTGCCTGTCATCATTAGCACTTATCACAGCACTCTCTGTTTGGCCACAACTATTGCAAGTACTTGGTGTATATTAACTAACTTAATCCTCATGCCAACCCTATTGAGAGAAGTATTGATACTGTTACCATTTTAAAAGATAAGAAAACTGAGGCACAGAGGTTGAGAATTTGTTCACACTCACACAGCTAGGAGGTAGAGGAGAGGAGCCAGGTTTCTAACCCACAAAGTCCAGGTCCAGAAGTCACCTTCTTAATGTAACCTCTAATCCATACTGTCTGTCTAATAACAGCCAACATTATTGAACATTAAGTGTGTTCCAGGCTCTCATCAGTTCCTCACCACAACCCTTCAGGAACAGTAAGGAAATAATAATCATAATAGCTGGTTCGTATTAGAGAGCTTATCTGACTTGATCTTCACAACAGTCTTTGGAGTAGATATTTCTATCTCCATTTTACTATGGAAAAAGGTGCAGAGAAGTTAGTCGCCAAAGTGAGATACAGACCCAGGTTAATCAAGCTCTGATACCTGTGTTCTCAGTCACTGTGTTGGCAGATACTCACCAAGTCGGCTGAGTCTGACGATTCTCAACCATGTCGCAGTCAGATCATCCTCAGATCTTTCTCTCCTGAGAGGCTAAGAGCATCTCATCTGTAAATTGGCTAATCCTTTCTCAGAGAAAGGCCTGGCTTTAGAATCCATGTTGTGTCATTTTCTGCCTACTCTGTCACAGCAGTTAGCTCAACGTTTGTATCTTCTGTTTGCAGTGCTCTTTGTTGGGAAAATTACGACTGGAGTGTGCTGACCTTCTAGAAGCAAGAGGAGTGGTGCTTCGTGACCCAGCTCTGTTCTCTTTCCTTTGGGTTGTGGATTTCCCCCTCTTCTTTCCCAAGGAGGAAAATCCCGAAGAGCTGGAGACAGCCCATCACCCGTTTACTGCTCCCCACCCCAGTGACATCCACCATCTTTACACTGAGCCCCAAAAGGTAACATATCTATACTTCCAAGTTAAAAGGAAATATGGAAACAAGGCAAAGAACTTCAGGTTTCATAGTCTGACCCAGTTCTAGAAGCCCCAGTAGAAATTGCTGGGTTTAAGCCATTGTATCTAAGTAGCTACAGGGTCTTCAACGTACAGAACAGAAAACCAGAGATTTTCTCTAACATAGAGGCTCTTTGAATCTTCTAGGTCCGTAGCCAACACTATGACTTGGTTTTAAATGGCAATGAGATAGGAGGTGGTTCTATCCGAATTCATGATGCAGAGCTACAGCATTACATCCTGGCAACAGTACTAAAGGTAACATCATCTTCTAACTTGGCCTTTGTAAAAAACTGTAATATTTGTCTGTTTTGTTAAAATTTGTTATGAATGGAGGATTCACTAGATATAGAATAGTATCTGCTTATTTCTCTACCTTTAGTGTTAGACTTTGAAAAATAAATAATAATATGTATTTTTTAGTGACTACTATATGCCAGGCACTAGGTACCTTATACACATGGACACATTTAATCCTCACAGTTACTTTTTTTTTTTTTAATTTATTTTTGGCTGCACTGGGTCTTTGTTGCTGCGCATGGGCTTTCTCTAGTTGTGGTGAGCGGGGGCTACTTTTCGCTGCGGTGCACGGTTTTCTCGTTGCGGTGGTTTCTCTTGTTGCAGAGCACGGGCTCTAGGCACGTGGGCTTCAGTAGTTGTGGCTCGTGGGCTCTAGAGCACAGGCTCAGTAGTTGTGGTTCGCGAGCTCTAGACGCAGGCTCAGTAGTTGTGGCACATGGGCTTAGTTGCTCCATGGCATGTGGGATCTTCCCAGACCAGGGCTCAAACCCATGTCCCCTGCATTGGCAGGTGGATTCTTAACTACTGCGCCACCAGGGAAGTCCCTCACAGTTACTTTTTAAATTAAGACCTTTATTCTACTCATTTTAAAGGTAAGAAACTGAGGCAGATGAATTAATTTGCCCAAAGTCACACAGCACAGAAGCTGAGCCAGGATTCGAATCCAGGCAGGTTGGTTCTTGAACCCAAGCTCCTAAACTCCTAACCACTGCACTGCTCAAAAAAGGATGCAGTCTGAAATGACTGAAAATGTTGATAATGCTAGAGAAAGAGAGAAAGGTTTGAAAGGATTTTATGCCACTTAGTATTTGAGGTGGGGGTAGATTTTAATGACAGAGAGTGGGTTAGTCAGAATTTTCAAAAGAAGAGTCTCTATAGATGCAAGCCTAAGAATCTGCAGTTTGTTGATGACTCTTTAGGAGGCTAGGATAGATTTTAGGAAGGCAAATGTCCAAGGGTCTGATCCTAAAAGATCATTTTGTGGGATTAACTAACAGGGGTGAGGTGGGATAGAGGAACTTTATTTCTTTTTTTTATATAAATTTATTTATTTTATTTATTTATTTTGGCTGCTTTGGGTCTTCGTTGCTGTGCACGGGCTTCTCATTGCCATGGCTTCTCTTGTTGTGGAGCACGACTCTAGGCACGCAGGCTTCAGTAGTTGTGGCTTACGGGCTCAGTAGTTGTGGCTCATGGGCTCAGTATTTGTGACTCGCGAGCTCTAGACGCAGGCTCAGTAGTTGTGGCACATGGGCTTAGTTGCTCCGTGGCATGTGGGATCTTCCCGGACCAGGGCTCAAACCCATGTCCCCTGCATTGGCAGGTGGATTCTTAACCACTGCGCCACCAGGTAAGTCCCAGGAACTTTATTTCTAAGAATAGGATTGGAGAACTCTACACCAAATTCCCCCTTTAGCTTTAAAAACATTGCAAACTCCCTTGACTTTTCTCCTCTTAAGCCAAAGCCCCTAGTGTTTCCCAGCCTATTTTTTTCATTCCTTTCAAGCTTCTCAAAATGTCAGTGAGAATACATTGCTTCCTCTTCTTCCCTACCCACCAGTGTTTCTCAGCCCTTCTGCACATTAGAACAGAATCACCTGGAAAGCATTAAAAACAAACAAAAAATACACTCACTGCTCCTTACCAGACCAATTAAATAAAAAGCTCTAGATGTGAAGCTTGGGCATTTGTTTCTTAAAAGCTTGCCACTTGATTGTGATCTGTAGACTGGTTAGGGAACCATTTCAGACACATTTTCAACATTTCTACAGGCATTGCCTCACAAAAGTAACTTGCACAGTCACCAAATCCAGCGGTCTGTTGTTGGCCCACACGCCATCCTACCTTCTGGCAGCATCAGCATTGTTGCCCTTCTAATAACGTTCTCTCCTCTTGGTCCCTCTGACAGATCCTGTTCCTTCTTTCATCCTACCTTTCTGAGGCCACATCTCCATGTCCTTAATTGGTCTTACCCTGTCTGCATTACCAGCATAATAATAGCTGCATTTACTGAGCCCCAGGCATTTCCCTGCATGTTGTAGTATCAGTGACTTGTCATATTCTCTTGCTAAACTGTAAACCTCTTAAGGTACTTTTTTAACTCAACTTTTATTTTCCCTTTAGCAACTAATTGTATTGTGTGGCACCTAGTGGACCCTCAGTGTGTATTTAAATTGAATTATCTTTTGAATTTCAGGAAGACGTGAAATTGCTCTCCCATCTGCTCCAGGCTTTAGATTATGGGGCGCCCCCTCATGGAGGAATTGCCATAGGTAAACAATCTGTCCTTTTACAAGCTAAATTTAATTCTGTATTTAATTCTGTAGCTCTAAGTGTCAAATTTGGACGCTCAGCTTATGGGGAAAGGGTGAGGTTAGGGGGAGTGGAGGAGTAAAGAGGGTAGGGGGTGAGCCCAAGGGTTCTAAAGAATTTAATTTGGTGTTTTTCATTTTGATGACTTTTTTTTTTTTTGGCCACACCATGTGGCTTGTAGGATCTTAGTTCCCCAACCAGGGATTGAACCCGGGCCCTCAGCAGTGAAAGCACCGAGTCCTAACCACTGGACCACCAGGGAATTCCCTGATGATATACTTTAAAAATATATTTAACCATTAATAAAGATAAAACTTAACTGATAATTTGCATTTGAAAGATTTTTAATAGAATGAAACTACAGTCTTAAGTCAACATTGCTCAAATCCCTGGAGGCTCACAGACAAATTCATAAGAGTGTGAAAAGTACTGCTCCACAGTATTCAGCTTGTGCGAAAGTAGGAATATGCCAGTGCCTTTTTTTTTAAATTAACTTTTATTGGAGTATAGTTGCTTTACAATGTTGTGTTTGTTTCTGCTATACAGCAAAGTGAATCAGCTATGTATATACATATATCTCCTCTTTTTTGGATTTCCTTTCTATTTAGATTACCACAGAGCATTGAGTAGAGTTCCCTGTGCTGTACAGTAGGTTCTTATGTGGAAACTAGAAAAATGATACAGATGAACTTATTTGCAAGGCAGAAATACAGACACAGACGTAGAGAACAAACGTATGGATACCAAGGGGGAAGGGGAGGGTGGGATGAATTGGGAGACTGGGATTGACATATATACACTACTATGTATAAAATAGATAACTAATGAGAGCCAGTGCCTTTCTGATGGCCTTGGTTGCTCACACTGCTTGTTTTATCAAACAAGGAAGAATGTGAGAAGTTCTAGGTAGCTTACCTAGATTGTAGGCTCTCAACAATAGGGACTTCCTTCTGTGTTTTTGGAGTCCCCTGCACAGCACTTAATTTTGTTCAACCTTCAGTAAGCCCTTGCTCAGGACTCATTAATTGCTGTGATTATTAATCCCAGTAGCATGTGAATATTAGTCCTGAGCACTTTTCTGGAATGAGATAAAAGAAACCTCTCATACAAACAAAAGTTCTCTAAAAAGGCAGGGAACTATGCTTAGCTGCAACTTATTAAAGGTTCTTACTTAAAAGTTTTCTACAACCTTTATAGAAAAATTAAGTCACCCCCAACCTTAGGTTACATTCTCATCTATTAACTTTGTATTTTACAGGGTTAGACAGACTGATGTGCCTTGTCACTGGAGCGCCAAGCATCAGAGATGTCATAGCCTTCCCCAAATCTTTCCAGGGGCATGACCTTATGAGCAATGCCCCAGATTCTATCCCGCCTGAGGAATTGAAGCCCTATCATATCCAGGTCTCCTGGCCAACAGACTCAGAAACAAAAAAGAGTTCATTGAATCATCCATGCCATCCAGAAAGTTGAGCTTTTGAGTTTTGTCCTCTTTGCTTCCCCAAGGCTAAAATCAGATCTGGAGTTCAGCCACAGATCTGACTTCAAGTTTTTAAATGGAAGGAATCCAGGCAACATTCTTCACCTCAATGAAGAAACAGACAAAAGGTATCCAATTTTAACGAGAGCATGCATTATTAGGATTATTTTATTTGGGACTTTTTTGAAGTTTCTTTTTACTTGGAGAGGTGTGAAACATGGCTTTTTGACAGAGTAACATAATGGCATAGTGTTTTCTAATCATGTTTTTCATACCCCGATAGTAGATTGTTCTCTTAGGACAGAGGTAATCAAACCATATGTGAAATGTGGGAAGATTCTTGCCCCTTTAGACTGGTCCATTGATGGAGGGGTCAGTTCAACCAGCCTCATCAAGAGAATCCTATAAAGGAAGCTGGATAATGACACTTCAGCTATCAACATAATATAGTGAGAAGCAACATGATATAAAGTAAAAAATCACTGAAATAAAAGTCACAAGATCTTAATCAGTGCTTTACCTTGCAAGTTGTATAAACCTCTCTTAGCGTCCCTTCCTGCATGTGTGAAATGTAAGCAGTACTTGCCCTGGCTCCCTCACTGGCCTCTTCTTGCCAGAATCCTAGGAGATAATATATGTGGAAGATAGTGTGAGTAAAAATGCTTTGAAAAACTTTAAAGCATTACTTAAATGTAAGATGGTGATATTATTATCCATCTGTAAACAGTATACAGATATATCTATGTATTTTATAGTTTAAGGTTAAACAAAACTGACATCTGTGGTAAAAGGAAAACAGTAATTTCATTAATCAGTATTCTGCTTATATTTCTATTTTTTAAAATAATCATTAATCCCTGAATAACACTTTCCCTCAATTATAAGTAACTGAAAATATTAATTGACCTTAAACCAACCTCAAATGTAGAAAAGTGAACACTGAAACTCATCGTGATTTTCTTACACGTTCTGTTGACACAAATAAAGGCTTATAATTAATTAGCAGTTATAAAATGGGAATAAGGCCTTGATTAATGACATTGTTCTTTTCTACTTTATCTTCACTTTTGCCTTGACATTCTTTTGATTTACAATTTACACCAAATATCAGTCTTATATTCCAGCCTATTTTTCTCAGTGCTGTAAGCAGTTTGATACTACAATCTTTCTGTTTGAAAGTAAAATCAGCTTTGCTTCCAGGTCTAATTTGTTATGCTCAATAGGCTGTGAAGAGTGTGCCCTTCACTGATGCCATTAAGTGGAGCTTTTCCCAAAAGTTTGTCCTTTAACCCAGTCTCTCCCCATTTGTGGATGTACTCTGGAGCCAGAAAATTCTTGCTGGCAGAGTTCTTATGGTGAGAAAGGCATCCAACTCTGCCTACCCTTTCTCAGTGGAGGGAATTTCTAGAGATGCCCTTTATTAGGAAAGAAAATGCAACTTTACATTCATTTACCCCACATCTGCATTACCTAGTTTCTAAATATAATAAATTTACTATTAACTGTTTAGAACCTAATTCTGACCAAAATATTGTCTTTCTATCCTGGAAATGAGAGTTACAGAAGATACCCAAAATCCAGAGACTATTTTCTAGGCTACAGACACCAAAGGCCCCAAGTCCCCAGATGTCATACAATCTCGTGTTGGCATCACAGAGACCTAGTCACTTTGGGCATCACTCAGCTTTTCTTCAGTCCTGCCTGTCAGGAAAAAGAAAAGCTTTTTCTGAAATCCAGGGAAATGTCACTATTTTTTTTTTTTTTTTTTTTTTTTTGGCCACACCACGCAGCTTGCGGGATCTTAGTTCCCTGACCAGGGATTGAACCCAGGCCCTCAGAAGTAAAAGCGTGGAGTCCTAACCACTGGACTGCCAGGGAATTCCCATTAATTAAATATTTTCTCAAAAATAAAGAACCTAGTTACTGATAAAGTTGGAAACAACACAACCAGAGTTTTGGAACACACAAACTGATTGTAAACTGTAAGCCAGGTTTCAGTTCCAAGTCCAATCTCCCCAGCCTCCTAGGGAATTTAGATTTATTCTATGTTGCAAGTTTTAAAAACAAAGTAAGCAACTGCCAGCTACAATATCGATAGTTATTACTGGCTTCAAGAGAGCTTTGTCTTATGAGCAATTTCTCCTTGTTGGGAAGAGATGTGTTAGATGATGAGTGTGACGTTTTATGCTCGTGGGCTTTGGCTTTTATGTCATTTTATGCTCATGGGCTTTGGCGGAATAAAACAATGCATCTATACAGCTGCACTGTCTTTTCCCAGAGTTCCCCCCTCTGAAGAACCAGAACTGTGACACTGATCACATTCCTTGCTGCTGATTTTTTGTTAAGCCTAACTCATCCTAAAGATGCTGCCTTAAGGATACTTTTTTCTTGTTTCATGGAAAGTGAGTTATTTCATGACATGAGAAATAACCAGTTCACAATAAAAATATTAGATGGGATACCTGTATAATAATTGCATATGTAAGGCATACATTAAGTGCACTTCTAAATCAGTCTTCTGTGTTTAAGATGATGGACTTAGTAGAAACAACTTGAGTTGGACATAACTGGATTTAATTCCTGGCTTTAACACTCTCTAGTTATGCAACCTTGGCCCAGTCATTTAACCTCTTTAGGCTCCTGTATCTTTACCTAGAATAGCAGTTCTCAAACATTTTGGTCTCAGGACTACTTACACTCTAAAAATTATTGAGGATCCCAAAGAGTTCTATATAGCTCTTTTATTGTAGCAGGAATTAAGATTTAAGATTAAGATTTAACCCATTACATGCTAGCAAAAATAGTACATTTTTATTTTTAAATTATTTTCCCAAACAAAAATTAGTGAGAAGAGTGACATTGTTTCTGCAGATCTTTTTGATTTCTGGTTTAACAAAAGATACTGGATTCTCATATCTGATTCTGCATTCCATCTGTTGTGATATGTTGTTTTGGTTGAAATAGCTGAAGAAAATTTGGTCTCACATAAATACGAAGTTAGAAGAGCGAGGAGTATTTTAATAGCCTTCTCTGAAAATTATGGATATTCTTCTTTGATACTACACCAAAACTTGACAGGTTTCTTAAAGGTTAGTTGCAATGTGTAATCTGCAATCATATTGGTAAATTTTTCTAAAATCCATTGGTCTGTCTTATATTTTGAATACAACTGTGTTATGCATGGTTTTGTAACACTGCACATTGATCATTTGAAAAATACTAGATCACTGAATTATGCAGATTGTCCAGGTGTTGACAAATTTCATTAAACAATATCTAAAAAATCACATTGATTAACATCATGACTGATCTCATCCTAAGTCTTTAAGTATGGAGGTGTAAGTGCACAGTGACAGATACAAGCTTTCCAAAATTGTAATTTTCATTTGAAAGCTTTAATTTTATCTTTGACAACTAATACCATCAGATTTTTTCCCAAACTCATTTGTTTTTTGAGAAAATATCTGCCAGTATCTGTGGCCTGGGCTTTGGTCTCTCTCCAGTTCCAAGGAAGAGGCTGAGACTCTGGCGCATCTCTGCCTTCCCTTCTGCCTGAGTGGGAGAGGCCAGGTGGCCCTGGTGGCTGGAGGGGGCCTGCTGCCTAAGAACGTGTATTCTCTTCACCAGGATAGGGAGACTGTTCAACCACCAGGAGCACATACTTATCATTGTTGGACTGCATAATGCAGAGAGAACTACCATCCTTTACCAGTTTTCTGTGAATGAAGTTGTACATGCATCCCTTACAATAGGAAGCAATGTAGAAGAAATAGTGATTAATAATACACATTTCATAATGTGGGATACTGGTGGCCAAGAGTCTCTTTGTTCTTCCTGGAACACTTCTTACACTAACAGAGTTTGTAATAACTGTTGTGGACAGTACAGACAGAGAAAGGATTGCTGTAACTGAGAAACTCTATAAAATGTTAGCCCATGAAGACCTAAGGAAAGCTGTATTGCTGATTTTTGCTAATGAACAAGATGTTAAAGAATGCATGGCTATAGTAGAAATCTCCCAGTTTTTGAAAATATTTCTGATATATATTAAAGATCATTTGTGGCATATGCAGGTATTCTGTGCTCTTACTGACCAGGGATTATGCCAAGGACTTGAATGGATGACATCATGATTTAAGATTAGATGATCTCTACTGCCCTCTTCTCGTAGTTTTGTATAATTGAAAACTGCAAAAATTAATAGTTTAGATATATTTACAATGAACCGATTTAAACTTTTTCTATAAGAAGAAAAATTAAGACCACTTCTTTGAAAACAAAGATGAACTCTCACCTTCCAATCTGCTTTCTCATTAGTTCCTTCCAAAGCAAGGTTTTAAAGCTGTGGTGGACATTTTTCTCATAATGAATCTCTCAGGACATTGTATAAGCTGTGTTAAGTACAAAGGGAGAGGGGGAGAGGAAGACACTTTTAACTTTGAGTCTTATTATCAGTATAATCCTCCCTAATTGAATGTTCTCTTATTTTCCCACTAAGTCAAAATGCAGATCACAGATATTCGGTTTCCAATATTTTAAAATGTAATGTTACTTATGAAAAGTATTTTGCATAAGGTTGTATATGTATTGTGTGTATACAGCAAGTTCAAGTTAATGACTTTATGTTCTTAAGAAAAGTGAATAACACAAAAATTAATAATATCCTTACTTATGAGTACTGGCATTGGTGTTAGAGACATTTTACAGGTATTCTCTGTATTCTCTGTATTGTACTAACCAACCCCAAACCATTGAGCTGCCCTTTAAAGAAAAAAAGGAAAAAGCTTGACATTTTGTACCTAATTTTTTGGTTGATCAAATCACATACATAGAAACATGTAATCCAAATGAGTGGATTATCTATCAAAGTCTTGGCTTAGTAGTACAAATAGGCAGAATTACACATTGAGCAATTATCACATTCTTCCCTTTGTTGGGCCTTATGCCATGTAAGTTACTGAGTACAGGCACATCTTTTATTGCACTTAGCTTTTTTTTTTATTGTGCTTTACAGATAATGCATTTTTTGTTTTATGGCAACCCCGAGTCTAGCAAGTCTATCCACTCCATTTTTCCAATAGCATTTGCTCACTTGTCTCAGTGTCACATTTTGGTAATTCTTGCAATATTTAAAGCTTTTTCATTATTATATTTGCATTGGGTATCTGTGATCAGTGATCTTTGATGTTACTACTATGACTCACTGAAGGCTGAGATGGTTAGCATCTTTTAGCAGTCAAGTTTTGTTTCATTTCAGCTGCGCCTCGTGGCTCACAGGATCTTAGTTCCCCGGTTCAATCCCTGAACCGGGGCCACGGCAGTGAAAGTGTCAAGTCCTAACCACTGGACTGCCAGGGAATTCCCAGCAGTCAAATATTTTTAAAGTATGTTTAACACAATATTAAAATCTACTATACTTCTTTTTTTAATGTACATCTTTTTTAAAGATATAATGCTATTGCACAGACTATAGTGTACACATAACTTTTACATGTACTGGGAAAGCAATTCTGTGACTTGCTTTATTGTGGTCTGGAACTGAACTCACAATTATTTCCAAGGTGTGCCTATTAAGTGTAAATCCACTAATCAGCCAGTCGTGATAAAAGTTATCAAGTGATTTTTTTTTCAGCATTAATTGAAAACCATTGTGTGAAATGTCATCCCAGAGAATTATCACCATATATTATCAAATTTAGCAAGAGTCTTCTTGGGTATTTAATTATATGTCAAGCATTTAAAGTGAACTTGAGATAAAAGCGTATTTTCCAAGCAATGAAGATAATTTAATTTGAAATCTTATTGCTTAGAAGTTGGAATAGTTTGAGGGTTTTTTTGTTTGTTTTATCTTCTTACACTACTTAATACTTTTAATGATTTGGTTTAAAACTGATCAACATGCTGTATTTTTACTAAGTAACTTGGCCCAACATACCCTTTGTTTGCTTAGGGTTTTTTCCCAGTATCTTAAAGTTGAAGGTATTTTTGTTACACTACCTTACCCTTGTTTTAAAACATATTTTTGGATACTTTTTATATATCTTTTATGCCTTGAAAAGCTGCAGGCTAATCCAAACTGTCATGTTTTAGAATATTCAAGAAATAGCTACTCTTCTTTTAGATTTCATTCAGAATTTTGATGAGTAATAGCACATACAATGTTGACAGAAATTTTCTAATATGAAATAATCCAAGCAGGCATGGGAGATCAGTAGACCCACTATAGTACTATACCTCTAAGAGACCCGAGCATCCATGGATTTTGGTATCCACAGGGGGACCTGGAACCAACCCCCCAGATACCAAGGGGTAACTAACACTTTAATATTTGGTCAACTTGCAGGGAGTTTCCTGGTCTGGTGGTTAGGATTAGGTGCATTCACTGCTGTGGCCCGGATTCAATCTCAGGGGCAAGAGAGATCCCACGTTTCACAGCGCAGCCAAAAAAAATCTTGTCAACTTGCTTTTATATATAAACTGGTGTTTTGACTAGTTTTTAGAATAGTGTTTCAGTCAGTGGGAGTTTGAAGTAAACGTTTTGGCATGCAACTAAGACTTAAAACCCCAATTTAATGTTCCTACACACTCAAATGCCAAATTAGAAAGCAAGCTGAAATTTAACTGGCAGGTTATTTACTTTTTAGGTGTTCCCAGAGCTAATGGTTTCCTTGGTATTTAGGAACTAACCAGCAACTCACTAGTTCACTAATTTTCTTGTTAACTTGAACAAACATTCCCCCCCTCCCAGAAATTTGCAGAACAAGTACCCATTTTCTGAAGTACATTATAACCACAGTATTACTGATCTCATTCTTAAAGATCTCACTGTTCTAGGTTTTTCAATATGCATCTTCTAAATAGCACTGAAACCAATTCCTACACCAGTTTCCGCATCAACACTTGCCAGACCCAATCACCCTGGTGCTTACTACAGCAAATGGAGATTTTTCCCAGTTTCTGCACTCCTACCACTTAACATAAAGAGCTTCTGCTTTCCTCTGCAATTTTCAACAATGTATTTTAATGACTTAATTGCCCATATTGGAAATTAAGGATTAAAGTTCCTGTGTTCTTTCAACATTTTCATTCCTACGGAACTTTCTTGCACAGCACAAAGGTGGTTCAAGCTCATCTTTCACTTTTCCAGCCTCAGGCTACAATTCCAATGGTTGGTTTTCAACTGTGACAAACTGACCCAGGCACTTCACATTAAATCACAGAAAATTTCTGCAAAAAATATGCCGTTGGGTCAATTACAAAAATGTCCTATTTCCCTTCATTCATCTCATTAAATTGAAATGAGCACACTTCAGATGGTTCATAAATATTTATTAAAATTCAAAGTTGGAGAATTCCCTGGTGGACCAGTGGTTAGGGCTCTGCGCTTCCACTGCAGGGGGCACAGGTACAATCCCTGGTGGGGGAACTAAGATCCTACAAGCCACATGGTGTACAGCATGGCCAGTAAATACGATAGGCTTTAAAAAAAATTGAAAGTTGTTTCCTCTCCTATCCCATGAGCATCCATCCAGCTGCCTGCAAGAACAGAGAAACCATTTTAAGTCCCATTTCCATGCCAATTCTAATTGCATTTGGGATACACAGAATTATCAGATCTTTGAACATCATCAAGCAATCAGTGAGAGAGTTCAAGTTGGGGTGAGATCATCATGTATTCTGGAACCAAACAGTACTGATATTTTCAAGCCTCACCTGTCAACCGTTAAGATGCATGACTGCTGTCATAAATGCCCTGAAAAATAAAGACCATATATGTCAAATCACAGTAGAAGGGAAAAAACTTGTGATACTTGTTGATAAAGTAACCTCAGAATCAAAATGGAACGGTTTTACAGTGATATCATTCTATTCATTTGGCAGAATCATCACATCACTGGTTACATTCTAACTCACCATATATACCATAGACTGACTGACCTTGAAATCTTCAGGGTAACACATGTGCCTGTTTGAAAATGAAAAATAAAAGCCTTGTTTAAAATTTGCCCTTTCTCCCATTTTTTGTAGCCGATTTTTAAATTTTTCAAAGAATTCTAGGGCAGTGAACCTATTCTGTGCAAGGTAGATCTTTGTCACAATACATTTGTCCAAACCCAGAGAACGTACAACACCATGAGTGAACCCCAACGTACTACTGGACTCTGGGTGAAAAAATGTGTCAACATAGGTTCAAAATTTTAAGTCCCACTCTGGTGGTAGATGATGATGGGGAGGATGCTATATGGGAACCTACTGTTCAATTTTGCTATGAATCTAAAACTGCTCTGAGAAATGACTATCAAAAATAATCCGCTAAATTATTCATTCTGGTGTAATCTATAGTATATGCCATAAAAATTTCCTCACGTTAGCCTGTTCTTATCCAGAATGTAAATTCCTAATCCTGAAATTAACAGTACAGAACATCTGCATGCGCCGTTACACTTATCCAAATCCCTGAATATTTCTGTGAGACAGTGGCTGGTTTCCACTTTCATGGGTATATAAACAGAATTGTTGCAGCCAGATACATCAGATAGGAGCGAAAGACAGTATTTGCTCATCACTGTTAGTCTGCTGAACTATGTTATCATCATTGTATCGGCTTTATACCACAAAACACAGAAACCAAACTTGAGACTTCTATACCTTTGCTTAAAAGGTCTTGCTCCCTGCGTTGTAGCCAGTACCTCTCTTGTCACCTGCAAAAATTTAATGAAATTTAATCAAACTGAATAGGTAGTTAATAGGTAGATTTCAAAAATTTTCCAGATACCGTTTCAGTATTTAAAAATCTTCATTCTTTGTCAGAGAGATTCCCATCTGTTTAATTTTTAAAAAATCATCACTAACAGCATCTTGCTCAGTAACTAGATAAGACTGATAAAACATACATACCTTTATATAAAAGATCTCCAAAATTTGCACCTGCAAAGAAGTATTTCTTTAAACACACTTCACAACAGCTTAACACTAAAGCCTGTTTATTTCTCAACGGTCCAACACCAGAAAACACTAACATAGGTCAACAACTACTAAGACCAGCACATTTTCAGAATATAAACCCAAATGCCAGGAGCCAAAGAACTGTTTTCATGTCTTACCCCAAGCAAGCCATCCATAGATAAAAACGTGTACCCAGGATCTATGAGAGAAATGATACACCTTTCATTAAAATGTCAATCTTATTGTTAAATTCTTCTCACATTTGTCACAGGGTTCTTCAGTGTTAGATTTGTCTACATGCTCATTTCAGGTCAGACATTTGCTCAACATCATTACAAAAACCCTGTTCAGAGCATGCTCAACATGCACTTGCAAACCAGACATAGGAAATTAGCTTGGTAGTTAAGCATTCCACTTTATCAGCATTCTCAGTTAACAGTGGAGGTTACTAAATTGTTTTTAACATTAATGCTTACCAAAAAGTTGGCCCGGACAGGTCAAGGATTCAAGTCCACCTAAGAAATGAGAGTGGTTTTATAACAGCCAAATCAATTTTCTCCCCACAAATCTAAAACAGTGCCTGAAATCAGATAGAGCTAATTAAGACCTTCATGTTCAGTCAGTATTTGCTTATCATCACACAGGCTGCTCTCACAAATTAAGACAGTACAAGGATCTGGCTTTTATTTAATGTATTCAGCACACTGTTCAAGCACTTTATGGGAAGACTGCTTCCTGTGCATTAGAAGGCAACCCTAAAAAGCCATTAGTGGCATTCTTTGTCATGCTTGCCCTGTCACCAATGTTTAGTTCAGTTACAATTTTACTTACCCCTTGAACTTTCAGCTTAGTGCCTACATAGTGCTTAACTTCCTGCATAGTGCCTACAAAAAGAAAAACTAGTTAGTAGTGGTATTTTACTTACACTATCAGCAAAAGTTTTACTAACTCAGATACAACAAACAAATGGTATTATCTTTTTCATGATTCAGTCTGTTGAACTATGCAACCATCATAGTGTCTGTTTCTTCAGATTCCCCCTCATACTAAATATAAAACTAGAGTGCAGCAATTTAAGTTTGAAAAAAAGGTGAGGAAAACCCTAATATAAGCACCAACATTGACTTGGCAATTTGTAACCCCTTATAAAAAGAAAAGAATTCAAAGTACTAGATAAACATGGACTATAAAAAAGGTTTCTCACCTGTTTGCCCATGGATACAGCATTAAGCTTGTGCTTTAAGACCTGGGAAGAAAACAGTTTCATATAAACTTGGGTGCAATCTCTATGTTCTCTAAACCACCATTTTGTGTGCCTCAGTTAGCATAATGGTGGTAATAATTCTCGTCACCCTCACAGTCAAGAGTAGCAAATAAACTGTCATCATTGTGGCACATTCACTGGACTTTCAATCTAACTTCCCTTTTTCAGGGAATCTCAGTAACTCACCCCAGCAGCGGTTCTCATCCCTTTGGTACACAACTAGAAAATAGACAAAGAATAATCCAATAAAACATGCTGTGCTGCTAAGTTAATCGCTAATGTCGTTAAGCAGTTAAGCCTCAGAATAGAATTTTTCAGAAATCCCTTCTGCCCACTACTCTTAAAACATCACAGGCTTAGCATAAAGACCACATCTAAGCAGATTTCATTCTTCCCACTGTAGTTAGCCGTTACTTACCCGTCCACCAGAAGCCATCAAAAGCCACATTGCATTCATGCCTGGCACCGTTCCTAGGAAAGATTAGGTATTTAAAAAATTAACTTTGTTTTAAACCTAAGTTTAAACCTTACGTCGCTTCCATACCATGTAAGCAAGTCGTTTCCACCACCCATAATTGCGCGAGAGCATTCCACATAATTAAGATTAAGAACCACTGACGGAAATAATGGTGCAGTGCGGAATGCAGCCTTTAGAGAACCACGTGGCCTTCCTGAGAGCAAGTGGCTGAAGGAGACTCGGGCCGAAGTCTTTAACAAAGACCCACTCGGTGACTCGGCACGCGCCGCCATCAGAGCCGTTGGCATTCATCAACAGTCTCAGATGTCCCTACCAACACAGGCTTCATCAGAGGCAGAGCCCGCGAGCCCGCGTTTTTCCGCAGTTCGGCCCAACAACCCGAGGAGTATAATTAGGTCGCGCCCGCACCCAACTCGCAATCCTCCACCATCTTCATCTTGTGAACCGTGCGAAGGCCTGCGACTGGCCTAGAAATGCCAGCCGTCTTAAAAAGATCGTAACTGCCAAGAGCTGGAGGCCTCTCAGGCTAAGAACTTACTTAACAGCACACAAAAGACACACATACCAAGAGCCGTCTCGTACCTTCTAAAGACCGAGATGGCGTCCAGGCGCCTGTATATAAGGATTCTATTCCATGACGTCATGACGCAGACTCTCCGCCAGCGTCGGCTTCAACTCTTCCCCCTCTCATTCTCTTCCTCCTTCAGCAGCACCGCCGTCCAGTCCTCTAAGCCCGCCCCCTAGGCCCCGCCCCCTGGCCGCGCCCCGGGGCGGGGACACGACCGCCCACGTGATGCAGGGCTCCCCACCCTCCTACGGACTGAGGAGGAGGGGAAGAGAGGGGAGGGGGCGCGAGGGACGGAAAGCGCTGGGGAGGGGGAAGGGGGGCGGTGTAAGGGTGAGCGATTTCCTTCCGGCACGTCGCCCGCTCCGGGGGAGGGGGTGGGGGGTTTCACTTCCGGGACGGTGTTCCGGCCCATTCCGGCCCATTTCCACCCCCGGAGGTAGGTGCTGCTCCTTGACTGGGCTCGGGCCCCGCACAGCAGTCCCGCTGCCCTGCACTGGGGCCGCCTCGCCCGGTCTCCGCCGCAGCCTGCTCCTGGGGCGCTCAGCCATCTCCCTCCACCCCGCCTCAAGGCACCCGGAGACCTTCCACCCGCTTGGCCCCGGGCCGGGCTGAGCTGCCGGACCCGCCCCCTCGTGGGCCCCTCCCTCAGGACCCCGGGATGGGCAGCCCCCTCCCCAACGGCAGCCCGGACACACCCAGATACACACACCCACCTCTAGGCAGCTCCCCGCCCGCTTACGCCTACCGCCTGGACAGGGTCCCGGGGCGCCGCCCCCTTCCCGGTCCTCTACCCTCACCTGATTGCTCGCTTCCCGGCCGCACGCCTTGCTGCCCTCTCCGCCCCCGCTCCTCGGTGACATTTCGCCCCTCTGCTTTTTCCCCGTTCCCCATGCTTCCTAACGCGGACGAAAGCCACTCAAGTACCGGAGTGGCCAACCCCATGCAGTTCCCGATTCTCCCTCTTACAGCTCTCACCCCTCCAGTGCCGACGGTAGAGAAAGACCTTACTCCAGGGGCTTCCTCCTCACTGGGGAATTGCCGGGAAGAGCAAACAAAAAAGGCGCTGGTGTAGGCTCCAAAATAAACATCTGAATTCATGATGGCATCGACAGAGGCTCTTATTGGATTAAAAGTTTCAAAACAAACAAAAACGCTTTGGAAAAAGGTCAGATTGGCTAAAGTTGGTTCTTGAAAGCAGTGTATACACTTCCCTATTTACTGATAAGTGTGTGGTAAATGCGGGGCAATACTGTGAGCTTGTCCAGATAAGTTCCTGAAGTTTCAGGTCTTAGGTAACTGTGTATGCTCAAGTCAGTGTCTTTCTAATGGGATTTATACAGACTACTCTCAACCAATGAAGACTGTTGGATGCAGTTACAGGCTTAGTGTTTCAGCAACTTTTCAAAAATCTTTTAATGTAAAAATACTGGCCATACTTGGTAAATGCTCTGTTTTTCACCAGCTTTGGGGAACTAAATTTCAGAATCAAAGTATCATTACCACCCTGAAATTTCCAACTTTGAATTTAGATAGAGGCAGACTTATCCACCTTTACCTAATCCTGAGAGTGAACTTCTTCAAGTTCTCTGCATTTGAGTCCTGACACAACTTGGAGTTTCTCATAACCTAGAGTTTACCTCCAAGTCCTAAACCCAAAGCCTTTCTGTGGGGAGCTCTGACCCTTCAGCTTAGAAATAATGACATATTCAGGAGGGATATTAGTCACTTTATAAAATAATGAACATAACTCATGCATCAAGTAGTAAAATATTAAGGGTATCTAATCAGCCCACCTGTGTATAATTACATTTATTCTAAAAGCTTCTTTCCTTCTCCAAAGAAAACTTGTCACCGCATTTTATATTGTGTGCAAATACCTTATGATTAACACTTAGTAAATAAAAATTGTCACACTGCTTTTTTTTACCCCCTCTATTCTGTTGAACTTCAGTTTTGATGTTATATAGCTTGTTAATAAGGAAAATGTGGGCATACCTTGAATTTTTAGAAGTCTAACAATCACTTTTTGGTTTTAATGGTGCCTTGCTGTGAAACCTAAACTACTAAACCTGTTGGTATTTCTTTTCCATGTTTAAACATAAGGAAAGTATCTCTATTTATTTGGAGATTTTGAAATTTTACCAGATAATATTTTTAAATAGGTGTGAATTGGAAAGCCTGAGGGGACTGGTTATAATTACTAAGGACAGTTCTTTTCCTCTTTCAGCAGGGTTGAATGCCTGCCTACACCCTCAGGCACGACCATGGAGAAGAGTGGGAACATACAACTGGAGATCCCTGACTTCAGCAACTCTGTCCTGAGCCATCTAAACCAGCTGCGCATGCAGGGCCGTCTCTGTGACATCGTGGTCAACGTGCAAGGACAAGCTTTTCGGGCTCACAAAGTGGTACTGGCTGCCAGCTCCCCCTATTTCCGAGATCACATGTCCTTGAATGAGATGAGTACTGTCTCCATTTCAGTCATAAAGAACCCTACTGTTTTTGAACAGCTCCTTTCTTTCTGTTATACGGGGCGGATATGCCTGCAACTGGCAGATATCATCAGCTACCTGACAGCTGCCAGTTTTCTGCAGATGCAGCATATTATAGACAAATGTACACAGATCCTGGAGGGCATTCATTTCAAAATCAATGTGGCTGAGGTTGAAGCTGAATTAAGTCAAACAAGGACAAAGCACCCAGAGGGACCTCCAGAGTCTCACAGAGTTACACCAAATCTGAACCGCTCCCTTAGCCCCCGACATAATACCCTAAAGGGAAACCGGCGAGGTCAGGTTAGTGCTGTGCTGGATATCAGGGAGCTCAGTCCTCCTGAGGAGTCCACCAGCCCTCAGATAATTGAACAGAGTTCTGATGTAGAGAGCCGGGAGCCCATTCTTCGGATCAACCGAGCAGGACAGTGGTACGTGGAGACAGGAGTAGCAGACCGAGGGGCCCGGAGTGATGATGAAGTTAGAGTTCTTGGAGCAGTACACATCAAAACTGAAAATCTAGAAGAGTGGCTTGGGCCTGAGAATCAGCCTTCCGGAGAAGATGGGAGTAGTGCAGAGGAAGTCACAGCCATGGTGATTGACACCACAGGCCATGGTTCTGTAGGACAGGAAAATTACATGTTAGGATCTTCAGGAGCCAAGGTGGCTAGGCCAACAAGCAGTGAAATTGACAGGTAAGTTTTGTTTGCCCATCTAATGGCTGTTGTGCAGACATAATTAAAGCAGGTCCTCTGTGTGATACAAAGAGTATCTTCCTTACTTGATGTTCTTAGTCAGAGTTTGTGTTGGGGAAGCTGGAAGTGTGCCAAAAGACTTGCAGTCTAATTTTTTTAAAGCAGGAAGCTCCTAGTCCTGAAGTATTCACAGTGTTGTAAGAATTATGGTAAAATTAGACACTTCATGAATCAGAATAGCATCTGCAGTCACACTAGGATCAGTAATTGCCAGGGTTTCTTCGGAATTACAGGAAGAGAGCTGGTCATCAGCTGGGAATCTGACAGCATTGCCCTTCCTTGGTTTGTTCTCACACAGGTAGGTGGCCTCTGGAAGTTTCGCATTCCTTTGTAGCACTGTTTACTTTTCTTTGCCCCCATCTACCAAATTAGACGAAATATGGTACCAGCAGTGATTGTTCTTTTTAGTGTAATCACAGTAATTCTAAAGAAAAGCTTTTTGGGTGTTTTTCATTCCTTTTTTTTCACTTGTCATTTGATGATATTTTTTCTGTTTTGTCATTGAGGACAGCTGCTACCACAAACCTGACAGTTTCTTTCTTTCACCAGTGCTACTATGCCCTATGCCCCATGCCCCATTTTTCGCTTTCTAATGCATTGCAGTCGTTAGAACATTTCTTTGGGGGGAAATAACAATAATTTTAATCTAAGTAAATTGGAAGAAAGTCTCAATTGAAAGAAATATTACCAACTAAGATGGGTAATATTCTTTTCCTTTCTTAAAAATTTAAAATTGTATGAACAGTGATAACTAAATAAGCTATGATTTTGGTTCGCATCTGGTCTTGAGAGACAAGTGTGTCACAGAAATTCAGAGAGTATACACTGTATCCATTTAAGTTGGTCTTGATTAGAGTATTTTCCTTCTTGTGTCCTTAATAGTTAAAATATTCTTGAGCATAATACTTATTGTCACCCTATGTTAGCACTGTTGTCCCCCCATCTTAGAACTGTATCAGAAATAATAGCTTAAATGCAAAGATTTTTGATCTTCATGATCTACGTCAACAGTCTGAAATATATAAAAAATTATCATGGGGCTTGGGGAAAGGATCAACCAAGAACCTAAAAGTTATATAGAAGAAACAAAATTACAGACCCAGTTTTAATTTTTTCTTTTTTGGTCTTCTGGTACTTATATAAGGATAGAAGTTTATATTTAGCCTTAGATTCACCAGGTCATATTGGCTGCATCATTTTGTATTTCTTAAATTTACTAGGGCAAGCTTTTCTTATTTCATGTATGATTCTGTATTGGCTCCATGAAAGGACTTCTTAGAAATCTGTTGTTCAGTTTGTTCCGCCTTCCTAGACTATGGGATAAAGGAGGCAGACATCACCATTTTGACACTACTTTTGTATTAGTCCCCTTTGTGCTCTTCTTCCAACAGATTTAGCCCCTCCGGCAGTGTTGTTCCCTTGACGGAGAGACACAGAGCCAGAAGTGAGTCTCCTGGGAGAATGGATGAGCCTAAGCAACCCAGCTCCCAGGTATGTAGTTGTGGATTTAGAACTGCTGCAGTGGTTGAAGAAATTGCCACTGTGTGTGAACATAGTATAATGAATAAGAAAGGAAAGATGTAGGAGAGGTAACATTGGCCTTGTTTAATAAATACTGTATATGATTACTTTTCTCTTTATTCTTGCTTGTGAGCATGCAGGAAATACACTTTTGGTGTCAGCAGATTTGGGGAAGTAGAAAAGGATAAGATTGTGAAACTCTTTCCTGATTATAGGAGCCAGTCTATAGTCCTAAGAGTAATAAAAATAACCTCTGAAAACTACATGCAGCTAATGTAGGACCTGGGATGGAGAGAGTTTGATTTTGTACATGTGTGGATATAAGACTACATAATTATTAGTTTATATAGTATTGTAGATTTGTAAATGAATTGCTTATGCATTTTTGTGTCCTGTTTGCTTTTTAGTATGCTTGTATCCTTTCATTTATTTTCTTCCTAAATGTCCTGTTAGACTAAAATGTTCTAGAAAGGATAGGAATGATGTCTTCTATTTTATTTGCAACTCTTTTTAGCAAGTAGTATAAGTATGTAGTTGGTTGATATTTTTGGTTTTTTCTCACAGGTGTTTATCATTGAAGATTGATTTTTAAAAAGTTGGTGAACTCACCAAGTAGAACACAATAAATTGTAAACACTGTGGCCCTTTAAAAGGAAACACTGGTGGATTAAGATTGCGTAGCTAATTTTTTATCTTCTGCACTATACTGATAGTATCTTGTTTAATTTTTATCTAAACCACTAGATGTTTATTGTGTATATAGTATAGTAACAGCAGTTAAGACATTGTTATAAACTGTATTTACTTGTATATTATCATGCTGTTTGGTATCAGAAAAGGAACTGCAACCATTATAGGAGAAATTTTTTAGTTTTAATAAGGTGTGAGAGAAAGTGTTAGGAGCTTGGAGGAAAAGTAAGTTTACTCATATTATTAGGGCCCTTCTTTTCTTCATCTCTCAAATAAAATGTGATGACTCTGTGACCTATGTGACGGTAACTATTGTGAAAATAAATACAGCAATGAGACAGACCTTACAACTTAATGTGGGCATAAGACAGACTAACAAATACACAAAGCACATATAGATAAGGCTATATAGACTTAAGTAACTGTGTTGTGGGAGTAGGAGTGCTTAAAAGGCAGTTACAGGAATCAATATCCACTTAAGGAAAGTGTTACTCAGGGGAGTTTAAGTGTGGTTTTTAAAGTAGTTAGAAAGAGATGACTTATTCCACATATAGTTAGGATAGGGACAAAAATTGGAATTCTACAAGGCTGTTTACCTGACTGAAGCAGAAGGTACAGGCTGTAAAGAAATAGGAGATAAGTGGTATTGTCTGCAATTGCTATTAAGAGATGACTTAATATATGCCTTAACACAGGGGTCCCCAACCCCCAGGCCTCGGACCAGTAGCGGCTCCCCATTGTCAGTGGAAAAATTGTCTTCCATGAAACGGTCCCTGGTGCCAAAAAGGTTGGGGACCGCTGTCTTAACATGGAAAGTTTATTATGACGAGTCTACTCACCAGTTATTTTTTTCCCACCACATAGAACCAAAACAGGACATGGACTTACATTGTAGTAAAAACAAATTTTGGTAGGCTTGAAGAGCTTCTTGATTATAAGGGTGATTTAACTGGAACAGAATACTTAAGGTCACTCCTTTATTCGAAATATTCTTGGCTTTTTCCTTTTTCTACCACATGAAGGTTAAAATACTTGGTCTAATTTTCCAAGTAATTTATAATCTTTCTAACCCAGCTTTTCTCACCATTCATCAGCATTAACTGTCCCAAACAGGCAGACTTTGTACCTCGGAACTCCATCAGACTTCTGTCTCTGCACCTTGAGTCTGGAATACTCTGTTCTTCCCAGGTGTCTGAGTCCACGCAAGGCCTAACTCCTAGTTCCTTCTGTCCTAACTAGCCTAGTCCTCTTTGATCTCCCCTTCTTAAACCACTGTAGCATTTATACATGGTACCATATAATTTTTTCCTAATTCTCTACTGACTCATATAAATTATTCTTTTCTTATTTACATTAATTTGTCTCCTTCTAGATTGAAATCTCCTTGAGAGCAGAGCCCACATTTTCTAATCTTAGTATCTGACATTGTCTTATCAGGTGCCCACTAAATGGGAGTTGTTTTAGCTCTAAGTAGTTTTGAGTAGCTAAGATTACTGAATAGGTGCCCAATAAAGAGACAACTACTAAATAAGGAGTTATTTAGTTCCCTGTGAAGTCCTCAGTTTGGGAGATATTTAAATAAAATTAATGCACCAATCAGATAAGTCCCTTCAGTTCTTTTAGTCTCTGATTAGTAACTGAAGATTAGGATTGTGGACAGCAGTGAAGGCCATGTCAAGAATCTAGACCGGTATTTGTTTTAGAAAATACGGGAAGCATTCATTTATATGGAATTTACTCATTGTATGGAATAATTCATTTAAAAAATAGTTTTTGAACACCAGCTACATATCAGGCACTGTCAAGTCCTGGCATATTAGGCAATATAGAATTATCCCTGTGCTTACAGAGTTTACAATCTAGTAGGGAATTGCCAACTGGGAGAAGTGAAATGATCCACTTCTTCCTGACGAAGAGAACCAGGAGGCAGCCATTTTTGTCCTTGCTTCTTTTAGAGTATAAAGGAGTAAAACTACCAAAGATACATTGTTACCTTTGACAAGGACCTAATCTACATTTTATGCTCATTTATTTGCTCTTTTATTGCAATTTATTTTATTTTATTTTATTTTTTGTTGCGCTATGCACGCCTCTCACTGTTGTGGCCGCTCCCGTTGCGGAACACAGGCTCCAGACGCGCAGGCTCAGCGGCCATGGCTCACGGGCCCAGCCGCTCTGCGGCATGTGGGATCTTCCCGGACCGGGGCACGAACCCGTGTCCCCTGCATCGGCAGGCGGACTCTCAACCACTGCGCCACCAGGGAAGCCCTATTGCAATTTTATTGCAATAATTTTTAGGTGAAATTGATCATAATGTGTGAGTTTTCTGATTATGGTTCGTGACAGATAACTAAAATACATTCACTTTCTGTTTGTGGATAATACTGCTATGACATTGTTTTCCTTAAAGTTAGGCAGTTTTTTTTAGGGAATAGGTATCCTCAAGATTATGAATAATATTGTGAATTTTTGTAATGTTTAATAATAGCTAACATTTATTGAGCTACATTAAGCACTTTCATTCAACGCTCATAGCAACCTATAAGGCAGATGCTAATTATATTCATTTTACAGATGAAGAAACTGATGCACAGAGTAGTTAAATAACTTGCTCAAAGTCGAACAGTAAGTAGGATGCAGGTTTGAACCCAGGTTCCAGCACCCTTAATTTCTGTAAAGTATAACATCAGGCATTCAGGGATATCTCAAGGAATTATTATCATATTTGATTCCCATGAGAATCCAGTGGAATTGGCAAAACATATTCTAACATTTTTATTTTATGGATGGGGAAACTAAACCTCAGAGAAGTTATTCTATGCTCTGCCCATGGTCACCCAGGACCTTTTAGTGGGATAATCCCTCATTATTATTATTATTTTTTTTGGCTGTGTTGGGTCATTGTTGCTGCACGCAGGCTCTCTCTAGCTGTGGCGAGTGGGGGCTACTCTTCTTGTGGTGTACAGGCGTCTTATTTCGGTGGCTTCTCGTTGCGGAGCACAGGCTCTAGGCGCACGAGCTTCAGTAGTTGTGGTGTGGGGGCTTCAGTAGTTGTGGTTTGCGGGCTCTAGAGCGCAGGCTCAATAGTTGTGGTGCAAGGGCTTAGTTGCTCCACAGCATGTAGGATCTTTCCAGACCAGAAATCGAACCCATGTCCCCTGTATTAGCTGGTGGATTCTTAACCACTGCGCCACCAGGGAGGTCCCAATCCCTCATTCTTTATGTGAGTTCAGTTTTGATTATCCAGGGAATTGGAGCAGAAAGAAATGTTATATGAAATAAATCAGAAATCATCTAAAGCCTTACCATTCAATGCTTGACCTCATACTGCTTCCCAAACCTGCTGAGAACCACCTCTATTCTGTTGGAAATACTGAAGAGCATTGTTAGCTAACGTGTGAAAGGAGACAACACACATTTTTAGATATTCAAGAAAGGGTATAAGATTATTTGCTAATTAGATTCATTTTTCTCCATTTAATCCAGTCAACTTTTACATATTCTCCTCTTTGCATTGTACTTTATCTCTGCTACACGTATGCAATTTTCTCCTATATATTTAAAATGCTTATATAGGGACTTCCCTAGTGGTCCAGTGGTTAAGGCTTTGTGCTTCCAATGCAGGGGCACAGGTTCCATCCCTGGTCAGGGAACTAAGATCCCACATGCTGTGCGGCCAAAAAATAAATAAAATGCTCATATATATTTGTGTGTGTGTGTGTATTTTTGTTTTTGTTTTTTTCTTTTTTTGGCCATGCCGCACATCACGTAGGATCTTAGTTCCCTTACCAGGGCTTGAACCCATGCCTCCTGCAGTGGAAGCGCAGAATCTTAACCACTGGACCACCAGGGAAGCCCCTATATATGTATTTTGTGTGTGTGTGTATGTGTATATAAGCTTTTTACTCAAAACATTATACATAAAAAACATATATGTGCTATATACACCCATGCACACAAGAACTTTAGAAGTCAGCAGGCTAAATAAATCAGAAATTTATGAATGGTGATATTTTAATATAGAATTTTGAATGCAAAGGATTTATAAATTCAAGATTTTTAAATTATTCATTCAAAGGAATATATTGTTCCCTCTCCCTCCCAGCTTTCAGATAGGAGGAAACCATGTTTATTTCATATGTTAAATATTTTGACTATTTAGATTGTTCATGTTCAGATTAAGTAAAACAAAATTAAGGTCTTAGCTAATTGATATTAAGGAATTATTGTGGTTTTTTTAGGTGCGATAGTGGTATTTCGATTACATTAAGAAAAAAGAATCCTCGTCTCTTAGAAATGCATACTAGAATATGTATGAAATTATGTCTGGGATTTTCTTCAAAAATAATATGAAAAAGGAGAGAAGTAGGTGAGGGTAAAGAAAAAACAAAATTGTTCATGTGTTGATAATTGTTGGGTGATGAGGAGTCAACACACTGTTGTGTCTAAAACGTAATAAAAAGTTTTAAACTGTATCATTTTCCCTTCATTAAAAAAGAAATTAAATCAGAAAAAGAAAGCATTTATTTTGCAATGATGTAAAGGGTTAGTAATCTAAGTAACAATAGCAGAGTTTTAATGCTACTTTTATAATAATTGCTTTTTTTATGTCTTGAGTAATTTTATTTCAATGCAAGAAATTTAACTTAGTGGGGAGATACTTTATAAACTAAGAGAAATTGGAGGAATATAACTCACAGATTATTCTCTTTATTTATTTTTGGCTGCATTGGGTCTTCGTTGCTGCACGCGGGCTTTCTTTAATTGCGTCAAGTGGGGGCTACTCTTCGTTGCGGTGCGCGGGCTTCTCATTGCGGTGGCTTCTCTTGTTGTGAGCACGGGCTCTAGGCGCGCAGGCTTCAATAGTTGCGGTGTGTGGGCTCTATAGCGCAGGCTCAGTAGTTGTGGCTCGTGGGCTCTAGAGCACAGTAGTAGAGCACAGTAGTTGCGCACAGGCTTAGTTGCTCTGTGGCATGTGGGATCTTCCCGGACCAAGGCTCGAACCTGTGTCCCCTGCATTGGCAGGCGGATTCTTAACCACTGTGCCACCAGGGAAGCCCTCTCTTTACTTTTAATAATCTGTTTAAATCAAACCACTACAAATAATAGGTATGTAAAATTAGATGATAATACTTCTGTGCAGTGTATTTTAAGGACACTTACCTTTACTATAAACAGTTTGAAAAGTGAATTAGCAACATCATTAGGAATATGTATTTCTCCTACTTTGTTTTGTCTGCTTTTTGTTCAGAAGTTTCATCTTTTTGTTCAGAGGGCAAAATCAGAAACCAAGTCTTTTTTTTTTTTTTTGGTGACTTTTTTTTTTAACTTATTTACTTATTTATTTATTTTGGTTGTGCCAGGTCTTAGTTTCGGCTCCAGAGCTCCTTAACTGTGGCTTGGCGGCTCCTTAGTTGCAGCAGTCTGGCTCCTTAGTTGTGGCATGCAAACTCTTAGTTGCAGCATGTGTGTTGGATCTAGTTCCCTGACCAGGGATTGAACCCGGGCCCCCTGCATTGGGAGCATGGAGTCTTATCCACGGCACCAGCAGGGAGGTCCCAGAAACCAAGTCTTGTACTTCTTTCTCTGTGGCACCTGTCATTGTATTTGGTGGACAATAGTCACTCAGTAAATACTTACTGAGTATCAAATTGTGAAGAGGTTATAGGAGGGAATAACCAAGTTAGTAAATTCATATCTCAGCCTAGTTTCCTTTCCCAGCTCTTTTGCCAGTTTTCTCTGAGGTCAGTTAAACTTTTATTAGTCTTTAGAATGAAGAAAATGTGTTGGTGTGGTACTAAAATATTTTGGGGTAAAAAGGAATACTGTCACCTACAAATTATATACATTTTTATAAAGCTAGTTACTGTTGGGTTAAATTTTAGTATTAATGATAATGCCATAAATATGATTTATAATGTGCTTGCCATAATGTATTCTGTACTATCCGATATAGTAGCCATTAGCCATGTCACATGTGGCTATTTAAATTTAAATTTTAGTTAACTGAAAGCAATTAAAATGAAAAATTCAGTTCCTCAGTCACACTAGCAAATTACACATGCTTAATAGCCACATGTGCCTGGTGGCAACTGTATTAGGTGGTGTGGATTATCAAGTATTTCCATCATCACAGAAAGTTGCCTAAGTTGCCAACATTGGCGAAGTACCTACCTGATTGTCTAGACTATAATTGCAAATTAGAGTCCAAATGGATGGTATTAGTGGGCTTAGATTCTCGTACCACCACAAATTAAACATTCAGCAGGGGTTTAATAAGCATGCAGTTTTTCAGCAAGAAAGTAACTCAGCTGTCCTGTTCTTTTATGGTAATGGAATAGAGTGGCCTCGTTTTTTTTTTTAATTTCTATCTTAACATCTTTACTTTTTCATAGTAATTAATTTCCTATTTGGATCGCTACAAAAAATAAGCATATAGCTAAGTAACAGAGGTAAAAATAGATTTGATGTCTTTTACTCTATATACGTAATAATACATATTCTTTCTTATTGTCCTCACCTGGTACAGGTAGAAGAGTCAGCAATGATGGGAGTAAGTGGCTATGTGGAGTATCTCCGAGAGCAGGAAGTATCTGAGCGGTGGTTCCGGTATAACCCCCGTCTCACCTGTATCTACTGTGCCAAATCTTTCAACCAGAAGGGGAGCCTGGACCGCCACATGCGCCTGCACATGGGGATTACACCATTCGTCTGCCGCATGTGTGGCAAGAAATATACCCGGAAAGATCAGCTGGAGTATCACATCCGCAAGCACACAGGCAACAAGCCCTTTCACTGTCATGTTTGTGGCAAAAGTTTCCCCTTCCAGGCCATCTTGAATCAGCACTTTCGCAAAAACCACCCTGGCTGTATACCCCTGGAGGGGCCTCATAGCATCTCCCCTGAAACAACTGTCACATCTCGGGGACAAGCCGAGGAAGAGTCACCTTCACAAGAAGAGACAGTTGCTTCTGGGGAAACTGCCCAGGGCTCTGTGTCCACTACTGGGCCAGATTGAAACAGCGAGGAGGTGGGGCAGACTCTCTTCCCCTTTGGGCCGTAAGTAACCAGCATCACGGCCATGGGCTGGTACTTAGATTCACAAAATGCCACAACACCAGATCAGAAGATGTTAGCAAGATGTTGTATCAGCAACATACACAAAAGCACTAGAAGCTCTTCCCCTCTTTCTTCCCACCTCACACTTTGGAAAATAATCAAGCAAATCAACTTTCTAATTCAGGGATCAACAGCCTTGGTTTGTTAACTTTATAAAAAAAAAAATTTTTTTTAACAAAACAATGATAAGTGATCATTTATCTACCAGTCATGTTTGAACACTGTACTTTGGTCCATATCACCCTGGTGGCTGTAATTGCCCAGATCTGAAAAATGAAGCAGGAGCCTTGGTCATCTGAACCAGCCAGCCACAAGAGAGAAGGAAGTAATCATGATGGTGATGATGAGGGGGAATTTCTCTTCTTCCTTCCCTGCCAGAACATGCAGTTTCTTATCTCAAGAAGGGGGAAAAAAAAAAAAAAGAATCCCAGTGGTTCTTTTTGTTTTGAAAGGTTAGATTAATCTTTGCCCTGACAAGGCGTCTGATACTTTGCCTGATTGTTTCATGTATGCAGCCATCTTGGAGCAGTATTCTAATGGGCAGCATCACCTGAAGCACTTTAGGCACCTGGAAGTGAAATGAGCAGCAAAGTGTTTGCAATATGTAGTTCTGCATTTGGGGCCTGGGTGTTGTGTTGAGGAAGGGGGGAGCAGGGAAGGAAGTGTTTTTGCTCTGCAATTATCGAACAGCACAGAGGCAGCCGTACTGCAACTTCCTGATTGGTATTTGTAAGCCATAGTGCTTATATATCTTAAGGTGTTAGGAAATGGCTCTAGTCCAGATGAGTTAACGCGTAAGGCTGACTACCAAAGTTTCATCCAGCCTCTTCGGCTCCTAGCTTCACATAACAGCAATATTATGCATCAAAAATGTCACTTTACAGTGAAATGAGCCTGGATTGTATTTTTAAATCCACAGGTCTCCATATTTGATAACTTTTATATGACATTTTAAACACACTTTTTTCGCAATATTGTGGTTGTAGAAATTCAATATTATGCTTCTTACTGCAACTACAGTTCCATTTCCTTCTACATATGTGATAGTTTATATTTTCAGTCCAATAGAAGAACCTCACTAAATCCATGTCTTGCGTCTGCAAACTTAGTAATTCGTAAACCAACCATCAGCAAATTGCTGGTGACTCCAAGAGCTTTGCTTTTTAATAATACACTACAGGGCATTTACCAGAAAACATCATGCACAATCATGTTGCAATAAATTGATCAAGGGATTGATTTTGATCAGGTTTGGTTACTTAATCATTCCTAAGATTTTTAAAACTTCAAGGGACCTTTTTGGTAATTCTGGGTATTTCTGAGATTCTTAATCCAGCACTGAGAGTCAGAAAGAATTTACCGAACATGTAGAGCTTTAGATGCCCTGTCTTGCGTGCAGAGAATGAAGGAGGATTATTAAGGGATGCAGGCAAGTAGATGCTTACAAGTTACAGTGCAAATAGAAAAGAGAAAAATCTGTAGCTTCTCTTAATTGATCATTAATTTTTTACAGAGTATTTAAATATGTAGTGGTTTAAGAAATTGTTTTGGTGCAGGGGCATAGATGATTGTAAAAGAGATTTGGGAGAGGGGCTGATCATGCCTGAACTGGTGGTGAGCCATTTGTGAGAACATTAGTAGTGTGCTCCCTTCCTGAGACTGCTTGGGTATGTGAAAAAGTGGGTAGGAAAGAATGGCGTTGCTTTGATGATAGGAAGTTAGAATGCAAAGGGTAATTCTTAAGCAATCTGAGACCTGTACATACATATACAGCTGCACCATATCACTAATGAACGGTTATTTTTTCTTCTGGAAAAACAATGCATCTTTTAATAGGAATGCAATAATGCTACCATTTGATTAGAGCCTACCCTTAAACATTATGTTGAAGCCGTATTTTGTCTTCAGAAGACATAGACTATGGCATTCTCCTCTTTAGATGGGCAACAGCATGATAGGGTGAAAACTGTCGCCTAGGGCCGTCTTAGGGACCAACTATGCTCTGTGGCATAGAAAAAGTAGAGTTGAAATTAGACTGAAATCTTTAAGGAAACATTTCAGCTGGTAATCAATGCTTTCAGTGGACAGATTTTGCCATTACTAAATAGGGAGGTGAGAGGTACAGAATATGCTGCTTTAGATGGAGCTTTTAAGCCTACCAAAAATTGTTAAGTCCATCCTACTTTTCAGAAGTATTATGCTGGAAAGTTCTATATTGCTTTGTTAGTTTCTTAGATGTTATTTGAGAAAATAGAGCTATTTAAACTATTACCAAATTGTAAAAGTGAGGTGCAGTAATTTCTGTAAAGAGAAACTTTGCAGCATTTGTCAGTACTCCATCCAGGGTTAGCAACAAACATTTTAAATGAAGTAGGGACTGTCTGATAGATGTGGAAATGCTATGAGTGTTTGATGGGTTCCCCCTCCCTTTTTATTCACTGCTAATAGGTTTTTGCTGTATCTGTACTGTGAATAGAGTGCTTCTCGGTCATCTAGGACCACATCAGCACAATCATGTTTGCTGGTTCTCTCCTCTTAACTGGCCTAGGGCAGAGCCATGAAATTCATGAAAATTCAAGCCAGCCTAACTTTTAAACAAATTTACGTTTCTGAAAGCAGTTTCCCCATTTTAGTTAGAAGAGATATTACTCTAAATAACTATCCAAGATTCTTATCCAGGTTCACTGTGACATTGTCCTAGTTCTTAGCTAACATCACTGTAGGGTCATAGGAGTTAGTAGTGTTCTATCTACCTTAATGAATAGCTATATAGGCGTGTGCACAGAGGATACCTCTCTTAAGGATGTACTAAATGGACTTTAGCTAATGCTGAAAACTCATTACCAAATTTTAACTTGCACGTGTCACCTTGTGAAGGGAACAGCATTAGCAGTGAGAGCTAAATCATCATTAAGTACTTTAATGCCATGAAATAGCAAACACTGGGACTGTTTTCATTTATTGAGTAGCACTTAATAGCAAAGGAGCTACCCAATATTCTCAGCAAAAGAAGAGAGATGACAATATATTAATCTGCTTTCATTCTAAGAGGTACCTTTTATTCTCTCTCAGAACTCTGATACCAGTTTAAAATATGGCATTGGCATGAACAGTAATACTGTACTTAGGCAGAAGGCTCTTTCTAATGACTTGTTCTCTCTTTACTCAGAACCATATTTACCTCTGAACTGAGTTGAATTTTACTTTATGTGAGTTGCAAACTACCCCCAAGCTATCCGTTATACTAGAGGGTCAAATCTAATCTTGAATGTGTAAAAATAAATTCGTTCCTGAAGGATAAAAATTGGAAAAGAAGGGAGATAGTAGTTAAGGGAAGTTTTCTTGTTGTTACTTTTTGGGTTTTTTTTTTCAATGTTTCCAGTTCCCTCTACATCATTGAAACAGGGTTTTCCAAAGATGGCATGACAATAGAAATAAACCATTTTCCTACTAACTTCATAGTTCAATCAGGCCCTGGTTGGAAGTGGTTTTATGGAAGAGTGAAATAGTGAACATCATCCTTAATAGCTGAATAGTCTTTAGTCAAGAAATAACTTTTGAAAAGTTTTAGCTGTTACTTAACACTAATTTTGTTTTAACTGGTAAAAATGATATTTTATTTGACTGGAAGATCTAATTTAAAGAAATGAAAGCAATGGGTAATGGAAAGGAAATTAAATTGAACAAAGATAAAAGTCTTCTAAGTCATAGTGGAAAGGCATTTAATCAGGAAGGAGTTGGAATCTTAGAAGTTTTTATTTTTTCAGCTGCAACAGATGTGGGTTTTTTTTCTCTTCCTCAAATGTTCTCCTTATCTGTATACTTACTAATTCAGTATTTTGGTTGCTGAGATTTAGAGAAGGGACAACTAGCAATTAAACCAGGTAAATCCCTTAATTTGAGAGGATGCCCCTTAGCAAAGTATATCTCTAGGATTTAGTAATTAGATCAAGGTTCAGCAAACCATAGCCCCCAGGCCAAATCCTGAGGTCACCTGTACTGTAAAGAAAGTGATAGTGGAATAAATCCACACCAATTCGTTTTGGTATTGTTAATGGCTACTTTCTGCAATAGTGGCAAAGTTGAGTACTTTGACAGAGACCACATGGCCTGCAAAGCTTGAAAACAAAAGTTTGCCAAGTCCAGAATTAGATTTGAAACAATTACACCACTGCCTCTCAATTTGTCACTCTTGCCATTTTGCCTTTATAATAATAGTTTGGTTGAGGTTTTAAATTCATACTGCCGTATATGCATCAGTTTCTTGAAAGAGGTTGCCATCTTTTTCTAGATCCTTGTCTCATTTGTGCTCCTTCTTGAATCCCATTGCTTTAAAGCATTTAGAGTAGGCCTTATGATTTGTCCTTGCCTTAAAGCTGCATTAAAGTTTAGGATGGTAATTACAGATTTAAGAAAGTAATTTTTTAAAATAATTCCCATGCATAATAATGTAGGGTTAAATGAATACCATGTTTACCTAAAGTGCTGTAAGAAAAGTAATGTTTTTATAAGTGTTTTGCCATTTCTCTAAGTTAACATAATGATGATGATGGCAAGAATGAAGTTATTCCCACTAGTATTAAAATTTAATTTCTGTTATGAATAAGTGGTTTGATTCTTATCCAAAGTACTGTTTCTCTAGATTAGAAACCTCTACCCATTTCCTTTACTATAAATCTTCATTTCCTCAAGTAAACTCACTCTGTTCCATGTGGAATAGTAAAAAGCCAAAATCTTCCTTTTTTTTTTTTTAAGTCAGTGTTTTAAAACATAATGAAACATCTGAAGATTTAAAGTTCTTTTTAGACCTACCTTCCAATTTCTGTTATAGTTTGTAATGCTTCTAAATCTGTAATGGGCCATTATGTATTTGATTTGTGAATGTTCATTCTTACTGTTCAAATAGCTTATTTATGCCAGATGTGGAAAAAATGGAAAATGTTAGGATGATAATAAACAGAATTCCTTGCAAGAGGAGAATATAATTGCTCCCCATTTGGAAACAATACATGGACTTCTGAGGTAAATTTATCTGGGCAAAGTGTTCTAGGCCATGCTGATACAATACAGTGGATTTGATTCTTACTTTGTTGTGAGCTCTACCAAGACATACGAAGTTTGGATGAGTGACCTAGCCGCATATATGGCACCTCTTCAGTAGGCATTTTATTCTTAAAGTTGCCTTTTTTCTAAGTTGGATATTAGTAGGTTTTATATGTTACACCCTCCAAGTAATAGATAATCTTCATCTAGAAGGTTCCAGAATATTTGCTTAGGTGACATCTGCCTTGTCTTAGAGCACTTATAGTAATAGTGAGTTCTTGAGATTTTGGAGTGCTGCTTTTCTGGTTAATTTGGGATTCTGATGAATCTGGGGTAGAGGACTTGTGAAAGAAATCGTATTTAGGTAGCCCAGTGAATCATCTGCATCCACCACCATTTGAAGTCTTGGTAATAGATGTCATTTAAATACGAATCTGTTGAAAACAATGGAGTTTGCCAAGCATTATGACTTCTTTGATAATTATCAGTCTTATGTTGCTTTGCCTCCTTTGCTTTTTAGTGTCTGTTTTCACTCATTCTTAAGTGGTGCTTTTCCCAGGGCCAGTCTTTTTACTTTGCATTAAGTATGTTTTCTTGCTCAGGACAAGCCAAAGTTGGATATTTTGAGTACTTTCAAACCCGACTTAATTACATTCCAAAGGATGTAATTGTTGATAGGAACAGTGATATCAAAACCTGCAAGATATCTGTACAGACTAGCCAGTTTTGTTGTGTAGGCAGACTATCTTTTCCCTCAATTGTAAGGAACAGCAATAACTTAGAAGGCAAATATTACCTGAAATATACAGTATATTCACAGAGTGTGCATATATAAGATAAATAAATATCTTACATCTTCTCCATTATCTGTATAATAAATACCTCCCATAGTAACATAATTAAGAAAGGTCCATTAGCTCAAACAGTGGAAGTTTTAAAAACAAAGCTTAGTTACAAAGGCAGAGCAGTTTAGGGAAAAAAAAAACAAGAAAACACTTTTCTAATGCTTGCTTTTTTCATGTCTACTCAGTAAGTCCTGTTAAGGAAGCTAGAATTCACCACCCAGTTAAGAGAGAGATTTGTTCAGTATCTCATATGACCAACAACACAATTTAATATACTGTGAATTTTAGAATCTCAATCCATAATGCGGGAAGTCAAACTATGTATCTCATAGGAAAATGTTCCCTGTTCTATGAAATCACTTATCTTAAATGGTAGGTAGCATACAGGAGAATCTGTTCCATTAAGTAAATTTTTGTTCCATTAAGTAATTTTTGGTACCAGATAATCTGCTTGGAATTTGTATAACAAAATTGATTTTAGACATAGTTTAGATGTGGCTTCCTATACTTGAGAGTCCTAAACCCACTTGGTTAGAGGCTGGTGTATACTTTTAAAAGCCTGCACTTTTCACTACAGAGATAAAAGATCAAAAAGAAGGGGACAGAATTAACCATACTAAGTGCTTTAGGGACATAATTGCAGTAAATTCTCAAGATAATCCTATGAGGTAGTAATGGTAGTAACTAAGAATAGCGGACTTTAAGTGTTTACTATGAGTTAGGCACAGTTCTATGTGCCTCACCGTTAACTCATCTAATCCTTATGACAATCCCATTAGGGTAGATACTGTTATTATCCTCACTTTAGAGAGAAAGAAATGGAGACACAGAGAGGTTGACCTAGGCAGTCTTTCACTACACTTGACATTCTTAGTAGAGTATGTTGCCTTTAATAGGTGTAATTATACTACATTTTGTAGATGAGGAAACTGTTGAGCCCAAGATTACACAATGGATAAACTGCAGAGCCAATATTTACCTGATTCCAAAGCCCAGGCTATCTCCAGTACATCGTGTTAACTCTGTTTACTTATAAAGTTGGAGTGAACTAGAATATACAATAGCCAGTAACAGCACTGCTTTTAGTGAACTTTTAATTCAGGAATAAGTGATTGGAAGATTTCTTCATGAGATAAAGCAGTTGACCTCTGAGCAGATGTTGAATGATGAATTTTTTCTGGGGATATTGCCCACCAATTTAGAGGAGTCACCCATTTGGTAGTTCTAATTGTGAATGAGTGATTGAGTTACTACCAAGGCAAAAATTAAAAGATAGATAGCATTCCAGTTATCTATTGCTGTGTAATGAACTATCCTAAACCTTAGTGACTTAAAACAGCAACTACTTTATATATCGCATGATGTTGTGAATCAGAAATTCAGGAAAGGCTTGTCTAGGCAATTTCTTGCTCCCTGTGGTGACAGCTCAGGTCACCTGGTAGTATTCAGCAGGTGGTTGGACCGGTCAGGAGTGTCCAAGATGATCTCACATTCCTGACACCTTGGTAGGGAGGGCTAGAAGAATAGGCCCAGCAGGCCTCCTCTCCCTCTCTGGAGTCTCAGGGACTCTCCATCTGATCTCTCCATCATAGTAGTCAGAGTTATGAAATGGCAGCTCAGGCCTCCAAGAGGCTGGGCAGAGGATGCCAGTCCTCTTCAAGGCCAGGCCCAGAGCTATCATAGAGTCATCACCATACACTATTGGTCAAAGAAGTCACTGGTCAGCCCAGATTCAAGGGGAGAGGAAATACCTTACCACTTGATGGAAGATGTGTCAAGGATTTGGGGCCAACTTTAATCTGTTATAGGTAGCATTAGGTTTTTTTGATTTGTCTTAACTCTTGTGTGTTCATTTAGGTCAGTTGTTTGTGCCATAGAAACCATTTCTTATATCTACCATGGGTCAGTAAAGGAGCTAGAAGGAGAATGAGACAAATACCTGGAACAGATTTCTTTAGCTTCCCACCCCCTGAGTTTCATTTATGTTATAGCAAAATTTCCATTTTTTCTTTTGTTCCAAGTTCCAAATTATGAGCATTTGCCGTTTTTTGTTTTTTTTTTCCTGTGAAGCCACAGTAACTGTCTATGCTAAACCAGAAATACTCCAGAGGGAATAAAAAGCTTGCTGTTACAGACCTAGATTTATTAGAGATGTCAGCTGTATTTAATTTACAAATAGGCAAGAACTCCTGTGGTATGGAAAGTTTATATGGCTGCTATATCTGTTTCAACAGGAGTTTCTATTGAGTGGCTAGATGGATTATATTCTTGAGATGATTGCAAGTTTTGCCTACATATCCTATACATCTTTACTGCCACCATACCACCTCTGGCACAAATTTGTGCTAGGAGAATAGGTTCATTCCATTTATATTACCTTCCATATGGGAAAATCCGTTGCCCAGTTTTATAGTTGTGAATCTTTTAAAATTATCAGTTGCTATCAGCTTCTGTTATATAGAATAACAAATCATTGAATTTGTACAATTTTTGGTTAGACTTGTCAAATTTAGGATGCTTTATTTAAATTCCTGCTGGCTTATAAATGGACTTTTATTTCCTTCAGAAGAAATAATGCCAGAGAATGGATTCTGCTCTAAAAATGATCATCCCCAAATGAATACACTTTCTAAGAGAAGAAAGGTTTGGTATTATCTATCCATTCCATGTATAGTGGTTTCCTAGAGAATTAGTTGTGAGGGCTTCTTGCTGGTCATCCCCAATTATCATATAGTGAAGAGATCTCTGTTTCCCGGTCAGGCCTCAGGAATTACAAATACAGGATATAAAAGGGGTACTCAGGGCTGAAGACTTAATTTAGGACTCTAGAAAATTCTGGGAAGAGAAAAGAAAGACTTCGGCATTTGTAGTTGAATAACCAGGGTTGGAATGTTTGATTCATTTAGGCATCAGGATTAATTAGATTTTATCATATAATGATTGGGGCAAATTTTGATGAATAAAAATAAAATAGCCTTAACATTTTCTTTTTTATCCATATTTCCACTCTGCTGTACCTCAAAGTCTGCTTTTTGTGACAGAGAAGGCTTTGAAAATATACTCCCAGGGAATGAAAAATTGGTTCTAGGTACTTTGGCTAGAACCATCTTTGCCATAGTCAACTTTGCTGCAAGCATTTTCACCTTATAACTAATTCGCTGTAAGGCAATTTTGCCATAAAAGATAAAAAATAAAAATAAAAAATAAAAGAGGGACATTAAAAAGGACATAATGCAGCATGAAAAATGAATAACAAAATTAAAAAAAAACTTTATTGCAAAATACAAAATATTTGAATACCTCTAAAATGTGTGTAGATTCATGGCAATCCTGCACAAATAACTGATTTTGTGTGTTGTACCTAAGCACTTGTCTTCCAGGTCTTTCATTCTTAGTATTTTATACTTTTTTTTTTTTTTTTGCTTGTTGATTCATCTCCTCATTCAGCATTGTTCTTTTTCTTTTTGCTTAAATTTCTTCCTTCATTAAGAGAGGTATCAGTTTCCAAATACCAGGATGCATATTTGTAGCCAAGCTTTGTATTGCATCGTGAAAGCCTCTGCACTGTTGTTTGTTCTTGGCATTTTGTCATATGTCCATTCATAGACTTTCCAAAGTTCTGTGGGAAATGTGGATTCAACTCTGCACCTTTGAGGCTTTTGGCCTCTTTATCCTCCAATGTAGTGTTTCAAAATAAGAAACCAACTCTTGGGGCAAATCATCATTATCTGTCAGCTCAATAAAGGCATCAGTAATGTTGCTAACTGGGAGAAATGCCAGTCGAAACCAAACTATCAAACCAAAAACTCATCCAGTTATTTTATCTTTTGGGGCAAAAACTGTCTTATGACCAATTAGTTATGCTGTGAAAATGTTTGCAGCAAAGATGCTTATAGTGAAAATACTGGACACTTGAAAAATATTTGATAATCTATGAAGATGCCACTCATTCGGTTTCTTACAGCTCTTTGGGCCCTCCTCTAGATTCTCTGTGACTCTTAAATTTGAAATCATCTGGTGGTTGCATGAAAACTAAGTATAGTTGTTTCTTGAACAATGTGGGAGTTAGGGTGCCGACCTCTGCAAGTGGAAAATCCCCCTATAACTTATAGTTGGCCTCCGTTTCTGTGGTTCCTCTGCATCCAGGGATTCAACCAACCACTGATGGTGTAGTACTGTAGTATTTACTATTGAAAAAAACCTGGCTATAAATGGATCCATGCAGTTCAAACCCATGTCGGTCAAGGGTCAACTGTACTGTGGTCTCAAATTGAAAAAGAGAACAAAGTCAGAAGGGAACCTGCAGACTGACAAAATACTTATTCTTTCTTTTCAGCATCACAAGTCTAAACCATTTAATAACCACATCCTGAGAAATTCCTTAAGGTTTAGATTTCTGCTTTTAGCATATCTTGTGGCAGATGTTTTGACATTTTTGAAGGTGATCTACTGAGTTTCCTATAAATAGAATCCTAACTACAGTGGTTCTTAAAGAACCACTGCAAAAACAGAATTACAACACAGGGAACAAAGCTTAAAATGTGTTTCCTCTGGAAGCCAAGATGCTAAATCAGGAGTCACTACATGTGGCTGGAATCCACCTCTAGAATGGCTATCAGCCAGATAGCAAAGATATTTAGAATTTATATGGTATTTGATATTTTTACAAAAATGATTTTAAATCATGTAACTTGAAGTTTTAAAAAATGAGCCTGTTTTCTTTTTGGAAAAGTGGGCCAATAAAAATAACACTAATATAATTCAATTGTATATGCATGTGCATTGAACACAGAGTGGTATACTAAAGATAGTTCATGCAAATAACTTTTGTGGGAAGTTTGGCTATTTTCTTAATACCTTTTTTTCATAAATGTATGTTTATAAATATATTTACTCATCCACTATGACCTTGGTAGCTTTAGAAGCATTTTGTTAGCTGTATCATTGATTATAAAAATCAAATTCTTGGCATAGTAGGCTATGAGAGCTTTTAGTTGCTTTGTTTGTATTTTGGCTAAGAAAATTGTTTCTTGCACTTTCTATTTATAAAGATGTTATAACACTTTGCACCCACTTAGTGCAGCTGTTCTTCAGCGACATAAGATGTAGGCGTTAAAGTGAAATGTATGTTTAGAAGCCTGGCAAAAGGAGGGATCTCAAAAGAACAAATTTGGCTTGCATCTACCTGAGAAAAGCTGAGGATAATATAAAATTTAGATTGAAAGTGTCTGTTGGGCTAGGTGTACAGTTGCTGCAAGTTGCAATATCATTGTGAGTTGCCAGCTATGTGTATGTGATTTTATGTATGTATGTGAGAAAAAGGTGTCTGATGAAGGCAGATAAGTCAGTGTAGAAAATTCTACCTCCCATTAAAGACTGAGAATATTCCAAGATTGCCCTGTAGCCCCTTAGGCAGGAGGCTGGATTCCTCAGCCACCATCCACCCCATTCTCTTGTACTCACTTCAGCTCCTCTACCTCTGAGCACTTGGCTGAAGATAGAGTGTAGCTTTCTGTAGCAAGCAAAGGAAAGCCAGACCCAAAATATAGAGACTGCAGTATCTCACTTCTTGTCATGTTCAGATGTCAATGTTTGGTTTCATTGCCCAAATCAAACAGAACACTTGGGTTTAGTGCTTTTATCCACTGGCTTCTATTTGGCAAGAGTAGCCCGTGGAAGTGGAGTCTTTCTGTTGTTTTTAAAGGTGCACTCAACTCCTTTTAATGATGTGAAAATTTTGTTTGAATCCTGAGGGTTTGTTTTTTTTTTAAATTGCCATTTGCAGTCCATTTTGGGGGACTGGAATATCAACCATATTTTCCTGATAATGAGCCTTCTGCCAATATCTTAACTTGCAGTTTTGCATGCAGTTTTTTGGATGACCTGTTTTGCTTTTAGACATTCCGAAGAGAGATTTTTCTGGTTTTAATGCCAATACTGTTAAAATAGTCAGGATGGCCTGTTGTGGGTGTCAGGAAATTCAGTTTTGGAAGTAAAATGCCACTAGGCAGGCCACCTAATCTTTAAATGCAGTTGTAGCACTCAACTGATTTGCTGTTTGGGGCACAAGTACACTGAGCCAAGTCAGGATACCTACCGTGTGAACATTTGTTACAGCTGAGGAAGGACTACTGGCCTTTTCAGAAATATCCCAGAATGCTTTCCACCTTTTCATTTCTAATGCACTGGCTGGTTGTAATTCCACACAGGGATTCTCTGATTAGGAGTGAAAATGAGAGAGTGATCCATTTTCAGATTTTTAGAGGTTGGCATCTGTGTTTTAGGTACTAGCTGATAAGTATTTACTTTCCTGGTGACTGGGTAGGGCAAGTGACAATACAGTGTGAAATTCCAAATGAGACAAGCAGTACTCATTGGTGACAACTGATATAGTAACGTTCGCCTAAATACAGTATGAATGCTATAGGGAGATAGGCAGTAAAATCATGTGAATCTATTCACCACAGCTATTTTTTTTCTAACTATAGAATCATTGTCAACCTATAAGCCATGCTCCTAATATCCTAGACTCAGGAATTAACTCCTGCTGGCGTATCTTTTGTTTGTGCGCAGAGTTTTGGCCTAGGCCTGTCCCGAGCTGTTTTGCTACAAACACATACTTAAGGTGCAGTCTTACTAAGTCAATAATATACTGTCAGCAGTGCAGCCTGTTTTACAGCCACAGTGATTTATTGAAATACAAAACAAACAAAAAAGTGAGAAATGCCTAGGTAATTTGTTTGAGGCATGTTAAATCTGTTAATCTGGGAGGAAGCATAGAGTCTTATCTTTCTTCTATCTGGCTTAGGTGAACAGTGACCTTAGTGCTTTCTGTTACAGAGCCAGTTGACCTAGGCAAGTAGTTCTCCATCTTGGCTGCACATTAGAATCACCTGGGGCATTTAAAAAAGTACTGATGCCTGGGGCCTCCTCTAGACCTTCACGTTTAAGTGGCCTGCTGTGCAACCTGGGCTTTAAAAGCTCCTCAGATGATTTTAATGGGCAGCCAAGGTTGAGAATCATTTTCTAGGTAGTCCTGAATGGTCTTTGGCAGGATAACCTCTACCTGGTTCTCTTTTGTCATAAGATACCTTTATTGGTATCCCAGGCATGGCTCTGAGTTTAAAACTTAGAGTGGGCCAAGGCTCAAGTGGTAAAATGGATCATTTATTTGTCCTCGGAGTAATTCAGTAGAGAGATGTTGCCATCCACCCAGTTTCCTCTCTATACCAAAGTATGCATAAGTCAGCAAAACAGATTTTCAAAGTCTGCTCCCTAGAATCCTCTTTCCCTTGCATATGTGATTTAAGTGGAGATTTTTTTTAACTCTGCTAGCTGAAATGGAGCGCTTGAACTTATTAAGAGAGCCAAGCCCAAGCCACCTAGGGTGATTTTTATTTGTAAAGTAAGCAGGTGGCATTGTTAATGAAGAAAAAGGAGGGCCCTTTCTGGGGTGATGGTGATATATTTGATTGTTTCTTAGCCTGTCTTCTAAGTGGGATTTCGATGTAAAGCGACTTTCACTTTTCCGTGTTTCTTTGTGAATTAAATGCACTAGCTAAGGCGTAAATATTTCTGAGTTTTACATGAAATGTGAAGTGAGTCATTTCAGCATATTTGTTCCAGGATATCAAAGACTTAACCCAGTAATTCCCAAACGAGTTTTCATATCTTTCATTCTCCCACCCAGGTATAAAGATACCTGCCCATGGCAACCTCACACGTGATAATGGGGAGGGGAGAACTGTTTGATTATCCTTAAAAAAGTGAGAATCACCATTCAAACTAATTAGCTACCAAGTGATTTCTAATTCATGAAAGAAATTTGTGTTTAAGAGCAAGTTCAAATATAGCAGTCTCTCATCTGAGAGACTGCCGGCACTGTAGAAATTTTCATTCATATATTGCCTACAAATAATTGATAATTTCAATTTCAAATAGGTGGTGTGTTTGAGAAGAAAAAGTGGGTGGAAGGAAAAATTGCTAGTGCAGAGGACTGAATTAGCATCAGGCTATGAAATTTCATTAAAATAACATTAAGGCCTGGCTGTTTGCTTAGCATGTATATGCTGCAATGTCAGAGAAAAACGCCTCCTATGCCTTAGAAGATTTGTGAAGGCTTCCTTATATTGTGTGGAATAGAAAAGCAATAGCCTTTGAGACTTGTTTGCATCCGGAGAGTAGCCCATTAGGGTTTTCATACTGAGGAACATGGTGGAGTACTGTGAAACACTGTTGAACTTTATGCAGATCACACCGCACTGGATTTTAAGATTTAGGGAAGGAGAGTAGAGGAGGAGAAGGGGGAAGTAATGGTAAAAATATACAGAGAGAAACTTGTACTATATTTTACACCAGTAATGAAAGAAATTCCCTATCAGGAATTCTTTATCAGGACTGTGAAGCTCTGCCAAGTTCTTCTGTCCTACTGACTGGCTTGCTGATTCCTCTTAAACCTTTAAGAAATCCTTTCTGAAAGAGCTAAACAAAAGCTGGTCTGACTGCAGTTTCACCACCCTGTCCCATCCCCCTATTCACAACAAAAGAAAAACATTCCCAAACTATAGGCAAAAGAAATGTCTCAGTCCGTTAACTTTTCATCCTCTATGGTCTATGTTCACTGTTTTAGCCTGTTGAATTATTTTGTGATCTAATGGCAGAACTTAAATAGATCTGCCAGATCAGTCAGGAATCAATGGCTTCTCCTTTAAGAAATCTTAAAATCAGAACTCTCAATTTTTGGCACGTCAGCATAAGTGAGTAAAGGGAGAAGTAGGTTGAAAGAGCACTTAGGGAATTCCCTGGCGGTCCAGTGGTTAGTGGGTCCTTGGCGCTTCCACTGCCAAAGGCCTGGGTTCAATCCCTGGTCAGAGAACTAATAAGATCCCGCAAAGCCACTTAGATTTCCCTTAGATATCCTGGCTTCTCATAATTTCAGGTGGGACCCACTTATGCTCTGTCTCTGAGAAGAAAAGACAAGACAGAGGGTTCTAAGGTAGAAAAGTCAATGTAGCCGAAATATGGTTTCCTTCAGATGGATATAGTCGGAAAGAAATCTGTCCACCTGTTCTCAATGGTGCTTATATGGTGGGTGACAGCTGTCTCCCATCTACCTGTCCCTGGCACTGTGCCTTCCCACTGGTCACTGTGAAAAGCAGATCACACTGGACTCAGAGGCCAGAATCCAGGACAATTTCCCCCTTCTCATCACTTCTTCATACAGCTAATAATGTAGCATTTACTTCTCTTTGGAAAATTCTTGGGTTTGTCCCCCAAGAAATAGTAAAGCATTTATAGGAAAACAGAAAGTAAGATTCTGGTGGTAGCTATCAAATAAAGAGATTACAGGAAAATTTTAACTTCCCCTCAGCTGATATTTATTGATAGCAAGGACCAACTATGCCTCCTCATCCTGAGTTTCTAAAGGCTACCATAATATTTCTAAGCAACAAACTTATCTAACATTTTTTCACAACTTGTTAATCAAGGATTCATATTAAAACAGACAATCAATTTCTAAAATGTTGTTATCCCTGAAAGGGAATGAGATAGAGTTTTTAACTAGAAGAACCTACCGGTCTGTTTTTTCCCTTTGAAAAAACTAACATTTGAGGTTTGTGTCTTTCATCTGAAGCGATTACTCCATTAATAAAGATGCCTCAGAAAAGTCGGTGAGCCAGGCTAGCACTCTTGCACCTCTGAGGGTGCTGGACTGGGTTTGTACATCTTATTTCCTTAGAGAATATCTGTTTTTATTATGACCTTAACTATAAATACCTATATATAGGAATAGGATTTTCTCTCACCCCACCCTCTTTTAATCATTATCACTTAAGTGTAAACCACACCTCCCCCCACCCCACTTTTACTGAAAAAAATGCACTTTAATTCCTAAGGAGAGTGGCTGTTCCTTGCCCTGAAGCCAGATTACTTCAGGAGGAGAGTTGAGGAGGGAGAACTCTTGGTGACCTCGTAAAATTAACTAAATTCCGTAATGTAAACACAGAAATCAACCATTTTTAAGCTGCCCCCCACCCCCAGCCAAAGGGAAAAAGAAACAACCAAATGAAAAAGTTCAAAATGCCTACCTTGATTTCGGAAGTTTCACTGGGGAAAATACCCAATGTTAAATTATTTTCTCAGCTACCAAATTATCAGAAACTTGTGGGTGGTTTCGTGGGAGGCTGAGACTTTTTTTTTTAATAAAAGGCAAGTGAATCACAGGCTACCAAATATCCTGATTTGTGTCGTTTCTAAGTATCAGATTTGTTCTCTCCCTTAATTTGACAGGCATTCTGAGTCTCTCCTCCTGTAGATTCTGTCCTTCCCCTGATGACAAGCCAATAGTTCTTGGTGGGGTTGCATGCCTCCTAGAGCCCCAGGAGCCCTGTTGTGTCGGGGGAGGGGGGAGGGCAGGAGGGTGGGCAGAGACTGGGGTTGGGGGAGGGAGATTCAGAGAAAGTGAAAATATATGGGTTTATATAAACATATTTAAAGCAGTTTAGCAAAAGCTTTCTCCTTGAACAGCTTTAAGAACAATGTGAATGAAATCTTAGCAACTTGGTTAGTAATTTGAAAAGTCTATTAATGTATACTTGAAATTCTGTTTGTATAAAAATACATTTTCCTCTTTATTTTAACACTGTGTAAAAGAACATTATGCATGTTGAGTGGTTTAAGAATTAAATGATTTAATATTCAGATTTGAATCTCTGTCTTTTCTGTATAGAGATTAATTTGTTTTAAATTTTTGGATTTTTTTAGTATGAGGGGATTACCTAGATTTCAAGCTCCCCCTGCCCTCTCAGGATGCCTACCATCTTTCAAGATGAAGCAGTGACATATCTCCCTTCTTCACTTTCTTGACCCAGATGTGTTCGCTGGTAGAGAACAATTGAAAGCCTCATTTTACCAAATGCCCAACAGCATCTCTATCCATTTCTCCTTTCCTTGTCTTCGTTTCAGGTGGCAAAGTCCATTCGTAATTGTGAGATATGGGAGTAGTTGTATTTATTTTTACTTCTATTCACAAACCAAAATAGGAAGAACTATAAAGGATAACATTTTAGTTAACACAAGGGTTGGCTACTCTGCCCATGAAGATAATAGTGTTCAGAGCAACTTCCCTGATAAGAACCAGGAAGGGCCTGTTGGCCTTGAAGGTCACTCTGCTGGGGTTCAGCGAACGGCCAGCAATGCCAATGACGGTACTTGCTGCTGCTTCACTGCCTTCCTCGTTTACCTGCAGGTCAAATAGGAAACAAACTGCTACATTAGCTACTCTGCAGCTCATTACAGGCAGGTGAATCATCCATCGACACAGCAATTCCTCAAAATGCCATTTGTTTTCCATGTGAAAGTACACTTGGGTCAGGTTGGGTTCCCTCTGGAACCCTACTTTTAGTCTTTCTTTCATCCACTGAATATTGATGTAAGCACTTGTATTCATCCAAGCCTTGTGCTGAATAATAAGTGCCAGGGTCCATCCAGATAATCTCTAAACCAGAAATCTGGATGTATACGAGGTTGTCACATTTCTGGCTGGCACCATTGTATATGGTATTGTACTAGATACTAAAAGACATTTTGACTCCAGATTAGAGCACTATAGTTGAGGTAGTTTCACTCCTGGAGCATCAAGATCCCAGATACAACTACTGTAAGCAGCCACTCAGGAACTAGGGCCTATGAAAAGAGGAGGGTCCTCTGGCGGGATGAGATGAGTACTTCTTGGAGTAACAGACTGAAGTGATGGTATTTGAACTTGCTGATAAGTAGAACTGCACAGGTCTGGAGGGAGATATCTTTAGAAAACTTTGTTTGGGGACCCAGAATGTCACTAAAACTCTGTCCCTGCCTCTAATGAAAGCACTTCAGATTCCTGAGTCTTGAGGAGCTGGTTGATGCTGTTCTCTCCCTCCCTCCTTCCTTACCACCTCCCTTCTGGCCATACTACCTATTTCATGATCATTCTAGTACTAAATTTATGAGCAGACTGGAGCTTTTGTAAGACCAGGATCCTTTTATTCGAATCAGATTCTGGTTTATTTAATGGCTTCTCAGGAGATCTGCAATCAGTTGGGGTGTATGTATTGGGTTCCCAAGAGCCATGGAGGAGCCTTGCATCATTGTTTAGTTGGCTCAAGTAGACAAAATGAATGTAAACTTCCGCTTCTTCTTAATAGTTATTCAAGGCCCTCAAGGAGGACTGAGCTGACCACTTCTATTTGGGGTCCTTGGAAGAAGATTCTCAATCACAGTTAAAACCCTGAGGACTCATCTTCCCTTGCAGCCTTTCTAAGTGCTCTTTCTTCCATAATCCATATGGTATCAGTGTTGTTTTTACTTCCAAAACCATGAATCCAGTACTCATGTAAAATCCCCTGTTCTGACCTCAGTATCTTTAAGATATATCCCTCTACTCTTGCTGTTGTCCTACAGGTCACTAATATCTATTGTCCTATGGATTATATTCCCACATTGAGGATTTTGTTGCCTAGCCCGTAGCCTTTCTGTCTATCCTAACTCCTGATATCATATGACCTAGACAATTAAAATATCGTGGTAGGAGACCCATTCAATACTCTAACCTCCCATGTCTTTCATCTCATCAAACCCAATGAGCATTACCTTCACTTAAGGAAACCAGTCCATGGCTACACCTTGAACTTGCCATCTCTCAGAACATCTGGACTTTTGAGATTATAATTACATTATCCTTCTCTCAGACTATATAACCTTCGGTTTTTTTAAGCTATCACACTTCCTCACTTCCATTACAATTACTCTGACCTCCTCCTGCCCCTTGATCCCTCCACTTTCCTCCTAACTACATATTTCCCACTGAGCTTGGACTCTGCAACTATATTTACTAGCATGATGCCCTGAAACCTTCCTCTCTGACCACAATCTTCTTTCTTTGCAATTTCCTCAATCCTGTGACCTTCTCTAACATTGCCCCATCACATTTCCCTCATAGCCTGGTTCTCCCAAAGAATAATCTGTATAAATGGTTCCCAGACCTGGTTGTGCATCAAAATTCCTTGAGGAACTTTGTAAATATACAGATTCTCAGACCCAATCCTGAGTCAAGCTCCCCAGAAAGCTAATGCCATTGATCTATATAGCTCAGTGTTTGAGAACCAGAAGTTCTAAAGGCTTTATACAACTCTTACTCTAGTAAAGGTTTCCATGGGCATCTTAGTTGGGGCAACACTAGGTGAAGCAATACTGAACCATTTTCTTCACTATGGAACTGCTCAGACGTCGGCACTCCAATGTGCATTATTTCTTGTTAATTTCCCAAGAAGAGGATGTACATTTATTTGACCATCTAACTTTCTGTTACCTGCAGTATAGTCTAGAGCTCTGGTTTTCTGGAACACACTCTAGGACACAATCTACACTCACCAGCTCCCCTTCCTTACTTTCCATTTGCTCTTCAGCCATTACAACTAGGCATGTGCCCCTACTGCTCTGTCCAAATTCCTCAGGGAAAAGTCACCTCGGTCACTTTTCAAAAAATCTTCTTACTAAATGCTTTCCATTGTCTTAACACTCCTTCCTGGGTTTCCATTAGCTCATCCTCTCCTGGTTCTCCTCCTCTGAATGCCTTTGCTGCCTGCTTTTCCTGTGTCACCTTCCCCTTAATGTCTATGTTCCCAGGAGAGGTAGAGGATGGAGGGTGGAACAATTAGACCATGAGGGCTTCAAGTCAGGGCTATATTGTAGCAGTCCTCGTGGAGGAGGGCACTACAGATTTGGGGTTTGAGGGACACTGCAATCATGCCTTTTTCCACAGCTGTCTCCTAGTGTTCACACATCTGCTGTCTACACTGTAAGAGCCAGTGGAGGAACAACTCCAAAGTTACTAATCACATGAGATATTGATGTATTGAATAAAAAAAGCAGCAGAAGAATAGAGAGCGAAGAGAGGTGTACTCACCTCAAGAAATGCCTTGTGGAATGCATCTGAGACATAGAGGTCCCTCGGGCCTTCTGCAACAATACCTAGAAGGAAGACCAGAGAAAGCTCTGTGAAATGGGAGAAGGTTGGCTTCAACCCACAGAAAGGAATTTAGTTTAAATTAAGAGGTCCTTTGGGGCTTTTTTGAAAAATAGAAAGAAATCCTGGACCCTCACTTAATGATACCCTGAAAAATAAATACATGTTAAAAATAATAAAGTACTTTGGGTTTATTCAGCCTGGCTCCCGTGAATTTAATCTCCTGCTTCAGCTCATGGCGGGGGTTGGGGTGGGGGGGTGAGGACTCTGTTCTTAAAGAAAAACTCACTCCATCTGGTAGGAATGTCTTCCCTTCCAGTGTGGCAACACTTTGGGAGTGGTTTTCAGACTTAGTTTAAAGACAGACCATTAAAGGTAAATCCAATTAACTAACGTTGTAAACTCCTTTTTAAAAAAGAGATATTTTAGGGAATTCCCTGGCAGTCCAGTGGTTAGGACTCCGTGCTCTCACTGCCAAGGGTTCAATCCCTGGTCGGGAACTAAGGTCCCACAAGCCACACAGTGCGGCCAAAAAAAAAAAAGAGAGAGATTTTAATGCATATTTTTTAAAGGATGGTGGGTTGGAAGAACCAAACCAACTTAACACCGTTATCAAAGTATCAAAACTGGGAAGGGGGTGACTGTATCTGTCCATGTGACCTTAGAAATCACATGAGCCCTTTGGAATATCAGGTGAAGAAGGGCTATTACATGTCAGCTATGCCTATTTTGTGGGACCCGGATGTCCCTGGCTCTTAATCATATCTGTCTCCTTGCTCTGAATTTTCTGATGCTTTTCAAGTTCTTTTCTACCTGGTCCCATCTCTTCTATCAGTTACAGACTCAAAAGGTTCCAGTGCCATATGGGCCTGTGGAGATCCAAGAGCCAACGTCCCATTTTACAGAAGAGAAAACTGACACCTTGAGAGGGAAGGGATTTCCCTGAGTTAGCAGTAGAGCTGGGATTAGAATCCAGGTGTCCTGATTCGCCCTTTTCTACTCTTTCCCCATCTCTTCCACCTTTGGTCAGACTTCTTTGGGGACAGAGAGAGGAGGAAAGTCCTTCCTGCACTCACCTGGGAGCTTGGACTTCTCAGGGCTGAAGAGGTCCTCAAGGCCCATGTCTTGCAGCCGCTCTTTCACGCTGAAGCTGTCCTCAATGCGGAAGCGGGGCATGTGGACCACAAGCAGTGTCTCTGTCAGCTCATCTAGCCACTCCTGCAGCACCTCTGGGGTGAGTTCCTGTTCCACCTTGGTCAGGCTCTTCTCAAGCTTGGGCAGGATGAGCACCATGGTGATGTCATCACCCTTGAAGGGCAACTCAAGCACCTGGGTGCCCTCTGCCACGCGCCGATAGCGGAACTTGCCTTCCTGGTACATCATGAATACCGAACACGACTCCCCATCGGCCTTGTAGAAAAGTTCCTTCCTTGTGTTCTCAGGGCTGAACTTTGACTTCCACAGGCCCTGGAAGAAGACGCCAGGTGGGAGAATCACAAAGCAAGAAGACCAAAAACATCCGTAGGAGAATATTGACATGGGAAGTAGTCACAATATTTTATTATATTAATATGTAAGTGTAATTGTTAAGAACAAAGGCTAGAGGGATATGCATGCAAACGTCTTAACACTGACTGTGTCAGAGTGATAGAATCATGAGTCATTTTTTTCCTGTGAACTTTTCTGTATTTCCTAGATTTTCCTAGGTTTTCAGCAGTTACTATTTGCTTTTATAACAAGAAAAATAAAAACAAGAACAACCTACTGGCCTCTTTGCAAGTCTCTTCTGGAGTTTAAATCTAACTGCCTTTTGCTTTCTGCCTCCCACCAGCCTCTTTCTCAAAGGACATCCTCCAAAATGCTGGGCTCTGTTCCTGATGAATAAAGCCAGACAGAGGTAATAACCCCAGGGGGGTCATCTGGGAGTCCTGCTGGGCAGAGAGTGAGGCCTGGCCAACTTTCTGTTCAAAGAAGGAGGGGATACAAGACACCTCTTTGACATTTCTGAGTTGTAATTATCATTCCCTGTCATCTTCTGGCTCTTTGATTTTGGGACAAGTCATTTAACTCTTTGAGTGGTGGCTCTTCATCTGTAAGATTAGGAGCTGGTTATCACTAATATTTGTACGATGCTTGCTGTGTGCCAGGCACTGCTCCAAGCATTTTATGTGCATTAACTTAATCCCTTCAGTAACCGTGTAAGGTAGATGTATCATTATTACCATTTTATAGATGCAGAAGTCGGGGCATAGAAGAGTCTCAAGTAACTTACTCAAGTTTGCAGTCAGAAATGGAAGAGTCAGAATTTACATTAAGTAATCTGTCTGAGCAGCCCAAGTTCACATTTGTGATGTTATGAAGGTCAGGAGGACTAATAAAAGGCAAAGTGTTCCATAAATTGTAAAGGGCAGTACACATTGTAGAAATGCAACCTACTCCATTCTTAGGGTGAGGGACCCCCTAAGCAACAGAGTAATTGCCAACAGCAGTGACTGGCTAACCCCCTGGGCCCAGTCGGGGAGAAGAGTGTATCTGGAGCATGACCCGGGAAGGGCACAATTCAACCTGCGTTAAGCTGGAGGCCCTCCTGAGTATCAATGGTCTGTTTATTCCCAGGACCTTCTCCCTCAACCTTCCTAAATGTAATAAAGTTGGAACAGTCTTTAGAACTCTTGACTCTCTGAGAAAGACAAAGCCGTCTGCATGATCATGTAACAAGGCTTCTGCAAAGTTTGAGGTTAGTCTGGCATCAGGAGGTTCAGAAGCTTCAGGCAAGAGGAATTTTGAGTCACTGCAGAAGCTGCTCTAGATGATGGAGAAAATCTCATCACTGAGGATTGTCTATAGACTCTGTCATTTTGTTCCAGATTTCAAAATGGAGTTAATTAGGGACAGGAGAAATCGTCACATATATATGAGAATTTATTACCACGCACACCTTGCTGCTGAGCGTGCTGGGTCTGTGAGTGTGTACACTTTGCCTTGGGCCCAGAGACACTACCAGGCCCCCTTTGGACCTCAGCCCAGTAGCCACAGCCCTAGACATGACTCTAGACTCAGCAAATTTGTATTTTACCCAGACCATGCATGTACCATTTCTCAAAAAGATCTACTGACACATGCCCAATGGTATGAAAGAAGGTAAGCTGGAGGGAAAACAAGTCATCCCTGAGGTCTCCCCAGGGACATTTTGAGTACCTTGAAGTAAATGGTGTTGACCAGCACCAAGACAGTGAACTCATTGATGGCTTCTGGGGGAATGACATCAGTGATACGCCCATCAGTCTTGTTGGATATCCATTGGTTGATGGTCACTCTGGACTGCTCTGCATTTCCCTGAGGAGAACAGGAAACAAACCTACGCAACTGTGCTATTCAATTGGCTTCTCCATTTCCCTGTGAAGCACTTTATTTCGTCCATCATCCCTCTGCTCTTTCCCACCATTTGGTTAAGCCATCTCTCTAACCCAGATTGGGGAAACCTCACATATCTAGTGTAGTGTTGTGAATCTTTCATATCGTTAATAAATGGTAACAGAAGAAAGAGAAAGAAAGGAAAGAAAAAGAGGAAGAAATAAAGAAACAGAAGAGGAGAAATATAGTCTGAGAAAAGAAAACAAAATATTATCTTCTCTGACTCTGGAAATTTGAACTCTTATGAGTATTCATGAGATATGTTCTATGGGAAGCTAATGAGTGACACAGGAGTTGGGAGGTGGGCAGGAGAGATGCCCATGTGGTCCAAAAAGTTTGAGAAATACTGATTGAATAAAGTCAGTAGATTTCAGGACTTTTATATAACTTTTATATAACTTTTTCAGAGCAGCCTCTACAATCCAGAGATTACATTGATTTCTCAGGTTTCAAGCAAGAATACATATCCCAGGGGCTCTGACTTATAGTTTTATAACACCTCCACCTGCCTTCAACTACCACAGCAGTGTTAATTTGGATCCTGCTTCTCTATCTCTTTAATTTCTGAGTGGAGAAGAAGAACTCTGAGGTCAGGGATGACATCTGCAACTCACCTTGAAGTCCAGGGGCTGGAGCTTGGCTCCATATACCATCTCACTGATGTCCTGGTAGGTCTCATTGAAGGTAAGGGATTTGTCTCCAAAAAGACGGTTGGCTGATACCAACTCAGAGGATTTATTGGCTTTTCGATAGAGTCGGCAGTTCAGTTTGGCAAAGAAAAAGTGGATCTGATCAGATGTCTTCTCAGAGATGGTATCAAACTTAAAAACCTGTAGAAGCCAAAAGAAAATAGCGGTGGGTCTGGTAAAGCAGCCTGGCTAACATGGGTGGTGAGCACAGTGCCCCTCAGCCCCTGACCAATAGTTGTGAGTCCCTTCAAACACAGTGCCTGGCACAGCATAAATGCTCAGCTCATGCTTTCCAGATGAATAAATGGATAAAAGAAGAATAAAGGGTAGGAAGGAGAAAGAGAAAAAGAAACACAAAGAGACTGGGATACCACCCAAAGTCTCTAAACGGCTCTAGACCAACACATAGATGTTCTCCTGGGTGTTCCAGCAAGGAGGTTAGGCAGAAGGGCTTTGGGTTGTACCTCCATCAGCTGCTTGAGGGTGTTGTCACAGGCACCCAGCTTGGTCATAGCAAAAGCTGTGGAGATACTCAGAGGTGACAGGAAAATGTTGTCCTTGTCATTCTTCTTGTCTGCCAGATGCTGATAGAAGGTGGCGGCAAAGTGGGAATTGGCCTTGGACAGTTCCCAAACCCGCCGGTTGGTGGCCCCGGGGATCTTCTGCTCTGAGCCCTCGCCCTCGGTTGCTTTCTTCTCTGGGGCACGGTAAATACACATGGGATTCATGGGAATGTCCCGAGGCTTGGCTGTGCAGATGTCCTCCCCAGGGCTCCAATGACAGGTCACACAGCTCCAAAGGCCAATAAGCAGCAAGGAGAGAAGACATACACTCCTATAGGGGGACAGAAAGCCGAGTTAAGCTAGGCTGAGAAATCACCTGTCCCACTGCCCACCACAGATTTGCCCCAGTAAAGCATAGATTACCATCCCACCTGCTGTGGCCAGGAGGAGGGCCAAAATCTTTGAAAAGTACAAGGGCCCGGGACAAGTCCAGTCCTGGACTCCTTACAAGTGGATAGTTTCACTTGCCTGGCCATAGTCATGTTGAAATTAGAATCAACTATTGAAGTAACTGAGGTTATTAGAAGTATTGTGTGCCCAAGGCCTCATGCTGGAAAATATAAAGAATGCAAAGTTTCCAATTGGTGAGATGGGACATGCACACAAGAAAAATGGCAGAGAACTTTAGTGCCCAATGAAAACTTAGGTCAGTTGGAGGAGACATTAACAGAAGCTGATTAGGGAAGGACTCAGAAATAGATGGATTTTTAACCTGGATGTTAAAGGATTGGGAGGATTTTGATTGATTCAGCAGATGGATTTCAGCAACATGAGAGGGCTAAGGAATGAATTCTCCTAATTTGTCAATTTCATGATCTCATTTTTTAAAAAGTGAAATTAGTTTTATTTACTTTAGCCACAATCAATGTGCTGAAAACACCGGAAGTCTCTAGCTCCAGCCTAATCCTTCCACTGAGTTCCAGACCAGTTGTTTGCTGGACAATTCCACCTGGATGTCCTGCAGATTCCTTAGTGAAATACGAACAAACTGAACTCATAACTCTCACCCACACACGTTTCTCCTTCTGTGTCCTTCAACTCAGCAAATGGGACCCACAGTTACCTGAGAGCCACCCTGGATTTCTCCCTCTTACCCTTCTTATTAGTCACACCCTAGATTCTATGCATTCTGTTTCCTTGTTCTCTCGCTGCCTTAGTTCAGGCCCTCAGCATTTTCTGATTCTTAGAAGTTTTAGTAACTTCCAACCTGTATTCGCTAAAGTAAATAAAACTAATTTCACTTTTTAAAAAATGAGATCATGAAATTGGCAAATTAGGAGAATTGGGACACCCAATTAAGTAAACCAAGAGATAAACGCTCTTGTAATGTTTTTGTAGATAAGACATGAGGGGCCAGGAACTTCCTGTGGCTGACTTGGGGCCCTTAGGTCTAGAGAGGGGAGTCTGCATGAGGGTACTGAGTCTTCTCAATCTTCCCCCAGCAGAAAAGCAGGTTATGCACGCAGTGAAGAAAGGACTCACCAAAGTGGTCTGCTGGGCAAGCGTGGGGCTGGCTGGAAGCTGGGGGCAGCTGAGGGGTACTTGGCTTCTTGCATGATCTGAAGTGAACCCTGCAGTCCTTTTAAGAACAGAGGCACAGAATGGGAGAGCAGAGGCACTGAGGGAGCCATGGAAGGCAGGGTGAGGAAGCAGAGAGAATCTTGCCATTCTTCTCCTCAGCTTACTTGCCTCTGTTTCCCATTTTGTCCCTCAGCTACATTTGGAAATACAAGTGGAGGCTGAGGGGGCCCTAGGAGTTCTGTTAAGCACAAAGAAAAACCAAGGTGGTCAAGCCACAGCCTCACTTCTAGCTTCCTGTAAAAAACCAGATCAAGAAGGGAATGTGTGTGATGTTGAGGGCTGCAGTCCTTTGTCAAAGGTCACTGAGACCTTGGGTGGGGGGATGGGGGATGTGATGGGGGTGGGGCAGGGGGGAATTGAGTGGAAGGAGGAGCAAAAAGGGAGTTAGGAGGTCCTCATAGATTAAATTTGTCCTCTTTTCAGATGTATGGAAGGCCCAGCAATTCCCCTTGGAGCATCTCCTGGACTGCTGTGAGGGCTGACACTGATGCAGCATCTCTGTACAAGGGAAGACATCCCCTGTTTCTTGGGTTAAGAATCCAAGGTGTGGCTTAGGGTAAGGCCTTACCCCTAGAAGGGAGTGGGAGGGAGGGCACTTGGAATGACGTCTTCCAAACAAGTCTGTTTAAAACTACCACGGAGAGGGCCTGGTCTTCTCGAAGGTGTCGAGGTCATCCTGGTGAGTCCCTCAGAGGTCAGAAAAGCCAGTGAGGGCATGCAAAGGGAAAGCTCACCCCTCTTACCTTTTTCCAGCAGCTACAGTTCCTATCCCATTGGAAAGCATGGTTGCTAATCTTCCACAGGTCTGGGCGAGTGGAGATAGTGTGGTTTGAGGCAATCCCTCTGAACTGGTTCTTTCCTCTAAATCTGGATGAGGTTCCAGAGGCTAGGATGGGGGATGGAGCTGGTGAGGAGGGGAGGCCTGAGGTCAAAGGCTGATGACCTGCTCCCAGGGTTAAGCAAAGTGTAGAGCCCAGTGCTGGTTAATTAGTAGAGAAGTTTTAAAGTTCAGTCAGGTCCAGAGAAAGAAGGTCCACCTTTCCTACCCATACTCCCTCACTTTCTTCTTCATCTTTATAGAAAAGGAAAAGGAGAACATGTTCACAAATTCAAACTTAGAAAATACCTAGCTGATGAGAACTTCGCAGGAATTTTTTTTCTTTTTTCCTGGTTAACTAAACCAGGAGGTAGAAGATAGTCTATTTTCTACATAAATAAAATAGTATATAACTAGCCAAGTTGACTGTCCAGAATGAGAGGTAGTCTTCTACCTCTCAGTGCAATATCCTCTTTCTCACAGGTTTTTAGGGAAAGAGAGAGAATAAGAGCCCACGTTATCTAATCATAGGGGAGAGAAGAGAAATATTCTGAAACAGGTGCTACTTTCAGGCCTCTAAGAGCTGATGTGTCAGTGACCCAGTCAAGGACACACAATGGTTACACCTGTGTGTACAGTGGACTCATTCCCCATTCAGCCTTGAAGTGGTGGGAGGGGGCACAGGAGCAGGGGCCTCAGGGTGCTGCCAAGGACATTTCTGGGGTGGATGAGCTGGGTGGGAAATACTTGGAAAAATTCTCTTGGGGAATCAGGAGACAGGGTGGGGCAGGTGAAAAACATACATGCAACTACTGACATACTTCTAAGAAGCAAACAGAATGAATTATTTTTATTTATTCATATTGTTATTTTTACTTATTTTAGTTATTGGGGAAATGGAGTCAAACTAATGGAGAAAAGGGCAGGTTTATGTTTATTTCCCTCTTCCTAAATAGCCAAAAACAGTATCATAAGGATTGCTGCAACTGTATTCACAGGATACAAGTATGCCACCTTCTGTGTGACTGAAGACTTCTTGAAGTTGGTACAGTCACAGGCATTCTAAAGAGTTCTTTATTCATTAGACAGGAAATCTCTACCTAGACTGAAGCTGCGTCTAAGTTCTTGACTGATTTAGACCCTGGACATCTCGAGGGCCCGTGTACAGTATGAAATTACAAGGAACTGTCCTTAAAAACCCCAGAATGGTTGGAGGCTCCTTGTCACTCCAGATTAAAGACAAGTGGAAAGTCTCCTATTCAACCACTTGTGTTCAGCAAACACAGGAGCACTACCTGAGTCAGCAGGCACTGTTCTAGGGACTGGGAGCTCCAGACAGGAAGACATGCAGTGATCACATAAAGGAATCAGTATATAAAAAATAGATCTATAACATGTCAGTCAGGTGTTAATAAGGGTTACAGAGGAAAATACAACAGGGCAAGGGGATAGAAAGTGATGGGAGGAGGTAAGGAGGCTACTGTTGTAGAAAGGAGGTGGGAAAGGCCTCCCTAATAAACTGACACTAAGGGACCAGAATAAAATGAGGGAGGGAGTCAAATATCTTTGGGAAGAGCTTTTCGCACAGAAGAAACAGGAGATACAAAGATCCTGAGGTGGGAATATGCTGTTCAGACCTATTGTTCCAGCTTGTAGGAGTTGTGAGACTTGTGCCTTGTAAAGAAGGTCCTTGGAGGAAGGCAGGTGAGGGGACCCTGCCCAAGGGGTAAAGGGGGTCTGGTGAACATCTGTGGGAAAAGAGATAAGGGTGCAGATACCACCTGGCCAGGTAGTGAAGAACTATACATCAGGGGTTGTGTTTAATTTCTTCATCCATTCATTGAGTCATATGATCATTTAATTAACAAATGTTTAATAAATGCCAATACGTACCAGGCATGGTTGGTGCTGGGCCCGGGGTTATAAAGATGACTTTGTCCTCAAGGAGCACCGTGCTTCACAGCAGACCCCAGACATGAAGATAAACATCCCAATCAATGCTACTGGCCATCTGACTAAAGTGTGTATAGGGGAAGGGGAAGGGCAGACAGGTGGGTGTCCATGGAACTGGGGTCAGGAGAGGGAAAGATCAGGAGGTGATAATGTAAAAATTTCTTAATTTGCAAGACTAAGACACAAAGTCTTTTTATTTTAAAATAATTTTAAAGTAATAAAAAAGTTGCAAAAATAGTACAAAATATTCTTGTATACTCTTCATCCAGATTCCCCAAATGCTCACATTGTTAACATTTTACCACATTTGCTTTTTGCTTTGCTTTTGGTATTCTTCTTTCTCTCTCCCTCTCCCTCTCTCTGTTTCTCTCTGACTCCCTCTCCCTATTATTTTTCTGTACTGTTTGAGAATAATTTGCAGATATAATGCCCTTTTACCCTTATGAAGACTGAGGTTCCTAAAAACCAGGATATTCCCTTATATGACCACAGTATAAGATCAAAGATAGGAAATTGACAGTAATATAGTACCATTTTCAAATCCATATATCTTATTCTAAATTTGCCAAGTGTCCCACTAATGTTCTTTATAGCAGTTGTTCTCAAAATTTTTGGTCTCAGGATCTCTTTATAGTCTTGCTAAATTACATCTAATTATTTAAATAGTTTATATAAAATAGTTTTGCCTTCATGAATACACTGTAAGGTTTTGTGGACCTCCTTGGATCCCTGGATCACACACTGGGAAACATTTCATAGCCCCCAAAAGTCCACTCCCCCCCACCCCCCATTTCCTGGTCCAGGGTCACATTGCATTTAATTGTCATGTCTCTTTGGTCTCCTCTAGTTTGGAAGATTTGCTCTCTTTTGTCTTTCATGACTGTGTAATTTTTTAAGAGTATGGGCCAGTTATTTTTATTTTTAAAATAAATTTATTAAATAATTTATGGCTCCGTTGGGTCTTCGTTGCTGCGTGCAGGCTTTCTCTAGTTGCGGTGAGCGCGGGCTACTCTTCAACGTGGTGTGCGGGCTTCTCATTGCGGTGGCTTCTCTTTGTTACAGAGCGCTGGCTCTAGGCGCGCGGGCTTCAGTAGTTGTGGCACGCAGACTCAGTAGTTGTGGCTCTGGGCTCTAGAGCGCAGGCTCAGTAGTTGTGGT